TTATAGGATGAATTTCGAAAAATGCTAAAACATGTATTTGATTAATTTTATTGAAGAGCATTAATACCAAGTTTCAAGTAATAATGATCAAAAACCTTTTTTTGGATTCTATTATAAACTGTTTTCCTGTGGGAATTAGGTAAACTCCCACGGTAAAAGGTAGCCTATGTCACTCTCCAGCCCTGCAACTATCTCCACACAAAAAATTACACTAAAATAATAATAAATAAAAGTAAAATGGCTTCTAGAAAATGGTTAATTTAATGTTAATTTTCTAAACTTTTCCCACCCGCTTTAAAATTCATTGAAAAATTTGCTTAGGTACGTAGATATAACTCATTAACTATTCATTTAATTGAAAAATGTTTAGTAATTTTCTCCATAATATTAGTATTAATTTTGATGTATTGAATAGTGCCCAATAGGCACAGTATTTTAAAACAAAATTCCAACATATTTACTCTCATTAAGGTTACAATAAAATTTGTTCTTTAATAGATAATATTATTGAAATGTTTATTATTTATTTTTGCCAGATTATTTGAACCATAGTCCATACTAAAGACCAGGCTACCGTTAAAAAAATTGTTGTCTGTCTTTTTGTATCCGCTAATCTTCAAAACTGATCTTCAACTTACGGTAGTTAATAAAGAAATTAGGCAAAAATGCCTTTAGCATGATATGAAAAAAAGGTTGAGATGGAATAATGTATACAAGAACGGTGGCTTAAAGGAATTTACCGGCCCTCTGGTAGAGTAAAGGTCTTGTAAATTTTTTGGTATGCGATACACTTAGAAATAGCTGAGGCGAGGACAGGTCGCTATTGAATAAAATTTAAAAATATAAACAAAACTATATAGTTAATATAATCTGAGAATTCCAAATCACATCTATTAATTAAATAGCACCATAGGAGAAAATAATTATAGTTCCCGCATATTAGGGTAGATAAGCGGCAATTTGTTAATTAAGCAGCATTTTGTTATATTGTGTTACTTTAACGATTAGGGTATAATCTAATATTGCATGTTGTACGTAACACGTTGCTTGGATTAATAATGCCTTTCAATAAAGGATAAGCGTAAATAACTTTGGATACCTAATTAAATTTGATAATTATAAGTAAATTTGTTACATTTTGATCTCTAATATTTTGTTCTAAGGTATAATTTGAATTTATTATGTGCTGGAAATGACGGCAAAACAATTACATTATTTTTGGCTAATTGAAAATAGACTTTTTTATTTTAATCTTTTGAATAAATCAATAGGTAGGTACTAGGTAACATACAATTTCAAGTTTGGGTATAACTAAATAAATATCCTAAATTATATACCTAATTTACATGTATCTAGTGGTACATTAACAATTTTTTTTTTTTGCTTTCCATCATGAGGCCAGCTCCTGCCGGCACTCAATGAGCAAGGTACTGACTACTCACTAAAAGCCCACAACGTAACACTATCGTAGTGCAATGGGGCGATGCAGGCTCGCGTTAAAATCATGCTATAAATAAAAAAAAAGATTTTTTTTAATTTCAACCCCCCATAGGGTAAAATATTATAATGTTCATAAATTATATTGAAAACAATAGGTACTTTTGAAAACAATACGCATATAAAATCGTAGGCAGAATCTTAAAATGGTATCATTGTGTTGCAATCTTTAATCTACTATGATTTTTGTATATTATTACTTACTGCATTAACGTGCCCGATATAATATTGATACCAGATGTGATCATATAAAAATCATGTAAATTAGTACGCATAATATGAGCAATGACCATTGTAGTCTCACTAAAATGAAAAAAATAAATAAAAATAACAATTATTAAATAATAAATACACTATAAAGAATTTTTTTTATTACTGTACACATCAAATCTGTGCCAAGATTAGAAATATATATGTATGTATGTACTATGTAGGTACCTACTGGTACATTTTTAATTTGGTAGTACCGTGTGTAATAAAAAGCGCGTTAATATATACTAGGTACCTATATAATTTAAGGCAGAGAAATTAACTTAATTATAATAAGCGAAAAAAGGCAGTCGTAGCCCAGTGGTAACGCGCACGCTTGGGAAACCGAGTGAAGCAGGTTCAAATCCCGGGACTTGCATCTCTGATATTTTCATGTGCGAATCATTTCTAACATGATTACCACTTGCCTTAAGGTAAAGGAAAAACATCGTGAGGAAACCTGCATGTCTGAGAGAACCTAGCAAGTTTTCGAAAGACACGTGACGTCCACCGACCCGCACTAGGCCAGCGTGGTGGACTATGGCCTGATCCCCCTCGTATTGAAGGGAGGCCCGTGCCCAGTAGTAGGACCTTAAAAAGGGCTAAATATATACATAATAAGCGATTAAATTTGTGTTAGATTAGAACCAAAGTTCATTATGCTAGGAAAAAGTTTTAAAATTCTGTTTCTTTAAACGTTTTCCAGCAGTGGCCAGTGTACGTATAATATTTCATCAAAAAGCATCATTAAAACAATTTAAGAGTCACTTGATCTAATATGTAGATACTCGAGTGTATCCGTTCATACAGCCACTGAGTATAGAACTAATATGAAGAGCAGAAAAAGTGTTTATGTTTGTGTCATTACTTAAATATTATATACAACGTTATATAGTTCATACGAAAGGAGAAATACAAAAAAGTATTAATATTTCAATTATAACTTCAAAGACTTTTAGAGCTATACAGTTTATAAAAAAATAGAATAATAAATCTTAAGTTTCTCCTTAAACCTTAACACAATAAATACCTTGGAAGAGAAAAAACAAAAGTTTTTTACTTTACGTGATAAAAATACCCTCATAGGGACCGACCGGTGAAATGGACAAAAAAGTCTGGGGTGTAAAAAATAGCTCACTTCCAATACATAGATGTCAATTTATATTGGTTTTTCACTGTAAAAACTCCATTGACCAATATAAGACGATCTCTGTTTATAATAAAAGTGGTAGAAGTGGGGATATAAGGCATGTGTTATTATAATATAGCAAGAGTCACTATGATGATGCATTATTCAATTAGACTGATAACACTTAAGGAGATTACCACTAATAAAATTGTAATGCCTTGTTTCCGAGACGCGTGGGCCACTCGAGAAGTAGCCAGTGTGACCCTAACTTAACCGCGGTATAAAATTTACATGAGTAAAATGTATATATTAAAATTAAAATCATGTATTTAATACTTTCTTAGATTTACGCGAATACTTGACATTTTAAATAAAACTATCTTTTCGGATTTTTTCGCGAATGTATTTTGATTTTTGGTTCCCGACGTTTCGAATGCTTTACAGCCGTGTCTCTCCCGTGACCATGATTGCTGTAAAGCATTCGAAACGTCGGGAACCAAAAATCAAAATAAGTTCGCGAAAAAATCCGAAAAAATAGTTTTATTTAAAACATGTATTTAATAATAAAATAATTAACGTACTTATAAAGCTAAAAAAAATAAATGACTATAAGCGTAAGTGTAATTTAAAATAACAGGGCTTTGACATTACTTTGCATTCGTAAAAGTTTCTTTTGGTTTATAAATATGCTCCATAGAGTTCGAAGTCTCTACATTACGAGTATATACTTTAATAAACCTCATAGACCTTTTTAAGGATCTATATATTTAGTGTTTGCATCAATATTTCAAGTAATAAGTTTAAAATAAATTTAAACTAGCGACTCACCCTCGCTTCGTGCGTTAGTCCCTAGTAAAAACGAAAACAAATATATCCTTCAGAAACCGTACATTTTTCCAGGATAAAAAGTAACCTATATGCTATTCCAGACCATAATCTATCTCTGTGTCAAATTTCATCTAGATCTGTTCAACCGTTTTGGCGTGATTGAGTAACAAACATCCATCCATCCAACTTTCGCATTTATAATATTAACGCGATATCAATACTCTCAACACCTTGTTTAAACTACGTGTGTAAACTTTCTAAGCAAACATAATGAAAATATTCATAAAAAAAATAATAATATCAAATTAAGAAATAAGTTGTTGTCGAAAAATCAGTGAGCGGACACATATATCAGCCGCCTGTAGGCCCGCGGCGGATTACACCAATCTACTCGTAGCTGCAAAATTGATGACACATTACGCGCGTAATTTTTACAAGGAGCCGGCACCTTCAACCCGCAAACGCCCACAGCTTCTAAACAATGACTCACAATAAACTTTTCTTATTTCTATTATTTATTATTCCACTTTACTCTATTAATAATAATATTTCTATTTTTTTATTATTACAAATGTTAAAAGTTACGATGTTAAATATTGGGACGTTTGTTACTCCATCACGTGTCAACCCATTATAGGTATGGTTTGGGGGTGAAACTTAGCATGTAGATAAAAAATGTCCCATCTAGGAATAAATCCTGTAGAATAATTTTGAGTAAAAGGCTTTTTTAATGTTTTAAAAGTACTTTATTTTTAAATAATTTTAGCTGTAGATGGCTCTGTTGAAAAAATACATTTCATGTGAACGAGATCGAAATACGAAAATAGTCATATGCCTTTGAGAATATTATTTTGTCTGCACTACATACTCGTATGTATGTACATATGAGTGACAAAATTACAAAATATTAATTTATTGGTATAAAAGTGATTTTACAGCATTCATTAAAAAAAACACAAGTAAATAAATATATAAGATCCAATATTTAAACATGCACTAATAAAAAATAAAGGCAACCATAAATTATTATTACCTATAATTAAATTAAAATTTAATAATACAAATTATGATAACAACAACTCGTGACTAATTGTACAAAAGATATCCGCCCAAATTAAGTACCACCCCTAGTGAAAACGTAATTCGTCGTTTGTCTATCAATTAGAAATGCCGAAAAATGTCCCATAATCCAAAGGGATCTGTTGGACGGTTAAGTGTTGGAGTTTAATAAACTGTTTAATTAAGGACGCGTCAGATCGGGAGGGAGCAGTACGGTGCGCGCGCGCGTCCCGAAATCATGCTGGTGTTCATGCTCGTCCTGATCGCGAGCGTCACGGTCAAAGCGCGACCTTTTAACATAACACACCTAATAGTTCCAGAAGTAGTGTCCCCTGGACAAGAAACCGTGGAAATTGAGTGCAGATACGACGCAAATTTCACTTTACTCAACTGGTTTAAAGGACCTAACGAATTTTTCCGCTATAAACCTGGTCCGGCACCTAGTACGCGATCCTTCCCTGTTCTAGGAGTTGGGAGGGTCGAGCTGGTTGCCTGTGGACCGACAGCATGCCGACTCAAACTTGGAGCTCTTACAGAAGAAGCCACTGGATTATACAGGTGCGATATAGAACGAGATGTAGCACCATACAGATTCGCAACGCGTACAGCGTACATGGAAGTGCACGGTCATGAGCATAGAAAACCGCTACTTGAAGGATTAGCCGAAGAATTTGGTGAAGATGATGAGATGCAAGCATATTGTAGAGCTGCTTCTGATACAGAAATACGTTGGTATTTAAATGGACGCGAGTTAGAAGAAATGAGAGGTTCCACAACTTTAAAAAGGAAAAGTTCACGTTTAATCTTTTCTGGTATACCACCAGTTGTGACGGTTCAATGCGCTGAATTCAAATTTGGTAAATTATATGGCTCTAATGAGGAGAAAGCCAAATGGAAAGATCACACCGGTCAAGATGAAAGACCACAAGAGCAGAGAAACGAGTCAAATAATGTAAAAATAGGCATAACGGGTTTACTTTTTAATTTTATTTGTATTTACTGTTTGTTAAAGTTGTGAAATAGTTTATAAAGAACAGATCTTGTGTTCCTAGATGTTTAATAATAATTAATTATGGTGAAAGTTTATGATTAAGTATATATTTTCTAGTAGTGAAATATGATTACAAAATAAAAGATTTATTGATTAATTATTAATTATTTAATTTTACAAACTCCTACTTGTAGATAATGCGATTTTAATAAAATATATACTTACCTCTCCTCTTAATCTTATCGTAATAATATAAGATACGATTTCCTTAGCCAGCCCTTATCTAAAATTGCATAATTATAAGTTATTGCTCCATTCGAAACATTTTCCTCGGACCTGGTTAACTTAACCTTATGCAATCTAGTTCCTACATATAAAATGGAAAATTAATATTCCTTGAATATATTAGTTGTTTAACTGCTGTGATAGTTTTTATTGTCCTACTTAATGAAATACTTATCTTACATTTTCATTTTATATAAAAAACATAAACAAAACATATTAAGGTAAAAATTATAATTCAATGAATGGATTGATTAGGTATTAATGGAAAAGTTCGTTTACATCGGCCTTTGGTATTGTAGCTTATAAGCAGGTGGATCAAATAAAATGCACTCTACTGACAATCGAGCTCTTTAATTTATTTTTATTTATTTTTTTGATAAAAATTAATTAGGTCAGAAAAAAAAAATAAACTGTAGATTAGGGAAATAATAAATATGTATAAAAATTATTATGATTTGAAATATATTGGTACTTTGACTGTTAGCGTTAACACGTCACGTGACCATGTCGATGACGACTTACATGAATTTACTTCCCATCCGAACCTGCCTATAGAAGTTTTCACTTCAAAAAAAATAAAAAATAAAATGAGCAACTTTTCTACTCCAAAACGAGCAGATGATATAAGAGCAACACATCAAAAATCAGAAGTCATCATCATCAGAACATCTCGTAGCCGTAAAAAATAAATACAACAAACATACTATATAATACATTTTAATACTTTTAATTTAGTGTTTATCTTTGAACCCAGATATTTACGATACTTGTAAATGTACAATTGTACATACCTATAGTTTGTAGTATAATTTAAATTATGGTTTTGAAAGTAATGAAGAAGAGCCTAAAATTATCAAAATACCTATTTCTCATAAAACACAGATGAAAATAAAAAGGCCATTGTGTTGGAATCTTACGTTGTTTTTAAGTTTCGTACCTAAAAAAACAGAAAGAGTTCGTCTATCATATAAAAGCATTTAACTACGAATTTACTATGAAATCATAGGATTCTGTTTTAGCTATTTCGCTACTGAACCCTAAAAAGCTTTCATCCCAATAATACAGCTATTATTAAATTAAATAAAACAGCATTCAGACTAGTGCCAATAGATGGCGCTTTCTAAACTCTTAATGTAATATTTTATAAAATAATGGTTTTCACGAAAAAAATAATTTTAAACTAAGACTATAGAATTCAGAATAAATAATTATGTAGACAGAGTCCGTAAAAAAATATCAAAGTCAAAAATAGAGAGATTTTGCTACTATTCTCGATTTTGCCATACAGATTTTATACATAAAGGTATAAGTTCCTATTTGTCGTTAACTTACAATTGTTAAAAATAATGAGTTTTCTATTATTTTCAACAATTGTCAATTATAATCTACAAATATTCATATAATATAGGTACTATTTACAACATTAAATTTTATAATATTTTCTTAGAAGTTAGACTTATGCGAATATTTGATATTTTAAATATATTTTTTCGGATCTTTTCACGGTTCTTTTTTTTATATTTGGTTAATGGTTCCCGAGTCCTGACGTTCGAATGCTTTACAGCAATTATACGTACGGGAGAGACTGTTTTAAATGCCAAAAAAAGGTTATTAAATAATAAATAGATATTTCAAACTTTCTGGCATGCATAAACGCCACTAGTGTCTAAACAAATAATAAATTATATTCTCATGTTTAATTACTCAACATTGTACTCATAGTTCTTAGTTTATTCTTCATATATTACCTACGAATCAAAATTAATCTCAATAGGTATAGTATAGTATTATGAAATACAAGAGGTCACATTTGTTGATAAACATTGCGAAATTAGAGTTCTTTCAAATGATGATTCAATCTATGGAACTTACAAAACATTGTATACAAATTTTTGGAACAATAATTTCTTATTATTGCACCACGATAAGCAAACTACAGTGCTGCCATACAAAAAATGGGCGAAAAGCAGTGGTTTTTATTTTTTTCAACATTTAATTGATAGAGATTATTAAAGATGTTTTTATTCCAAAAATCTACTTTTAACTTTACTTCTAAAATTCTAATAGATACTTGACACAAATTCAAATATGTACTGTTTTAAAGAATTTTGTAAATTGCTTCTAGGGAAGCAAAACAAAAAACATGACAACACTTTTCTATATGACGCACAAGATGGCGGAAAATCCCCGCTGCAGCCGTCCCCATAAATGACAAGTTGTCAGATACCATTGCGCAAATAAGCGGAATCGTGTGTGCATGATACACGGTTAAACATGTTAAAAAGTTTTTCTGAAATTTTAGTTTTATGTTATATTCGGTGCACAAATCATTTAATAAGAACTGATATACTAAACTTTTCTCCATCTTGATTAAGTGAGAAACTTAGTTAATTTAATAGTGAATATATTTAGTTTTATTGTAATCAGCTTTCCAGAATCCACCATGCCTAAAGGAAAGAAAAAAGGAAAATTCGGTAAGTTTCTTGTAAATATTTGAAAGTGTTGCATTGTGAATCGATGTCGTGGCTGGAATTTGCCAAGAATGATATCACGCGGCGACCTTGTGTTCGCAATCACCACTCACATTAATGACAGGTCCACGTTTGCCCGCTTAAACTTGCAATAGCATTGCAGTCCATATGCTAGGGCTATTTGCAAAAAGACCTTAGAAACACTTCCGGAATCATAATGTGACACCGATTTCTTTTTTAATTACCACATGCGTGTACTAGTAACCTGTATTAGTTTACAGAACGGATTTTTATGACATTCTAACAAATGATTAGCCTTGGAAATGCTAGTTCAAATAATGAGATCAAAATTATATAATATATTGTTTATATAATATACATTAACATTTTTGTTAAGTAAGAAGCTACTATTACAAAGAATTCTTTGAGTTCATTGAAAAAGATTTATTTTATGTTGTAAATAGAATGAATTTTATTTTGCAATCTTATATGATAGGAAAAACCTAGAAACTTAAATATATACACACAATATTATAAACTATTAGATACATAGTATATGTATTAGATACATAAGTAGTAGAATACATAAATAATAAGAATAATTAATTATAAATGTAACATTTAATATTTTAATAGTTCATAAATGCTATTCTTTAGATAATATTCTTAATATGACCACATTAATTACTATGTAAAAAAAACTTTATTGTGATAAAACAAATTGAATTACAGAGCATAGACGGACTGAGCTTCCATACTCATCAGACGAAGATGCTGGAATAGATATGACCAATGACAATTACTCGGAAACATCTGGTCAGTCAGACCTTAGAAGTAATCATGACGATGCTGGTAAGTAAAGAAAACAAACAAAATTAGATAGATTTGCCCTTATGGATTATAAAAATGAAAGAGCATGTTTGATATTTAAAATTAACTTATGTCTTAAAATTACTAGTTAATTATAATGTATCATTTTTATACAAGATTATACTTTCTGAATTTTATGGCTTTATTTGAAAGTTCAATCGAATAAATATTATGAATGTGTAAGTTTGGATGGATGTTTGATACTTACATGCAGAATGGCTGAACCGATCTGCATAAAATTTGGCACGGAGATAGGTTATAGTCTGGAATACCACATAGGTTACTTTTTGTCTTATAAAATGTATGGTCCCAGTGGAATACATTTGTTTCTGCCTAGGGACGAACTCCAAGCAAAGCAAGGGTGACTCACTAGTAACATAATATACCTACAAAAAAGAACACATATAATATAAATGAATAAATTGTTTCCTATGCCAGGGCCAATTAAAGTAGCATACCATATCACAACATATTGGTTATAATCAAAGAGAGCTTATCATTTTAATGCATTTACTTTTTATGTCCAATGTGATTAAACTGAAGTGTTATGAAACCTCGAGGTGAGATAATTTTAATAGACACACATACTTTTGTACTGTTACATAAAACTTTAATGTTTTATCATAATTGTAGTCATCTTCTATTTAAATTGTAATTAAGCCCATTCTGTATATCAAATATATTTTGGAAAATCTTATTGAAATACTTTATTATAGATACAGAGGCCGAATCTAAAGCTTTTAGAATTTTTGTCAGTCTGTCTGTGACCACATGACAGAATAACCACTGGAAGGATTTTGATGAATTTGGTATGATGATAGCTGATTATTCATACTCACTTAACATTTTTTATCTATGTTTTTTGTTAATAAAGTCTATAAATTGTATAATAAATAATTGTGAACTTTGTGTATTAATAACAAATATTCTTACAGAAAATGAAATTCAAGAGAAATTAGAAGAGAAAGTTCTAGAAATCATTGATGCTTTAAGTGCAAGAGCTAATGCGGCGCGAGCGGCTGCCCTAGTATCCCTTAAAAATGTTTTGCAAAGGCGTTATTTGGCCCACTTGTTAAGTACCCAGCGGGTCACTTTAGCAGATCACATAACAAAGGCTTTGAGGAGAGGAAGAGACGGGGAGAAAAAGGCAGCTGCAGCTGTTGCACCACTGTTGGCTTTACAGGTAAGAAGGGCTCAAAGCATTATTAGATTAATTTAAGACTTATAAAGAAGTAGCGGCTCACCCTCGCTCCACTCGGGGTTGTCCCTAGGTATGATTTAACGGTTAGTATGGAATATCTAGACTGTATATTATATATGTATATACAAAGGTATGATAAGTTATTGTGGGTTATGTGTTTCCCCGTGGTTAATGTGTTTTCCCGTGGGAATGAGATAATTTACTGTGGTAAAAAATAACCTATATCACTCTCCAGCCCTTCAACTATCTCCACACAAAAAATCATGTCAACTCGTCACTTTTTTTCATTTATAAAATTAAGTATGCATTGTTTTAAACATTTTTAAGGAAATTTGCGTGTTTGGAAGAACCTAGAGTTTTTAAAAGACATGTGAAGTCTGCTATTGCTAGTCCGCTATTGCCTGTTCCCCTCACAGTAGAGGTCGGCCCTTGCCCAGCAGTGGGATATTAATAAAGGCTTAAGAACGCAAACAATAATAATATACGACGACACGTTTGGCTCAGTTTGCAATGATCCTACTTGCTATGCCAGCGGTCGCGGGTTCGAGTTCCACTGGATGCAATCATTTGTGTGATGAGCACGTATGTGTACTACAGTCATGGTTGTTTATATTTATAATATGTTTGTATTTAAAGTTATATATGTGTAGTGTATCAACTGTCCGGTATCCATAACACAGCCTTGTAGCTTACCATGGAACTAGATTATGCTGTGTGTTAATAACCCAGCATAAGTAACAACAGATAGGTAATATTATAAATATATAGAAATACATCCTATAATATTGAAATTGAAAATGAATTTTCTTATATTAATGAATAGATTGGTGAAGAGGGCACAGAGGAGTTCATGGCGGAAGTGAGGCCTGCGCTGGCCGCCGCCGCCGTCGACAAGTCCGCCTCATTAGAGACTCGCACTGAGGTAACATAACATATACTTACTAAGAAACTATTTTTATAACACAGAAAATTGTATATTTGAAACCAATTTTAACTTCAGCCTAATCTAAAAATATTTTTATGCCTGTTAAAAGACTGTTGTTGAATTCTGGAATAATGTCTTGAAAGAATTTGTAAATTAATTTGAACACTACTTTTGATTTTGAGTTGAACTTTAAATAAACAAAAAAGCATGGGCTATAGCAAAGAAACAGACTTCAAAAATAATTATAAAGACAATTAATACAGTTACAAGTGACTTGGCAGTTTTATTCTCACATTTAAGTTTTATTTGTAGTTATTTGGCCTCGCTCTCTGCATATCACTCTACACTTTTGATATAAGTACATCTTATACTGATATGAAAATTGTTCCATTTACAGTGCTGTTCATCTCTTGCGGTGCTTTGTTACCTGTTGGAGGAAGATCTCACAGAAATATTGGAGATCATGCGAATGTATGAGACAATCTTCAGTGGCAGCTATCTTAAGGTATTTTAGTGCTATATAAAGCCTATATAGATGTTAATAATTAGAATTAACAGGCATTGGCTAATTACGTCCCATAAGATAATATAGTATTTTATTATTATTTTAGTATATAATAGCAAGTCACTTGCTTGCTTCACTCGAATTTGTCCCTAGTGAAAATCAAAAACCTTTCATCTATCCCATGGGAACCATACTTTTTTCTGGGATAAAAAGCAACTTATGTGCTATTCCAGACTATAATCCATCTCTGTGCCTTTCATCCAGATCCGTCCTGGATGGAGTAACAAACATCCATCCATCCAAACTTTCGCATTTATAATATTTATAATTGATAATATAATAATAATGGGATTGGTAACAACATTTTTCTCTAAAAAAAAAATTTTTCTATTAATATTTTTGAAATTGTCATTACTTACAAATGTTCCCATCATTTTTTTTATCATACTTCATTTTATAAAATTACGCTACTGACCTATGCGATGTTTTATCAAACCGTATCACTTAATTTTGTAACAGTTCGTGACTTTTTTTTTTTCGTGACAGCAGCCATGACGTAATCTTTCAACAAACATGTAAATTATATTAACCATCAGGCTACACCGTGGACTTGAAAAAATTCCACTTGCTAAATAATTACTTCTAAACAAAGCAAAATTCTGAATTTTGTTATTAAAGTACTATTCAAGGTCGTCTCGTTAAAGATCAATGACCGATGCATGTAGATTTTGGGGATATTATAACGCATTTGTTTTAAGTGAATTTAATTATTATTTTTATATAATGTGGGATGGTATGATTGATATAGTTATCTTTTGTAATAATTATTTACTATACTTTATTCATTAATTTATATTTTTGATTACATCTTAGTGATGTTGTTGTAAATATTAGCAAATTTTTGAGACTTCTCAGAAACTTATTACTATTTTAATACTTTCTTAGATTTACGCGAATATTTAACATTTTAAATAAAATTATCTTTTCGGGTTTTTATATCATAGTCAAGGGATAGAGAGACCCGTGCTAGATTGCTAAAAAACTCTCTGGGGACCAAAAGTCAAAATAAATCTGCAAGAAAAATCCGATTTTTAAATTTATTTATTACTATTTTGTTTATTATTATTATTTTTTCAAAGTTACTTTTTTCGAATTTCCGGTTTTTTCCAATAAATTTTCCTAATATAACTTAAGAATTATTTTACGCTTTCATTGGGTGTTGAAGTTTCCTATTTACAATATGAGTGTCATGTGTGTTTGTTATTTACAATATATAATAATAATATTGTAAAGAGGATCAATTTTTGAAAAAGATGAAATTTGGTAAGAGGATAGTTTGAGACACTGGGAAGGACACAGGATTTTATCCTTATTATACTTATTAATTATTATTATTATAGTTATACTTAACGCCATCTATTGTTGAATTAACTAAACTAAACAAGTGGAATATGCTATTTACAATATGTGCGTGTTGCAACTTGCAGGGCGACGGCAGCGTGAAGGTGTCGGGGTCGGCGGTGGAGGAGGGCGGCTGGCACGCGGCGGCGCTGGACGCGTGGGCGCTGCTGCTGGCGCTGGCCGAGCCGAGGCACGCGCGCGCGCTGCTGCTCGAGCGCCAGCCCTCCTTCGCGCGCCTCGCCGACCTGCTGGACGCCTGCAGCCTTGAGGTGCTTGTCAGCCGTTTTGTTGAATAATACTCACTGTAGCTGTTTTATAAAATGTATTTTTTTTGCTAAAAATTTGTTTTTGTTTAATTTGTCGTAGTAGCTTTGTAAAATTAGCCGTTTTGTAAATTCAGCAATTATCATACTGACTAAAGTTGAACTTATGGTTACGTTGTACAATGCATTGAGTCAATGTGACATTATAATGATATTGTTATAAATTCATGTTCAGTAAAGTTCAAAAACGTCGTTAGGATATTTTATACATCAGATCTATTTTGTAAAATAACTGATTCTACAAGCCTACTGGCTTTATTTATTACGATATATGTACTAATTAGTGGTTCGTTAAGATTGGCATACACAATTAGCAAAGATATAACCATTTTTAATAAAGATCTGCCAAACACAAGTGACAATAAAATATTTACTTGATGGAATGCCAGGTGCGGCTGGCGGCGGGCGGCGCGCTGGCGACGGCGCACGAGCGCTGCTGCGCGGACGCGGACGACGAGGTGGAGTGGTCGGAGGCGGCCGCGCTGCCGCGCCTGCAGCGCCTGGCGCGCGACTCGCACAAGTACCGCGCCAAGCGCGACCGCAAGCTGCAGCGCGCCACCTTCCGGGACATACTCAAGTATTTTGAGGTTCGTATCACCATTATTATTGCATACTGTTTTGTTGTTATAACTTTCTTATCATATTATGAGTTTTTTTTTCTCTTTATTTAAAAGGCTTGTTAACAAAAAAGAAATATGTCGTCCTGTTCAAACTTCTTACATGCTACATAACAAATTTTAAATTCGTAAAACTACTAAAATAATTAGGTATTAAGGTTAGAACTATAATTTATAAATGAAAGCATTTAAAAAAAACCTTTATATTATTAGTTTTTGTTATTTAAAATTAAATTAAAATTAAAATTGTTGAGTTGTTAGTAGATTAAACAAACTTTCTCATTTGTGTGATTAATTTGATTGATTATATTTTCAATTGTTTATTTTATTGTTATTCCGTAAACTTTCAGGCTCATTAGTCTATTGCATGTTAAATAGTTTTTATTAAATGATATAAATTTAAATCCCATAAAAATCATTTTTTTTTTAAATATAAATGTTACAATGTAATTATTATACAATAAAACAAATAACCTATAATAATATAGTTTATTTAAAAATGTACAGGAGGGTACAGTAGAGACGGAGCGCGTGCGGCTGGGGGCGGAGAGCGTGGAGCTGGCGGGCTGGGGCGCGCGCGCGGCGTACGGCGCGCTGGCGGGCGCGCTGGGCGCGGGGCTGGCCGCGCTGGCGCCGCACTGCGCCGCGCTGCGCCACGCGCTGGCGCTGCCCGACGCCGCCGCCGCGCACGCCGTGCCCGCGCGCAAGCTCAACAAGCTGCAACGGGTGGGATGTTTTATATATTTATTTTGATTCTTTATTACATTAAAAAAATACAACAATTTACTAATACATATTTCAGTGTTTATCAACTAAGTTGAAATAATTCAGTAGGTGACACCTATATATATAATAAAACTGTAGAGATCGTATGTCTGTACATAAAAAAAAATATATTAAAAACCGAGTCAGGGAGATGTAAGAAAAAAAAAAAATTAGAACAAATCCAGTTTTTTTTTCAATTTTTTTATTTCTCTGTCTGATTGTATGAGCTAATCTCGGAAACTGTTGGGCCGATATAAATGAAACTTTGCATGGTGGTACCTTATATCCCCGGTCAACGTTTTACATACTTTTCATCCCGGAAAATTAAAGAGTTCTCATGGGATAGTTAAAAACCTATAGTAACTTGTACAGTTTAGTACACAAAAACTACTGATTGGATTTTAATGAAACTTTATAATAATATAGTTCATACATCAGAATACCAAATGGACTACTTTTTATCCTGGAAAAATATACGGTTCCCGTATGATAGATTTGCTTTTGTTTGTGTAGAGGCGAACCCGAACGAAGCGAGGGTGAGCTGCTAGTAATCTTTTAAATCTTGATTACCAAATATAACAGTAATGAAAACATTTAAAACATGAAATAACAAGCAATTAACATTAACATTATTGCACAGCACCTGCAGAACTCGGCGGCGTGCAAGGCGCGCACCGTCGCGCGCAACAAGAGCCGCGACAAGCGCTCGGCCGCGCTCGCGCTGTGACTGCCCCCGCCCCCGCCCCCCGCACCGGACACTGTCACAACACGCGGGTACTACTACAACACGATACGCTTCAATGCTGTACATAATAAAGATGGCCCTAACTAACAATTTGAATCAGAAAAAAATGCTACTCAATAATCTTACTCATAAAGCCTTAAGTGCTATGAATCCGGAGATACCATAACCATTTTCATCGTAACTACGTCAAAACGAGTATATAGTAATTTTGACGTAGTAGTAAGACAAAATTTCAAATATCTCTATCGAGATCAACTTTGACGAAGTTGCGGCCTTCTTTTTTATGACGGCAGTGTGTATATGTCGCAGATAAATTGTAAAAACCGAATCACCCGGTGTTTAATTTAATATATGGTTATAAAAAGTATATGTTAATTTAGTATCGAGTTTACACTGGCTGGCAATAGCTTTTTAATTTGTTGTAATGACACTTCAGTTAGAGTAAAGAAATAAAAATGAGTTTGACAACATTCAATATACTAATATACATTGTGGTATTTTATTTTAGTTAAAAGTAAATAAGTTAACAGTACGTGCAAAATACACCCGGAGTATTGTCAAACGTCTCCTTTTCTTGCAATATCACGGGACTGTTTTAGGTATATTATAACTTCACCAGTAAATTTATAGTTTAACGGTTTTTATAATTTCCTTGCGACATATAACAACAAGATGTACTTCAATGGGGATATTCGTATTCATTAATGTACTTTGATTGAATGATGTTTTTTTTTGTTTTTTTTTTCTTGATGTTAATAATTCACCTGTTAAAGTCCGTCCACCAATTTTTTGTGTTTGTACACAAATATTCGATAATACAAATTGTTTTGTTTCTTTTTAAATATCATTATAAGAATAAAATAGACAGGGCATCTGTAAAACTAATATAGACTACATCGTGTTCTTTGTATGCAAATAGAATACCATTTCATGCATCAGTTAGAATGTTTGTGATGCTCTGTTTAACTTGTTCGTTTAATTTCAACTTTGAACGTACGTTGTGACAGGATTAGTATTAGAATTGAGCTTAGTTTAACGCTAGCATTAGAGTATGTTAGCTTAAAATAAGTACCAAAGAAAAATTCCCGTTGAATTTTGTTATTGTTGTTGGAACGCACTCGGCGCGTCGGCTCGAACATATCGCTATCTGAATTTACATTATGAAAATTAATTTATTTTCTATAGTATTCCATATATCTCATTTATTTTTATATAAATTATGTAATTTTTATATAAAGTATGTAATTATGTTTATTTATGACGTTAACTGAAGACAATAAACTAAATTTGTTTCCTCACTTTGCATTGTTGACTCTAAATTCTATTTTTTTAATTTTGATCCACTTTGTAATGTAAATTCGGCTCATTACTCTATGGTACGTGGTAAGGATTAGAAAACAAATTGATTTTTAACTAAATAAATTTTACACTATGACAGATTTTGTCATCATATTATTTACACATTGTGATTTCGGTTCGAATTAGTTGATCTTCGTTTTCGCCGTTACTCCTAAACTTGGATTCGGATGCGCCATTCCGAACTAACTGCCACTAGCTATTTGCAAATATGTAAAGTTTTTAATTTTAAATATTACACACCATGGAATGTACATAACTCGAAAGATTTATTCCAATTATTGTAAACGGTCTTTATTTGTTTTTTTAGACTGAAAAAATTGTTAAATGTTTTATATTATTATTCCATGACTATTTAAATGTAATTTTAGTTGAGTTGCGAAATTTTGAGTATAATTGTTTTCAATGATGTTTAATATTTTTTTTTTTTAGTTTTACTGCTAGTTTCTTTTATTGTAATTGAACTTTGCAAATTTACTGATTGTCGATTTTATGTAGAATTTTGAAAATGCTTTAGTTTTTGTTTAGTTAAACAAAATGTTGTAAAATTGTTTAAACAATCAAGTTTGGGGTAAAGGTGTATTTTGGTTGAATCGATGTTTCTATGATTTGTACTGTTAGTAGATTAGCGGTATTTTAAAATATTATATTTTTATGAAAGTTCTCTGTAAATATTATTTTATTCGTTTTCAGCGGCCGGAGACTTGATGTACATTAACTAGGCTAGTGTACGGAATGTTGAAATAATATTTATTATGAGAAAATTGAACTATTTTTATTTACCATCTCTTCATGAATCTATAATATACCCCTTAATATAATTGTGGTGTCAGGGAGAAAATGATAACTCCAATTTGGTTGAATTATAGTTGGGTACTACAATGACAGTAAATTTTTTCTAAATTTTATTTTAATCTAACCCTGATAATTCTAACTTGAAAGAAAATAAAATGGCTGTATTTTCTTAAATTGTTTAAAATAGGTCACAATATTTGTTTTAATCAAATTTTGAAAGTGGCATACTGAAATTTTTTTTTCCTGTCCTTTTTTTCCTGTTTTTTATCCTGTTTCTCCCCGACACCACACACTTAAATCATTTAAAATAAATAATAAATCTAGTAAAGTTATTAAATGCAAAAATTTACAATACCAAGAACTTTACTATAAATAATTCAAAAACTACTTTATATTGGCTGCAAATATTTCCTACAAATTACATTATTTATAACCAGATTTAACAGAAAATTACTCACTTCAGATATGAATATCGAAAGAGATACAAAAAAAGTTGAGCAATAACAACCGTATATGATAAATGTATGTAGCAAACTATGCAAATTCAGCTTGAGTAATTAAATAGAAATAAGACTAGAGAGGGAAAAGGGCTCAATAAATAAAAGACCAATATAAACACATGACTAGCTTTATTCTCAGACAATACACGACAGTCTGCGCCTCGGTCGTACACAACAACAATACAATTACATGCTTAATGCCTTACTTGCTAACATACCACTTTGGCCCACGCTCTTTTCTCGATTGATTACCAATTATTACCATTCCATTTTAACATCTTTTATATATTATTTTTTTTCGTTAAATAACAGAACATATCTGAATGTTGTAGCTAATGGGAACAAAAATATAATAATTGAGTAACTTTGTTTGTTCTTGATGAAGCTTTTAGCTTCCTGCAAGTGTTAGATAGCAAAGAGCATGAGCCGTTCTTTCGTTGTTCAATTTAAACATCTGACCTCGAAACAAATCAATAGACCTTACCTAGCTTTGTAAAAAAGTTAAGCTCATTTTTCAGACCAACTGTAGCTAAGAATCAGTATTTCGGTCACAACCTGATTACCTACAATAGATATGAAATTGACGCATTGTCCCAGTGCCCTTAAACTACTAGCATATAATATGAGATATGAACATAGTGCCGGATTTAATGTTAACGCCGCCCCTGGGCAGTGTAGGAAATGTCGCCCTATTGAAATTTTGAGGAGGGGAAACCTTTCGATAGTTCCTTTTTTTTTTAATTTTTGATAAATGCAAAAAACAGTCATTTTATTTAATAAATCATTTTTTGGAAAAAACTTTTTTTGCGATAACGAACATTTTTTTTATTTATCCCTCGAATGTTACCACCCTAGGCACTAGCACCGAGTGCCACTAGTGTAAATCCAGCGCTGAACATAGTCCATTACTTGATCAGACGAAAATTATACAGATGAAAAAAAAAATAATGTTCAATTTTAAATCAAATAATTACGAGCTGCGAAAAAGAAAACTGTTAGATTTTAGTAGTAATATCGGTAACATTCACACCACTAACAAATAACTACATAATATAAACTTTTCCACTACAATGAAAAAGAAAAACTTGATAAAAGATTATTAGCTACAGTTCATCTGCGAATATCAAGACACTCATTACATATACCTTAACACATAAGATTACATGCTATGTGATAACATCAATCGTGCGAACTTCACTTGTAATTTTACAGCTCCTACACTAAACGTGAAATTCGTTAATACAACATCGATCTAACTCTAAAGAAGATAAGAAAGAAATATTTTTGAATCGATAAAAATAATTTCAAATGCAAATATTTAAGGCATTTTTGAGTATACTATTTTGTTTCTATTATTTCTGTAGGCACAGGTGATCTCCGGGTGTGTCACTACACGTTTAATATTGTCATCACAATGCAGACGTAGAGTCACTATCAGTAAGGCGAAATTCCTATAGAGAGACGGTCGTTATTGAGCATCTCATTGCATTATTTATCACGATCGTCACAAGAAAATAACTAAATATTTGATATACCTTAGGTTATGTTATATAGAAAAATGTTACTATTTTACCTGTGGTAGGTGCGCCGATAAAAAAGCTTGGAGCTTATACTCTCATTCTCATTGAAAATTGAACTCGTTTGAAATTTAACTTCAAAAACAAACTCTTCAAGCGTTAATAACTTTACAAACATACTTTCTATGAATGCCAAAAAACATTATTATAACAAATATTTATACAAGCAGAGCTTCTAGGACGATCGTGACAACGGCACCAACGCCATCTATATAAGACCAATGGACAGATCGTTATTATTGAAACTCACAACTTTAGTAACAATTATTTGCTCTGAAACACAACCGTACAAACGCGGGACCGGAGTTAAGGCAACAACAAAGGCAGTACAAATACAAAAATATACGCGGATATATCCAGACGAGTGATACTTGTACACTTATTACCTACAATATATAAGGAATGTGCATCGTAGTCAAGGAGGCTGCCGGGGAGAGAGGGACCAATGGACAATATATGTATGTATGCATTCAGCCCTTTTTAACGTACCACTGTTGTGCACGGGCCTCCCTACAATACGAAGGGGATCAGGCCATAGTCCACCACGCTGGCCAAGTGCGGGTTGGCGGACTTCACATTTCTTTTGAAAACTCGCTAGGTTTTCTCAGACATGCAGGTTTCCTCACGATGTTTCCTTCACCTTTAAGACAAGTAGTAATCATGTTGGAAATCAACGGACAATATCAAAAATTAATTTGTATAACTTATGAAATTAGTATTTAATACCGAGAATCACATTCACTAGTTTTAAGACAATTTCAAAATTAAAAAAAAATAATTACCCAAAAATAAAATAAATGCAACTTTATATTTTAATTTAAAAGGTTATTACGAATAAAAAAAACAATTTTAAAATATATGTTTCCACGCTTAGGACAAATTCTATCTTGAAATTTATACGGAACCACCACATACTTATCTTTTAAAAAATATGAAAATTAATTCACAATTAAAATTATATATTGAAAATCTCCGTCAGTCCAACATAAATTATAAACGCCAGCCTCCCTCACAATTAAATACATACATACTAATTTACGTATAATATTTTTATATATGGATACAGCAAACATCAATACATTTCATAGTTATATAATAGTTTGGCTCCGACGTCGCTGCTCCCCGCCGCCCCCCGCCGCCACACGCCGATATGTTGAGTACCGCTAAGAATCGTTCACATTTACGCCCATCACTACATAATATAAAACAAAGTCGCTTCCCGCTGTCTGTCTGTCCCTATGTATGCTTACATCTTTAAAACAACGCAACGGATTGCAGATGCGGTTTTTTTTAATAAATAGAGTGATTCAAGAGGAAGGTTTATATGTATAATACATGCATATTATTGTACAGAAAAGCAGAGAAATTCAAAGATTTGTATTTCATAGTAACCGTTAAAACGTACCTAGGGACGAACCCGAGCGAAGCGAGGGTGAGTCGCTAGTAAATTATAAACTATCTTTCGATTACACATACTACAGATATTAGTATAAAATGTCAAATATCTATCTCTGGTAGGCTCGACAATCGAGAGATAGGACATTCATTTTGGCCGGTTATTCATATAAACGCTAGTAATACTAAACATAAGATTTATTTCAGCGACATGTTATGAGACAAGCATCTGAGTGGACTTGTGTCGCCACATGGACCTATATTTTGTAACTTGTAGACTGACAAGTAGATATGTGGTTGAGATTAACTCATTTTATTTATGTAGAATATATCTTCCAAACAAAGATGTCTTACTGTTCTCTCAAGAACGTAATATGAACATTTAGTTACATCGACCCATAAGTACGAATATAACATTCCAATTTATATACAAACTTACAACGACACCTACAGAAACTAAATGACTTAGACCTGAAGGTAAACAATCATTAGTGTATTTTACAAAAATAGTTTAAATTAACACGTGACAATTCCATGTAACGTACCAAAAATATTGAGTGCAATCTGTCAGAAAATATACATATATATTATACTTCACTAAATTACGTATATCAATATATTATGCCTATATCTTAAATGCTAGCGTAAGTACTCACTCCCACTGGTGGTACAACAATTTAATAATTATGCAACGATACCTTAATTGGCAAACCAGCCAACTCCGTATGAGCAAATTTTTCAGGAGACACTTAAAACTTTACAATATTTTTGGTATACTTATTAAAAAAAATCCAAAAACACCGATAGTAGAGAACATGGAAAGCTGTTATTTTTGATACTGTAAAATGCTACTAATATAATCCCACTGAATTACTCTTGCGTACAATCTAAACCAAAAAATATTTTTTGACGAAACGTGGAGTTGGCTGGTTTGCCAATTAAGCGGTATCGACATACGAAATATAATACTTTCTTAGATTTACATGGATATTTGATATTTTAAGTAAAACTATCTTTTCACGGAAAGCATTCAAAACGACGGAAACCAAAAATCAAAATAAATCCGCGAAATAGTCCGATAGATAGTTTTATTTAAAATGTTATTCATACGTATAGAAGCGTGAACTTAACAGCTACACTATAGCGTAGTGTCTACAAAATGAGCAAAGAGCATAACTAACACTATCTTTGGTGCTGAAAAAATTCAAAAATTTAAAAATATTTAATTTTAAAGTAGTGATAGACTCACTCCCAAGTAGATCTAGACTAATTATTTGTTTTTATTACGAAAAAGTAATGATAAATATATATTATGTGTATTTACAAAGACAGCTTCTGCCTAATATATAATATTTTTATATAAAATCGACTTAAATCGATGGAGTTATTTTTATTAGAACATAGATTATTTTTAAGTCTTAGTCCAAATGACAAATATGTATATAACACTTGATACAATAACGATCATCTAGTGTGAACCCTACAACTCTTAACAATATACTAAATAGAGATAATGTTGCCATATAAATTAGTAAAAAATCATCAAGATAAAACCCAATGAATAATTTTGATAAAGTATTTTGTTAAAAAAATATTAAATCAGTTGATTTAATTTTTTTTTATGTTAAATCAAAATAAAGAGTTATTAGGTTCAAATATCTACTTACATTATTATATAAATCCCATATAGTATACATATTTATTTTACATTTATATATTTTAGGAATTGAGCTCACTTACATGTAACGAGCGTGACTAGACCTTAGGGTATTCTTTGTTTACTTTAAATGCAAAATATTTTATTTTAATGTTAAATCAAAGGATGTGATACAATTGCATAACGTTTCTCACGCACCGTTCAATTTTATTACACTTTAAAAATGCATTTTGTAAGTATAGACTTTTTAAAATTTAATGTCTTCATTAAATATGATACAGCATAACACACAGATAAAATTCACTTTATTTCCAATTGTTGCACGAGCAGATTACACTCACATAACCTGAAAAAGGACAAAAAAAGCATATATATATTATTTAATGTTTCAAAACAATTAATGCGTATATTAGCAGCAGTACGGTATTATATCTATATTGTAAAATTTATACATATTTCTTTGATTGTGGGCTATACGCACGTGTGTGTGTGCTGTATGTGCATACATCTACAATATACAGTCACGTACCAGCGCTACTCATCGAGACGTGCACGTTTGCTGTCAGGCTCGTCATCGTCCTCCCAGTCCCAGTCGCCGTCCTCCTCCTCGGAGCGCGGCGGCTCGTGCGGCTCGAGCCCGTCCTGCGGCTCGAGCCCGTCGTGCGACTCGAGCCCGTCGTGCGACTCGAGCCCGTCGTGCGACTCGAGCCCGTCGTGCGACTCGAGCCCGTCGTGCGACTCGAGCCCGTCGTGCGGCTCGAGCGGCTCCTGCGGCTCGGGCAGCTCGTCGTCGTCGTCCATGGCGCGCTGCATGACGGCGATGGGCGGCTCGCGGCGGTGCTCGGCCACGCGCCGCTCGATCAGGAAGCTGACGTACTCGTCGTACAGCAGCCGGATTAAATGGAACGAGCCGAATGACGCCGCCGATCTGGTCACATAATAATGTATATTAATCTTTAGTATTTTTATGCAAGAATCTGTTAGAAAGAGAAACTGTTGAGTATAAAATATTAGATGAATAGTATGTTGTAATTAATATTAATTACATATCATTACTATTTAAATTAATATGTAGCAAATGGTTTGTGTAATTAAAATGACGTTCCATTTTTTTGTAATCCAGTAAGTTCAATGTTTATCTTTGTATAAAATAATTTGAATAACAAATAAGAAAATGCGAGGTGGAAGGGACAGATTATGGAAAACCCTAAAATTGTAAATATTATCATATAAACAGTTTTCAACGTCTTTTAAATATTATAAAAATAAAAAACCCGTTTTCCTATTTTTATAATTTATTTATTAACCCTAAACTGTTATTGAAAATGAAAAATGATGAAAGAAACCTAATAATGATTTTTAAATACCTATTCAACGATACCCCACTTGACATAGTTCATCGATTTTCATATTTTTGTTTTTCACATAATGGAATCTAGCATCCCCCATATTTAACGTATCTTTAAGGTGACATACCTATCTAAAAACACTCGGACTAATGAGACGAATCTAACGATACCTTAATTAAAGAAATCCATCGAGTGGTTCGGCAGATGTGAGGAAATAAAGAATATTACAAACAAACAAAGATAGGCACGAAAAGCATGACCGTTCCCTCGAGTCGGGTAATCGAAAATGATATAAAAATGATGTTAGAGTGTACTCGTGTACCTGAGCGTGAGCTCGCGTATGACGAGGCTGGAGTAGAAGGACCAGTCCAGCAGCAGGCGGCGCGCGCGCGGCGTGTAGTCGGCGCGGCGCTCGTGCGGCGCCAGCGCGGCGCGCACGCTGGCCTCCAGCCACGCCGCCCACGCCTCCAGCGGCGCGCCGCGCCCGAGCCGCGCCTTACACACACACCGTCAAAATTACATTATAACTATGAGATATAATAAATAAATTCATTTCACTATTAACGCCCTCCTCGCCAAATACAGCTATGGCGGTTAATCTCGCCGAGGCTAACCACGTGCACAGGAAATATTGTACACAAGTGTACATGCACACAAAAGTTATTAATTTTCAATTCTTTCAACCTCACACTCCGCTGAGAGGACAATTCGATACGACTGGGAGAAACCAGACGCAACGCCGACCGCTTTTTTATTTACCAATTTGCACTTAAACTCCACTCGACCCAGGGCTCTTTCCCAGGATTCATAGACGTCCACCCGGCTAGATTATTTAAATTATTATAATTATACGCATAGCGTAGTTCATACTTTGAAGTCTGCCTCCAGCTTGTGCGCGGTGTTGGCGCTGCCGCAGGCGCAGGCCCAGGCCGCCTGCTCGCGCACCACGCGGAAGTCCACGCGGTTCAGGTCCGACAGCATCTACAGATATTATACATTACAATGAGTTAAATTTATATTTGTATCGTTTCTTCAAACTGAAATTTTTCAAAGAATTAGAGTGTACTTTTATATGGCAACTTCAATGGTCCTTAGGTAAATATTAATAAACAGAAATATTACAAAATATAAAATATGTGTAAATTTATTATTATAATGGCATAAAAATGTTGAAAAAAAAAAATTTTAAATTTTGAATATGAATTAGCAAAATAATTATATATATGGCCATAACACTTTAATTTTGAATCAAATAATATGAAAAATATTCCTCCTTCTATACTAATTCAAATGAACCAAACGATAGTGTCATTTTATTTACTTCTAGCGCCATCTATTATTTCAAAACAAGAAACATCAAAATTTAACATGATATTTAAACGAAGGAAGCGCTTTAATATGGTCTATATATATGTATAAAGGAAGGCGGGACCTGCTGTATCTGGTGCTGGTTGTTGAGCACGGCGCGCGCGGCCTGCGCCAGGTGGTTGAGCGAGGTGTAGCGCCGCAGCGCCGCCGCCAGCGCGGCCGCCGCGCCCGCCTGCGCGCGCGCCGCCGCCGCCGGCGCGCCCGCCGCGCCCGCCGCCAGCGCGCTCTCCAGGCTCTTCGCGAAGTTGCGGATGGCCTGATTACGATATATAAAACTAGGTACGAAAACTTTACAAATTATATACGAAAACCTTCCTCGAAAACCACTCTATCCATTGGTGAAAACAGCACAAAAATCGGTGCAATAGTTTTTGAATTATTGCAAACTGACAGACAGACATAGACATAAATGGACGCGGCGGAGGATTTTGTTTTATAATATGTAGTGATAATAATATATAAATGTATTCTATATTTAACTGCTGGGTGTAGCGCTGAATTTACACTAAGGGCACTCGGGGCTAGTCTCCAACGACAAAATTTTTCAGGAGCGGCAAAATTCGAAGGATAAATTAAAAAAAAACTCGCGTTATCGATAATATTTTTTTACTTTAAAAAAAAATAATAATAAAAAAAACTATTTTTGCATTCATTATCATTTAAAAAATTTCAAGATCATTTAAAACAATGAAAATTAAAAAAAAACTTTATCGAAACTTTACCCATTTTATGCAAAATTTCAATAATGGGGCGGCATTTCTTACATTGCCCAGCGGCGTTAAGGTTGAATCCGTCCCTGGCTGGGTGATACCTTTGTAAATTTTCTGCATCTTTTAAAACTAACTTTTGCCAATAACAATTACAGTGAAAACGAGCACAAATTATTTATCATAATTACGTTATATGTATAAAACAATTAATTAAAAATAATTATGATTCAATAACCACATTTTGTATAATTCACTTGTAATGAAAAGAGTAAAGTATATAAACCTGTGTGAGGTGCGAGGGTATGGGGCGCAGCACGTCGGGCAGCAGCAGGTCCACGGCGCGCTGGTGCAGGCGCAGCTCGGCGCGGCGCAGCCAGGCGCACACGTCGCGCCGCGCGGCCAGGCGCGCGCCGCCGCGCCCCGCGCGCCGCCAGAACGCGCGCCGGCAGCGCTCCACCGCGCCCGTGTCCAGCGCCGCCACCGCCTCCAGGAACTCCGCGCCGTGCTGTCTGTCATGTACCGTACCGTACGATATCATACATCTTAATTTAATTAAAAAAAAAAAAAACAAAACCACGTCGGTTTTATTTTAAGCTCAACATAAAAAAAATACTTATATAATACTTTCTTTTCAGCCGAATAATTGACATTTTAAATTAGACTATCTTTTCACATTTCGTTGCGTTTTATTTTATATTTTTGTTATTTTTCTTTCCCCTTAAGTAACCCAGTATTGATGTCTTTTTAAAACGTAAAAATTGTAAATAAACAAAATAATTATAATAGCAACCCAGAATAAAAATCTCAAATTGTCAAATTACACCAACACAAATTAAAATTATTTATTAAATTTACAACATGTAAGGTGCCATAACTGAAATGGTACTATTTCTCATTTTATGAGTAGACACAATCTGCAATATCTATAATTTATAATAACTTTTAAAACATCAAAAACATTAGTCTCTTTCATAACTATAATTGCTATAAAGCATTCAAAATGAACCGAATCCAAAATCAAAACAAGCCCAGGGAAAAATGTACGAATTCAAATCCATAATAAAATGTTACGCCCTAATATTATGAGCTTAAGTCTAAAAAAAATTTAAAACAATCCAGATTATTAATAAATATAATATTGCTACTTAAATTCCATGAAATAACCTTAATCATTGAAATATATTTACTAAAGGGTACCTATGATAATGATGATAAATTTTCCTATCATAAATAACATGAACAACAAAAATAAAGTATAGTACATTAAGATATAGATATTACTACCCGACGCTCCGCACAAAAGAGGTTATTTGCTGCTCATATTGAATATCACCGCCCACGCGCTTCAATTCAACTCAATACAGTGTGATTGAGGCTAATGATTTTAACGATGTAGATATTTTATTACTATTAAAATAAGTAATATTATTATTATGATATAATAGATATTATAAAAAACATATATTCTTAAAATAAAAAATAAATTCAAATGAAGAATAACAAAAAAATATTGAATTCGGTACAGGTACAATATGGGGCATTCCACGCCAAAAAAAATTCTTTTCTTAATATTTTGGTATTTTTAGTACTGGTTCACACCCCTCTTTTTTTGGTATTTTGCTCATAACTTTCTTAATAATTGTCGACATTTAACTTCTTATTCAAAATTTTTGTTTTTGGATAACCTTTTAAAAAAATATTGTAAATGTTTTTAATCGAGATTTTTGAATTTTAAGTTTTCAAACGTGATTTTAAAACTGTGAGTCCCCTTTGGATTTTTTGAAAATTTTCTATTTTAAACTTCTATCCATCATGCAACTTTTAAGCTCAGTCCGGTAGTGGGCTTCCATAATTATTATTTGTTTTCGATTTTTAATTATTATTATTTTTCATTTATGTGTTTTTTCACCATTGTTAACCTTTCAAAGCACGCGGAGCCACAGGTCGCTCGGTTAACAATTAATTTCTTAGAATTTAACCGCAAGGTGTTAAGAAAGTTATGAGCAAAAAAAACAAAAAACGGTTATGAACTAGTGATCAAAAAATTTCATTATTTATCAGGATGCCTCTTTTGAGGGGTACTAAAAATACCAAAATATTAAGAAAATCAAAAATAAAAATTTTTGAAACCGCTCGATTTGGCGTGGAATGCCCGAGCCGAGGTGGAAGGCTGGAAGGGCCGTGCGCTACGTACGTACCGGTGCTGGTCGCGCAGGTGCTGCAGCGCGTCGCGCGACACGTCGTCGGGCAGCGGGTCCAGCGCCAGGTCGGGCGGCTCCGGCGCGCTCACGGCGCCCAGGTACTGCCGGTGCCCCTCGTCCGCCTTGAGCGCGGCAGTCGCGGCGGTCGCGGCGGTCGCGGCGGGCTCGGCGGTCGCGGCGGGCGCGTCGGGCGCGGCGGGCGCGTCGGGCGCGGGCGGCGCGGCGGCGCTGGGCTTGGCGCGGATGCCGTAGTAGTGGTACTTGGAGTTGCCGCGCGTGCCGAGGCGGCGCGTGCGCAGGCCCACGAACACGGAGCGGATGAGCTTGCCGAAGGACGCCGCGTTCACCGGCTCCAGGCGGTGCGCGGAGCAGTGCCGCAGGTAGTGCGCGTACAGCGTCGAGCGCGGCAACGACACGCCTGCACAAACAAACGCACATGATACGACTCACATTTTAACATTTTAACAAAATTCATTTTACGTATCACAATATAGGTATGGAAATCAACAATCATATTTTCTTTTACAACATACTTATTTTTCGTTTCTCGTTCCGAAACTATCACCATCTCTTTACCCACATACACTAAACAACAATGATATCTATCATGTTCCATATTAATTATTATAATTAAGTAATTAATTAATAATATTACCACGACGCTAAAAATTAATTTCATATCCCCAATGATAATTTATAATTTGTCCTAAACATCCAAAACCTGTACAAACACAATATCAAACATATCGTATCATATTTGGATATTCAAATATACCATTGAGTTTATAAACGAAAAAAAACGGAGCATTCGACTCCGAACATAAAGCCATAAAACAGCAACGGCAGCACAACAGTAAGCTCACCCTCTGCGGTCTCGTAGTGGTCGAGCAGCCACTGCACGGTGGCGGGCGGCATGCGCGCGGCGGGCGCGGGCGACGCGGGCTGCTCCGTGCTGAAGGCGAACTCGCCGGCCCACTCGTCGGGCGCCGCCACCGCCGTCACCGCCGTCACCGCCGTCACGGCCGCGGCCTCGCCCGCCGCGCCCACCGCGCCCACGTTGCTCACGTTGTACACGGGGTACGTGCGGAGCGTCTCCCTGACGTGCCCAAAACATTGTATTACTAACTATTAGCTCTCGCTTTGCTCAGGTGCGTGCCTAGGATAATAGAAGGCCATGCCATAGGATAATAAAAAGGGGTACGGTACCGTTAAGGTAAAATACCGTTCAGGTCATAAATTTCATGCAAAACCATCCATCCGCTGTATCATGAATAAGTAACAAACGTTCAAACCCACATGCCCACAGAATCTTTCGCATTTTTGATAGTAATCCGATTTAGGGTTCTGTAGTCAAAGGAATGGGTTGCAATCCTATTATTAAACTAAGCCCACGCACTCTTTACGTCTCACTGTTTGTTTATAGAAATTCTTTGGAATCGTAATAAGAAATTGATAGAACTATTTACAAATAATGTGTTATTATAACAAAAAACCAGTACAGTAACAATATTTTTCTTTATATTTATTGTCGATATACCTGTAAGCTGTATTATTAAACCATCTAAGTTAAACATACGTACATAATTAATATTATATATACATACTTACTAAAGTCGCTGCCGTAAAACTCAACAGTTTAATTTAAAATTTGGTAACATTATTTTATTTCATTATACAATGTGATAGATATGCGGCGGCAGACGGGAAAGAATTCCTATTAAGCCCATTTCGCAAAGCCTCTAGAAAGATAGTTTGTTCCGGTGGCATAAATAAGGAGACCTCCACTTAATTAATTGAAAAAAGTTCTAATCCGTGATGAATTCCATCCAAAATGACCATACTGTGTATTTTTGTTGTAGACCTACGATACCTTTAACTCCGGTAACAGACATAATTGATACAGAATGAAGAAATTTTATGAACTTTTTGATATTTTTTTTAAAAAAATCTTAGTGCATAACCTAAGCCATACACTAAGGTTTTAAACTAACACAAGTGAATGTCGGTAGTCGTCGATGAGAGTCGGTCGCTAGTAAATATTACATTTTATGCGAATGTTATTAAACCTGCCGAGTTGTTCCTAAATTATATTAAAAAAGTAGCTAAGAATTTAAGGGTGCGCCATGACACCGCCATGATTGGAATTCGGAGGAGCAGGATAACAAGATAATGATCTATCGTGAGTGAGAAGAATAGAGCGATAGATGCTCAACGTATTTAAGCGCCAAACCATTTTTTAATTGACTATAAATTAATTAAACAACCAATCAAAATATGATATTCGATAACTGAAGAAATACTTCTAGGCTTCCTGAAAAAACACAAATCCCTACAAAAATAGTGAGCTGCTTCTGAGATTAATCGCCATATGTGTGCAAAAGATGTATTTTTCAAAAAAAAATATTATCAAGAAAATTTTCACCAATCGTATATTCAAATTTGGCAATTCAAGATAAAAGTCCGAAGTATCATTTCTCTAAATATCAAAGCGGCAACTCTCATAGATTCTGAAATAAATAACAATGTCTAGGTACAAAATTCCCATATGTACACCCTTAATAATATAAATAAATAAATATGTTGGGACATTAACACACAGCACCATCCAGTTTCATGGTAAGCACAAAGCTTGTGTTATGGATACCAGATAGTTGATACACTACACATATATAACTTTAAATACATACATATTATAAATATAAACACCCATGACTGCAGTAAAAACACTCGTGCTCATCACACAAATGAACGTCCCCAGCGGGACTCAAACCCGCGACCGCTGGCACAGCAAGTACAGGCACTAACAAACTGAGCCAAACGTGTTTTCTAATAATATATCTTCAAGCTTCTTGCAATGTGTAATAGAAAGTATGAGTCTACGTACTAATGTCTCGCTATCATTTCTTTTTTTGGATAACTTACTCATAATACGGTAAAAGACCTCTTAGACAAAAATACGTAAATTGATTTTAAATGCTAGGTATGACGTTAGCTGAACACACACTGAGAAAAAATGGAATTAAAAATTTAGTTTATGTGCCACTAACGATAAGTGGTCCAGCACTGGGCTTTGTTTAATTCGAATCACAACACAACTCAATAAAACAATAAACATTCGCTTGCGAGTGACAAAACTCATGGTAATTTAAAACTGTATTGAATTTAGTTTTTTTTTATTATTATTTCTTGTTAAAAACCATAAATCTTTTCATGTTTTTTTTTTACAAATAATATAATGACTAAGAAGTCTCTCTTTAAATTATTATTATTACTAGCGTTTTCCTGCAACTCCGTCCGCATAGTACATTAATCACCAACATATCTTATACTAAAACCTTCCCCGAAACACGCTGCATCTTATGGTATGAGTATTATTCCGATCGGTTCAGTAGTTATCGCAGTATAACCGAACAAAAAAATCGGCTCTCCATTTATTAGTATAGATTACAATAGATAATGATTGTAAGGCTTTCCATTAGGATATAAATCAAATAATTATAATTTTTTTTTCTTAATGTCTGCATTTAAGATAAATAAAATTGAAATGTCTATTTGTAATGTCAACATAACAGTTTTTTACTAAATGCATATGAAATTATATACGGTACTTATAAGAAATACACATTTTTTTTTTAAAATCTGTCAGTTTGTTCCCGCTAATCTCCGAAACGGCTGGACTGATTTTGATAGGACTTTCACTGGCAGATAGCTGATGTTATAAGGAGTGACTTAGGCGACTTTTATTTAAGAAAAAGAACTATGGTTCCGCTAAAAAAAAATGTTTACAGTTCATATCTGGTACTAGAACTTTAGAGATGAGGCAATATTTAATAAAACATATTTCAACCATATTTTTAAATCTCATATATTTTTATTAGCTGTTTTCTTTTGTGTTATTTTTTTTATTTATTTAATAAAAACCAGAGCAGGCGAGAAATTTTCAAAGGAAGAAGTTAACTTACATGTGAGTTTGATGGCCGGTCTGCGTGTAAATCTCTTGCGGCTCCACATACTGTACGTGGTAGTTGACGCCATTGCCGCCCTCACCTGTGAATTAAGAATGTCTTTAAAATGTAATTTACAAACAAAATACTTCTGAATTAGTAACATAATTATCGTACCACTATAGCAATACCCCATGTTTGTTAGTACATATATCAATGTTTTAAAAGTATATACATATATATAAGTGTTCAAACAACTTAATATTAATTAATATAATATGTTATTAATAAGCTTTTTTAATATTTTAAAATATATTTGTTTTACAAATTTATGAAGAATTCTGAAGAAAGAAACCCACTATTTGATATATAATATTATAAATAAATCTAAAAGTAAAACGTAATGTAAATTAGTAACACTCATTGTTAAATAAAATACTCGACGGAATAATTTATAGAATAAACCAATTCAATAATTAATTATTAATAATAAAAATAAAAATGGCATATTAGAGCAAAAGCGCCAGCTGTTAAATCCATTCTTGTGATCGCTATAATCCTCATTATAAAAAAAAAATATTGTCAAAACACAAATATATAAGAAAATCAACAGCGCGTCTCACGTTCGATGCTGAACTGAAGCGGCTGCAGCATGGCTTGGAACTCACACGGGTAGTACGCGCGGTATCGAGGCACCTCCATGCTGCCGGAGGTCTCCCGGGCAACTCCGCGTCCGCGTCCGGGCAGAGCGAGAGGACGCCTCGGCAACGTCGCGGGCGTGTGGCGTATCGCGTTTTAGATGCTTTTTTGTATATTTTTAATCGATTCCAAACAAAGGAGATAATCAATTTGGTTATATTTTTTGTATATGTTTACACAGTTCTATGTATTTTAGATAATAATTGTAGAACAATTTTCGTGATTTTCTTTCAACGCTTATTTACCGTTACCTCAGAGGTTATTCTATATAAATTTCTATACAGAACAATAAAATATAGTTATTTATATTCACGTTGTGATACATTTCGCTGATGTTTGCGTTTTATGAATTTTAATTTTATTACCTTCTAAAAATATAATAACTATGACGCAAAAAGTTTACTGAATCACTATTTCATTGAGAGAGATTTTCAAGTTACAGTACTTTGCGTAAACAAAATAACTGCAACTTTTACATCAATATGTACTAAAAACCACAGCCTAGCCGGTATGTTAAAAAGTATTCTTTAAAATATTCATATATAAAACCAAGTTATACATAATTAATAGCTTCGCCGTGTTAGTGGAACACGTCCCTTATCGTCTGCCATCTCGATTTACGTCTCATCAAATCAAAGAGCGCACCCCACCTGTACACGCCCATTGTAACATAAGCGATATAATTGCAAACTTTCCCCCTTGTAAATGTTCACTGACCATACCTGCCATGTTTACTAATTGATTTGTTAAGCCGACGTTGATACCTTGATTGACTCTAATCTTAAAAAAAAAACCAATTAATTTTTATTAATATCAAAAACCTCTTTATCTATATATTATTATATATTCACCACCATATTCTCCTGTTATTTAATTTAATCCATTTAATATCCATAACCTAATGCAAATGTACTAAGGAGATATCTCTCAAATAATTTTGAAAAGAAATATCTATTTATTTTTTAGTATTATATATATTATTTAGATATACCTAGACATCCTCATTTATATACCTAAATAATATGTACTCTTATATACGTATAATTTATGTCTGGACGAATATAACTTTAATAACACATTGTTCCAAAAACAATAATACTGAAAGCAGACAAGATAGAATTTGCCTCATATTTTTCAAAGCAAAATCCCTCTTGAATTTACGACGAGATTAAAATAAAAACAAAGAGTAGCTATATAAGCCCACTGTGCTGCGTACATAAATATAAGTAAACACAAAAAGAAGCTTCGTAATAGACGCAGACATATAAACGGCGCACGTTATATAAAAGGTAACCAAGCTCGGAGGTGAATTTATCGCCATATATAGATATTAGAATTCATATTATTCATTTATGATATAAATTAATGTGAATTATATATAACAAAACAATATTTTACACGTGTTATTATGACAATGAATCTACTCAAGACCAAGTTCACTCAATATATTAAAGTAGCCACGAAAACATAACGTTTGAAATATAACAAAATTAAACTTTATTTTATTAGCAAGCACTTTTGAATCAATCAATATAATTTAAAAAGCGCCAGTGTAGTCAGTCTGTGAGGAAGCTACCACCGGCTCGGAAAGCAGTTCTGCTGAGAAGAGCCGGCAAGAAACTCAACAGCTCGTTTAACCGTCAAAAATTTTGTTTGTCGTTTATATATTATTGTTTTAAAGCCGGAAATGTAACTAATGCTGTGTATGCCTATAATTAATGCTTGTACTAGAATAAGTAATCTTATAATATAATAATTTAGAATGTAGGTACAATGTATTGTTGGCATATCATTCAAATAAATAAATAAATAAATAAAAAAAAATTATCAGCTTCAATATAATATGTAAAAAATATACAGAATATATGTGCATATACTACTCAAAAATGAATAGTCGTAGGAGTAGATTTTATAATAGTGCTAGATAACGTAAAAACCTAATTATTACAGTTAAAAAACAGATTTTTCATCAAACAAAAAACCAAGACATTCTTTTTTTTATTGTAAATTATGTATTTATAATAAAATTAAGTAATTTATAAATTAGGTAGGTGGAGCAAAAATATATAAAATATTGAATATTTAAATTAAAAAAAAGAGATTCAATAAAATAATACATTATTTCTGAAAAATTATTGTTTTATAATATATGGAATTACAAAATATATTAACCTCAGAACCCCAGGTTCTAAGGTTAAATACAGCTTATATTTAACAAAGTACCTACAGAAAGAAAAGAAATGAGTAATAAATAGCTTATAATATTAATATCAAATTGTAATTTTCAATATCTTACTTTTAATTTTTAAATCATTTTGATTAATTTTTTAGTCGCAACTATTACAAATAAATTGCAAAAAAATTATGCATGGAATTTTAAAATTACTGATTAAAGTACATATCTCTAAGTATCAAAATTAAAAAAAAATCAATAAGTATATTAGAGTTACGCATCACCAGAGTGATGCTCGCCCGAACACAAAGACATAAACACGGCACGCGTCATCAAAGGTAGCCAAGCAAGTGTATTACAATGAACACCCCTATGATAGTGCATTGATAACGAGCGCTCAGGTAGATAATCCCGAGGGGCACACAATTATCCGTTATTACGAATTTTTATTGAAATCCATACCCTAATCAAATAAAAAAATCAAATTTTGGCGTTTATTTTCAAAACTTTAAGGGCGGTTTTCGTTTGAAAACGAAATTAGATAATAAAGGGTGTATTAAATACGGTATCAGTTGGACAGGTGGGAGATAATCAGATTGAGATATAGAATGTCAGAGGGTAGGTTTATTTGGACAGTACGTCAAAGGTTTCGTAAGATAAAAGTATGTTTACAAATCAAAACATTGTTAAACCAGAAAAAGAAAAAATATCACGGAAAGAATTCTGGTAAGTTATATTCAGTATATTTAGTGAATTCTCGAAAAATAATGAAAGTTTGATCATAATATATTATAATTATATAATTCGTAAAAATTACTCCTTTACAACTTATGTAGGTACCATAATTGTCCTCAAAAGTGTATCTTTTAAATAATAATTCAAAATATACTTATGTCAGATGGAAATTATTCACTACAAATATAATTTATGGGACTCGTCAAAACCAATCAACTGTGTTTTTACTATTATCATTCAAGATATCTACTATCCACTTAGAGTCTAGTGACTCTAACATCATTTCAACTAATGGTATCCAATTTTAATATCATCCCGATTTCACATACAAAATTTCAAATCGATAGAACAATTAGAAGCAAGCAAAATTAAAAAAAACTGATAAAAACTGACTTCAAAAAAAACACAAAAAAAATATATAACTGATAAGTAGTTTTCATTTAGTATAGATACCTAAACAGCTATTTTCAAAGTCGGTATAATTTGATTTATACCAGATGGCACTGACTGCGAGAATATCTGATTAAGTAATAATAATATAGTAAATGAAAACTACCAATCAGTTATTTTTTTACTTTTTAGTGTTTTTTTTTTTGAAGTCGGTTTTTTTAGTTATTATTTTTCCATTTTTAGCGTAGACATAGTAGTAGCAAAGTAAGAGAAAAGTATTTTAAGAATCCAGTAGTTGAAGAATCAATCATCCCCTATTTTCTACACTTAGGGATGGATTTTTTTTGAAATTTAAATGGAACCAACTCTAGAGGTATACCCTATCCGATAAAAAAAATCGGATTACCTACACTGTAAAAAGTTATGCGTGGTCAAGCATAAAAAATACGAGTATATATATACGTCTCGAATTGGGAACCTCTTCCTTTTTTTTCATGGTTTAAAAATTCGACTGACAAGATTTAATTATATAGTTGCAAAGCTAATAAAAGCGTGTTAATATAGGAATTAATTTTTTGAAATATGACCACCCATTAAGACGGACGGACAGTATTCATAGACTTAGTGCCAACTAAACTCTTTACATACGTAATCCGAACAATAAAAATCAAACGCTGTTTCTTGTAAATCTGCATTAAAGTGAAGTTATAAATATAACAAGCCAGGCAATGAAGCAAAAACAAATATAAATACATAAATAGAATTTAAAAAAAAAACATAAAAACACTTGCTTTCTTGATCACTGTGCGCCTCAGACTTGACCTGCAGCGAGTCTTGTTCCCATGCGTTGTCGACTGTGCGATTGTACCAACATTAAAATGTGCAAATAATACCACACTAAACTATGAGGAACATGCTGTATAACTATAAAATATAAAACATTACGAATAATATAAACATAAAATCTCAAATCTATGTAATATATCAACTGACAATCCATTTATACGTCTCACATTACACATATTTTGAAGTGAAACTTCTTTAGAATCGTTGTGATTTGAAACTCGATGAAACGAAAATGCGACACGAGAAAGAGACAAACACATAAATAAATAGGATTAGGCCGGCGAGAGAATGAGATAGAATACATTACACAAGTGAAAAATAATACTGAATAATATGTTATGTAATACATGTTAATAATTATTATTATTATCTTTAAAAGTATATATTTATTATTAATAATTTTATAATAACTATTACTTATAAAAGTGGACATTTATCATTGTGGTTAAATAAAAGCTATTAAGACTAATTGTTGCCATGGTAACCGTTGTTATTGTCTGACAAATGATATTTAATATTATATTCTTTCCTTAAATGATATTCTATATAAATAGATAATATATGATTGTAATATGCCTAATATACCTTATTTAAATATTGATTAGTTTTAATTTGCAATATTTGCCAAAGAAGTTTTACTTCAACCGTATAGCCATTTTTTAAATTCAGCATTCTTATACTCACATTTCGTCTTCCTACGTGTTCGAGTTTTTGTTGGATTCTAATTAATAGCATGTTTTATGTTTTATTTTATATATTTGAAGAGACGAGACGGAATAAATTCGGATCCAACGAGTTACGACCAATAACTCTAGAACTTATGAACAGATCTTTAAAATTCGATAGGAGAAAGTCCTTTACTTGCTTTGTAATAACAATTTAAAAATATTAATACTAAAAACGTAAACATACAGTACTTAACATCTAGTAGGTATCTACACAATTAATAATAAGCCTATTTTTTGAAATAAATATCGCAAAACATCGGAACATAAAAAAAACTGGCAAGGCAATAGGGAAAAATATTAATCGCATGCACATGTATATATTATACGTACTAGTGACGATGTAGGTGTGTTGCGCCTCAGTAGTGGGGCTGGAATGTCCTGAACTGTCACCATTCACCTCCACTACGGTACTCGAAACCTGGAAACAATAACCATGATTCCTCAATTCCCTTAATTTCGCAATACCAATGGAGTGCATGTAATGCAAGTGAAACTGCAACTATACAACTACATACATATATATCTTATAGTGATCAACAACAAACAAACCTTGCCATGAAATGCTTAGAGTATAATGTTTAAAGCCACAAAGAACTAAACAAGAAATTGGTGTTAAAAATAAAATTTTAATAATAACTGCAATATTGATAATTAATTATGAAATATAAAGACACTTAGGTGTACCTATTTGAAGTAATATTACGGATTTCAATGGAATCTTGGGTTTTGTTTTGTTTTTGTAGAGCTGCAAGTGTGAAATAAACATCAAAAAATCATTTTTTTCTAACCTTACTTTTGAAAATCGCATAAGATGTGTAAATCTTTATGCATATTATGAGAAATAATATTTCTTATGAAGCAATGTTACCTGTTGTATAGCATGTTGCAAGTGTATAGAGTTGGGAAGATCTGGAATAACGATGAGTTCTCGTACATCGGCAGGTGAAGTACCACCTGTTCCCGCGCCCTGCACACAGCGAATATATTCTATATCAAATTCCGAAAAGCATTACATTCCGCCAGTTTGATGCAGTGGCAGACGCAGAGGTGTGGACGGACAGACGGACTTTGTCTACTTAACACGATAAGGTGGGAACTGGGAGTTGTCTGTGTGATGTGTCCACTAAGACGTATGAGTTGAATCAAAACCGACATTTGTTCGTTCAAATTGATAGGTACCATATCACAAAATATTGACTAGAAGACAATAAAAAGTGAAACAGTTCTGTTTTTATATATATACTAGCGGCTCACCCTCGCTTCGCTCGGGTTCGTCGCTAGGTACGTTTTAAATAGATATAAAAAGAAAAAATCTTTCTTTCTCACATTTTAATTATATGTTTTAATACTTACCTATTCCGGACTAAGAGAAATCCAAAAATTAAAATATCATAAAAATTGGAACGCGGTCGAACGGGATAAAAAGTATCCTATGTCCTTCTCCTGGCTCTAAACTACCTCCCTGCCAATTTTCAGCTAAATCGGTTCAGCCGTTCTTGAGTTATAAGCGAAGTAACTAACACGACTTTCTTTTATATATATAGATATATATATATATATATATATATATATATATATATATATATATATATATATATTTGTGGTGTTCAGTGACAAACGAGCAGACAGACTACCTGATGGAAAGCGGAACCTGTCGCCCATAACACCTACGGTTCATGCACTTAGGTTTTTATGTAACAATAATGCAGATCCGTAGATGCGTTGTCACTGTGAGGACTAAGATGATATGCCTCTTGCCTGTAATTGCGCTGGCTACCTTATCTCAAACCGGAACACAACAATGCAATTATTGTTGCTTGGCGGGAGAAATAGATAAGGGGGTGGTACCCATCCAGTCGGACTCCTCGGGCTTGACAGAGTCCTACAACCGGTAGACGAGTGTTTTTCCCATGCCTTGTTCTGTACTTTCATAGTTTAAAGTTTAACAAATTACTTTGGGAGAATAAAAATTTCCGTGCCCAATTTCATTGAAATTTGGAACTACCTATTTCCATAGAAGATATTACAGTCAAGTGTCTGGACAAACAGATACTTTTCTTCTTCTCTATTCCATTAACTCTTGAAAGTCCAGTGGAACGACAATTCAACACTTGCGATAAGAGATCGGGCGCAGGACCAGCGGCTTTACGTGCTCTACAAGACACGAATATGTAACACCTAGTTCCCAACACCGGGTTTTTACAGAAAATTTCTAGTATGGCTATAACTAGATCTGGCAAAAGTAGCCTATGACGCTTAAAGTTAGAACAAAATAGGCTAGTTTTTATTCTGCTTTATATTCTTTCCCCTAGATACTGTTATAAAAAAAATTAGGAGGACATATACAGGAATATCACACAGTTATTATTTTTAGTAACATATTGTTATGATACTTTACACTGTACCTATACATACATTATACAATATACCTACAATCAAAAATACGAAAATACCTAAATAAAAACCCAAAAGCACATATTAAATTTAATGTTTTGAAAATATGAAAATAAGTAAAACCTGCGAGGGCGCTAGCCGCGCCGCCATGTCGGGCGAGGCGGGCGGCGACGACTCCACCAACACCTCGTCGCCCGCGCACTCAAAGTCTGAAATATACAAAACATTAATTTAAAGATATATGAAATTATATAATTATATATATTTTCGTTTCAGTATAAGATTTTTTTTTAATATTATTTCTTTATATTATACTAGATACTATTAATCCTACTAAATACTAAGCAAATTTTGCCATATTAGACGTTTTTTTATTATTATAAAAAGGGGTCATAAAAATGAGTACCTAATATAATTTATTAATAAGCTCAATTTAAGTTTTTAACTTTATAATAAAAACAATATAAATTCTCAATGCAACAAAGAACTTAGAAATTAAAGGTGGCAACAGTAAGGTGTTGAAATTTAATCTCAGTTTAATTATACTCCCTGCTGACCCCTCATTATACTTGATTGATAATATTGTCAACTCTAATTCCTCTCACAGTATAATGATACCTGCATTTTATTTTTAGATGTAATCTTTACAAATACCTATTAGAAAAGAACTGCTTGTAATAATAAAAAAAATATTAAATTAAAAATATATTTATAAAAATTTAAGTTATGGTAGAATAATAAATAAATCAAACTATAATATAGACATTTAAGAGTATCTGGGACCTAAAATTCAATTAATGAAAAAACAATATTTAATATCAATATCTAATATATAACAAAATATTTATGCAAAATATTTTAATTAAATAACAAAAAATCTAAATTATATATTATAAAATCAAAAGAATTGTACATGAAAGCAAAATAAACATAAACAGATTAAGGACTTGCAAAATCTTGCATAACGCTATCCAAGGTGATAGAGATGTTATTGATCTGTTTCAAGCTCCGAGTATCTGGGGTGTAACCTGGCAACACATCCCTCCTCTCTTCCCACAATACTCACTCTCCAGGTAAAACACATTCTCAAAGCCCATCTCGGACATTTTGCACAAGATTTTAGTAGAACACGAACCAACACTAACACATTATTATGACTTTCCACTGTCACTCAGTATTGATTAAACAACTGTATCTAGGGAGTGCTTTTCGGCTGGTTGTTAGCTTTGTGATAGTGGGGGTGTACAGGTGTGTTACGCATGGTTGACACCACCTGCCTGATATGCATGGCTGCCCAATATTACCCCATTGTAGATAAATTGCATGTATTGTGCTTAAATTATTGAAATTATGTGTAATGCTGTTTTTGTGTACAGTTTTGTATACAATATGTTTATACTTGTAGTGTTTTATTGTAATTAGTTTTCAACTGTGACTTGTATCTTTTGGTTTTATGTTTATTAATTTAAAGGATTTTGCACAATATTGCTAAAATTGCTAAAAAATATAGAATAGAATTTATAAGAGTGTAATTTTGTTCTGGAAAAGAATCAGCTGATCAATTAATAACATACAATCCAACAATTTGAATGAGATATTCAAATTGCCTTGTTGAGGAAGAATGTGCGGGTGGTCGGCGCTATCCGTACCAGGCGCCGGTTACCCTCCTATCCCTACAGAAATGATAAAATTGATACGCGATAACTTTACCATTTGATAAGCAACGGGAAGAAGGGGAACGATTTAGACCAGTGTCGTTAGTAAAAGCTGGAGGGCGAGTTATAGATCAATTTTCAGTGTTATAAAATTTGTTTAATTACTTAAAATATAATAAAATAAGGAAAAATTGGAAACCCACCTGCCAGCCATTCTAATCTGTCAAAAAACTCATCACTTTGAAAATACCCGATAGCGAGCTCGAATAGATATTTCTAATTAACCTAATTAATACTTATTAATATCTAATGCAGTTTCATAAGTTTCAACAAAATTTTATGTAACCCATACAGTGTTGTTGTAGCTACACCCGTTTCCTAGGCTACGGATCCGTCCGGGCAAAACCAATCTAAAAGTCAATGACTATGATCAAAAACGGGATAGAGGGCGCTCGTGCTAGTATTTTTTTTAATCGGTTCCGGTTTTCATTTATAGCAATAATAAAATAATCATTTTTATTGATACAATTTAAAATATTACAATCTACAAAAGTGAAGTCCCTAATACTTAATAGCCAAATTACTAAGAAAATAAAAATTAAACAAAAAAAATCATGACTTTATATTATTAATACTATTAAAAGAATATATTATAATGCATAATTGACATATTAATACCTTCTATGTCACAAACGTATACGGATAGCTTAATCCCTTCTAATGAATTAAAGTCTTGATTAAATCTCTTCATTATTGTTTATTTAATATACTACGACTTGTATTAATACGTTTTTCAAAAAGCAACAAGTGCTTTCTATCTCCTTGGTAATTAATTTTATTTATTCATTAACATGCAACAATAAAAATGACAAACACGTTTAAATTGTAATTCTTTTTTTGAATAATTTTTTTTTAAATCTATATTGCCAATAAAGGATTAGATCAATATAATAATAATTATTATTATATAATTTTGTTTTTAATTTTAAAATATGTAAGTAGTATTATTTGGTTTAATTATATCTATACACTTATCTTTTACGGTTAACCTACTTAAATATTATGTTTGTATAAATTTTGTTACATTTATATTTAAAACTTTGTTACGACTTTTTAACTTTCATAACATTTTTAAATATGCTACTATAGCTATAACTCATCTCTTTCTTATAATTACATAGCATCTTTAAATTTTTTTTTAAAAATTGCAGATTTATTTTACTTTTCTTACAATAGAAATGAAAAGATATTTAATTCAAAGTTTTTTAGAAGTACCAATTGAGAACGATTCGCTAATTTCAGGTAAAATTGAAAGAAATAGAGGTTAACTGTTAAAAAAACGTAATTATGTACGCACGTAAGAAGTTATATTTCTGTGGCGTAAAAGAAATAAAATAGCTAAAGATTTCATCCCGTATGTCACAACTCTCTGTTTGTAAAAGGAATACATCTAACTTCATCATGTCACTTTTTGGCTGTCGGTGTATGCGACTTGCGAGCATCGTAAAGATTTTACTCTCATATTTTTTTCCAAATGTGCCAATATAACTTCCAAAATATAATTAAAACTGTTAATTCTAAAATGTACAGTGTATAGAATGACAATATTTTTTTTATGATTTTTCTCTCTGCTCATTTCCCAATCACTTGGGGTCGGCGCAGTACATAAATATATTTACAATATAGTATAAATTGATATTTAATATTATTTTTCATATACCCACCTAGCAACATTTTAAAAGTCGAACGTTTATAATAATGTCAAAATATTTAGCACCTACATAGACAAACATAGAGTCTAGACTAGAGGTCTAAGGCATCTTTATTATTCATCTTTGGTACCTCTGATAGTCAGTGATGTCAAATGTCAATGTCAATTGTCAAATGTCAAACTCAAAATTATGCCCTAAAAATTTACAAATCGCATAATAAATTACTTTAACTAAATAAAACTTAAGAAAAGTTAATTTCCAGTATTAAATTAATAAAAAACATCATGAATATAACAGTTAAACAATTACAGGGCGGGGAATGCCATTTAGAGGTATGGACATAACCATTTCCAAATTTACTAATGGTCATGTTCTTATTATATTTCTTCTAATTATTTTTTTAGGTATTTCCAACCACAAAAATATCAGAAATAAAACAACATATAGCTGCGAAGTTGAGAATACCTATTGAAGAGCAAAAACTATTACTTTTAGGTCGCACACTTGCAGATGATCAAACAGTCGACTCATATCCTTCAATTAAAGAAGGCTCAAAATTAAATTTAGTTGTAAAAAAACCTGAGGGCTTATTTGAAGCTTCTATAAAATACTTTAAGAAAAATGGTATGTCAGAAGTAGATGCAAGGAATGCAACAAATCAACTATTAAAAATAATTGAAGAAAAAATGAACAAACTATCTTGGGATGATATTGAAAGATTATGCTTAGATTGTATGATGGAAGAATGTGGAGTACCAAGGCCTGGTTCAGATCAAGATACAGAGAATGAAAATGAGGATGCATTTGGCTTGTGACCACCTCTTGAACGACTGCTTGAATTACTTCATTTAAATTGATTATCCAATGGTTAATTTTCATATGATGGACTATTTATTTGTCAAGTAAACTAAATAGTTGCTTGGGAATATTTAAATTGCAAATATGTAAATGTTTCCAATTAAGTGAATATATAAATATTAATTCAATGTTAATCATCAATGTCTATAGTTTCATTATTATATCTTATATTAGTCCTTGTAGTGGCCTTGTAGTGCTACTCACCAAATTAAATAAACTAAATACTATACATATTATAAATGTTTGATGTACGTAAATATTTTTGTGGTACTTTAAAATATATTGTATACTAATATTTGTGTATAGAGATCATAATTATTCAACAACTATGTCTCAATAAAGTGGATGTAGGATAAGCATTAAATTGAGAACTTCAAAGTATAAAGTCTTTTTAAATAATAGTATTAAACAATTTTTTATCAATTGATGTGAGTAACCTGTTAAATTACACACTGTTTAAATGTTGTAATCAATGTTTTTAGATAACTTTTGGATGGTTTTGGCGAAAATTGTAAAGATAATTAAGCATCTCTAAGATATAATATGGAATCAGCAAATAAGCATTGTAAATTTCATTTTATGTACAGTTATAGACGTAATTCATATTAGCTGGATTGTCTGGTTTCCAGTACTTATGTTTTTAATAAATATCAATGTTGTGAATGGAATTCAAAATAAATGTCAACAAAAATTCAGTTTCATCATTTATTACATACATTTTTCATACCTAGCTATGAAGTACAATTCGATGGCAAGTTAAAATGACTCTTGTTACAGAGAACTAATGATATATTAAATGCAATATTTTTGTGACATTTCAAAATTTAATTTGTTCAATGTACAAACATTGACTGTTACATTATAATTTATAATTCATAATAGAAGTGATAATTATTTATCGATTAAACATATAAGACCTTGCAGAATTTCTCAAATATGCAAAATATGCAAAAATGAAACTATAGAAAAAATATCCCAGGGCTAAATCATCTCGTATTTATATTACATCAATGTACATTATTTTTATTTATTCATTTTAAAATATGCATTCACGAAACATTGCCCAGCATAATATCATTACAATCGCCCAATCACATAAGATTTATTTATTCATAGTGATGTTTTTTTTTCTAAATAAAGAGTAATCTTAAAAATATGTACAATATATTATTTAATTTCTAGCTAAATTACGTATAAAGAAACTTAGGAAGATATTTGTATAAATAAACGATTAGCTTGGCATTGCTATGGTCAAATTGGAGTACACAAAAAAAATATTTAACAGGCACTTCTCTTAAATCAATCCTTACTTTCGTTCTATCACAACCATGACAATGAGCTCGAACTAGTCTGCAAAAATGGTTTCATAATAATTTAATAAACATTTATAAATTGTAAGTATGGTTTTTCTATTATGAGGTTACGAATATTTAAGTTAAAGGCAAAATAGTTGGAAGAATACAATTAAACATTTAATACAATATGACTGTAATATTTATTACGTTAATTAAAATTGCTTTTCGTTCTTTAATAATATTATTATTTAATGTTAATGAGATGATCTTAATATTAATAAGTCAAAAATTAAAACTCATTGAACAAAGTCAATATTAATAATACCAATAGATATATAAAAAATAAAAATGGCTGTTTTTATGCATAACATATTTGCGGGATTTATCCATTCAATATCTCATTTTTAGGTAGAAGTGATATTTTTTTACCATTCATATATTTAGAGGCAGTGCTGCCGTCATTCAGTGCTCTACCTATTTTAATACTTTTAGAAATATCATTATAATTATAACCACAGACAAACAAGATAGTGTTTGTATTTTATCTGAATATCAGAAAAAAAAACCTGTGACATTACACTAAATAGCCAAAAGCAGAATATGTATAGGTTACACAATGTTAATGTAATGGCTTTATTATATGCTGGATTATGAAGAACAGAGACAGAAATATATCTTCTATTTCAGGTAAACGAAATAAAATTAATAAGATATGCCACTGAGCATCGATCAAAAATGTACTAGATACACAATCAACGTTAAAAAATGTCCTCACGGAATGAGCGCTACTTTGAACATTTGAGCACGCTTTTATTTTTTTTGTGAAAACAACTTTAAGCGTTGCATTTAAGGTTTATTTTACATTGTTGTATATTTATTCCAATTAGAATAATTACCTAAACACAATTGGTGATAGTTTTAAGAGTATTTTTGCATGGGATTGTGTATCTACTACTTTTTTGATCGATGCCACTGAGAATTTAAAAATCACACATTTCATTTATTTGGATACCTCTTTAGTAAATGCTGTTTGTGGCCATATTTTAATAATAAATACCATAGTATTTAAGGGCATGCGTTTCAGGCCCAGTGCGCTTAGTATTCAGTTGTCAAAGTATTTTACTTACGTTCGAGCATCGGCGTACAAACATAGATATAAAGCCGCATTTACATGGAGGTAACAATATGGTGAATATAAAAATCGCCCAATGAAAACTGTACCGTATGTGTTCCTACATAAAGCACAATTTCCATTGCTCAACTTTTGAAAACAATACAATGTGGACATCTCCATTTAAATGTACCTTTAGAGGGGTGTGATGAATAAAAAAGGTGTATCAAATGTTAAGAGACCACAACCATATAACCCCTAACAATATACCGCTACATATATCCAATATCTCTTTGGTTACAAAAACGGAAAGGACATTAAAACAGCAGACGAGTTTCATTAAAAAATCTAACATATTGCTTGAGATATCACGTCAACCTGTACTTTCCAACTGTTATCATTAACTGGCACTCTTATTGGAATAAAAAATATATTCTTGTAATGATTGTGCGAGGGAGATAGAAATAGCACATCCGCCATTTTAAGCCTGCCGTTTCGCAACCATAGTGTAAGTCGGTGGTGTTAAATACAATGGTAGTAATACAAAATCAGTCGTAGTCGCTGTCCTCGTCAGCGTCGGACTCGGACTCGGACTCGGAGCTGTCCGAGTGGTTCTTGGTGATCTCCACGCAGTTGTCCATGTCCGTCAGTCTTTTTAGTGACTTACCTGCATTTGTATTGGATAATAAATAACAAAAAAAAACTTTATCAAAAACAAAAACAAACCTATCCCACGGAAACCGTACATTTTTGTGGGGTAAAAAGTAGCATATGTAATATTCCAGACTATACTCTGTGCCAGACTTCATTCAGATCCGTTCAGCCGTTCTGGCGTGAAAGAGTAACAAACATCCATACATACTCACAAACTGTCACATTTATAATATTTATACAGATGTTTTGTTATAGTCATATTTAAAGTTTTGGCAATATATTACAATTTAAAAGGATAATATTCTCCTAACCGAATTTGGTTAAGACGACCGATTTTACTGAGATAAGCCAACTATGTAAGATACCTATGTAAAGTGCGTATGAGCGAAACACTCCATTACCTTTGATAATCTAATTTTGGCAGTACCCGGGACTCGAAACCAGGACCATGATATATAAAAGTACATCCTAGTCATTTGAACAATGAGAAAGCAAACTTTGTTACACCTTCACTCTCAAACGGTGGATTTGGATGATATTTAACGCTCAGGTAGATTATAAGCTGGAGTAGGTACTCCAGCACCTCCGCATCTCAGATGCGTTCTCTAGGTAGAGAATGGTCCCGAGCGGAGTGAAGCCGCAGCAAGCCGACGCGCGTACCCGTCAAGGTGGTGAGCAGGCGGTGGTCGCTGCCGGGCGGCGCCGCCGGCGCGCCCAGCCGCCGCGCCAGCTCGCGCGCGCGCTCCGCCCCCGACACTGCGCACGCCACACCGCACGTTTACTATTAATACATCGACAACCCGCACTTGGCCAGCGTGCTGGACTGTGGCCTGATCCCCCTCGTACTGAACCCACCAGTGGGACGTTAAAAAGGGCTGAATGCATACATACATACAAATCGACAAGTGTCGTGGGACACCCGGTAGGAGCAAAGTTCCTTTCGCTGTCTGCCCTTAGCTCATACAATATCACTCTTATATCTCATAAAATATATCATAAACACCGTACATTGTACATGTTGAAGCTTTGACCGAAATTGGAGTTACCCTCCTCACTTCACTCCAGCCGAAATAGATCGCGTATATTGTATTGTTATTCACAGTTCGTTCGAACCCAGAAAAAAATCAATTCCTACTTTTAATAAGTTCATTATTTTCCCGGAATCTAAAACTATCATATGATTTTCTCATCCGATTGTTCTAAGCACCAGTGCAAATCTAAAAAACTGTTCAGCCATTCCTCAGATCAATCAATCAAATCAATCAACAAAAATCAAAACCATATACTTTCGCGCTACGATTCAGTTTGTAATAATGACATAAAATTTATTTTTATTATAATTTAAAGGGATTAAGACTAAGAAAAATATATTGTTTATGAAAAAAATAATCAAAATTTAAAAATATGTTAATACAAAGTACAACTCTTACTTCTTGTGCCTTCTTGACTGGAATCCTCTGTCATGGCCGCCCGCTCAGTCCTGTACTCTCCACTCACCAAATCCCATACAAATAAACACTGCAAGCAAACAACAATCAACCTAATTTTTAACATTATTTAAAAATTGGATTTAAAACATCATCATCTATACAAATAAATAAAATTGAAGTGTCTGTCTGTAATGTCAAAATAACAGCTTTTTACTAAATGCATATGAAATTATATACGGTAACATATTTGTTGTGTTTTTTGCTTATAAGTACAAGAAAAATACAATTTTAATAAATTAAAATTATATATAAAAATAAAATATAATAATATAATTAAAATAAATTTAAAATTTTTGTGTCTGTCTGTTTGTTCCGGCTAATGTCCGAAACGACTGGGCTGATTTTGATGGGACTTTCACTGACAGATAGCTGATGTCATAAGGAGTAACTTAGGTTAGGTACTTTTATTTTAGAAAAAGAATTAGGGTTCCCAAAAAAAAACATACGTATGTGTGTACGCAACCGAGCGAAGCGAGGTTAAGTCGCTAATTATTTTTATATAATTAAAAATTAATGTCAACAAATGACGCCTTATATATATTAATTATACAAATATTACAAAAAGTTCAAAAAAATAACATTTCTATAAAAAAGGCGCACCGATAAATAATACATTTTAAAAATAATTGTAGCATAATATAATAAGAAACATTCTATGGCGTATTTACATAATACATACAAACATTTTCTATACGTATAAGATGTATAGTGTGCATGGTACCCGCCTATTATAAATAATAATATATTCTGAGAAACAATGTATGTATGACACGATATAACTTGCGTACCTGCGCGGCGTACTGGCGGCGGTGCTGCAGGCAGCCGGCCGACACGTCCTTGCACGCGCCGCACTCCACCTGCTCCGCGCCCTCGCTGGCCCACAGCCACATCGCGCACAGCTGCACACAGTGGTTTTATTTACAATTAAACCAAAAATAATACTTGCAAAGCTTAAATTTTAGTCGTGATATACATTAAGGTCGAAAACACAAAAAAATATTATTTATTGTTTTCATTGCTTTATTATTTTATACGTATATTTTAAAACACTTTTCACATCATGCCCGGCTCGAGCGGATCAAACAAAGCGTCGCGGACTCACCCCGGAGAGGCAGCCGCTGGAGTGGCAGACGTCGATGACGTGGCAGCCCCAGTCGAAGCAGTATATGAAGTGCTTGCCGGTGAGGTGGCACAGGCGGCCGCACACCTCGTTGCACAGCAGCTCGGTGTCGAGCGAGCGCTGGCGCGCGCGCAGCGACAGCGCGCGCACGCCGCCGCGCCCGCCCGCGCCCACGCCCTGCAGCGCCTGCCCCGCGCCCGCGCCGCACAGCGGCAGCGCCACGTGGTACCCCGACATGCAGTCGTCTGCGCACGCCGCACGTACACACCACGCGTCACGACACACATTCAAACTATATTATTTATTATTTTATTCAGCATTAAGATTTTCTTTAAATAGAACCATCTTTTCGGATTTTTTCGCGGATTCATTTTGATTTTTGTTTTATATTTATAAAAATATTTCAAGTGTTAAATATTTGCTTAAATTTACGAAAGCAATATCAACATTCACTATTACAATTTTGTATTAAACGTATAAACGATTCGACAACCGATTTAGAAGAAAAGCCTCATTCATGAGAAAAACTGGGGAAAGAAACTCGGCGAACAAAATTACAGATTTTGTAACTAAAATAATAAATTATAAAACGCCTGGAAGTCACACCATTCTTAAGGCGTTCTAAGAGAAAAAAAAAGATAAAACTGCCAAGAAAAGCGGGAAATTTGGGAAAAACTGAAAGCGGTAATCGAAATAAAATCGAATATCAAACCCGGAGGGAGATACACGGTAATAAAGCAATTTATCACATCACTTAGGTATATCAAAGGTATTTTTTGCTGTGGATACCCAATTTTTTTAATAACAATACTTAATAACAAATTACATAAGTATGCCACCTAATTAAGGAGTACTTACATATATCATAGTAATACTATAAATTACTTATACGAGTAAATATGTATAAAGATTTTTTTTTTATGAAATTGAACATTAAATCGGGAATTGATTTAGTTAAAACTATTTGTTCATTCTGTAACAATTCTATAACCTTCCGAAATCTATATAATAGAATATCGTTTTTGGTTTTTAGGGTTCTGTACCTTAAAGGTAATAAAGAAACCCTAATAAGATCACTTTTCTTGTCCGTCTGTCTGTGCGTGTGTCACCACCGATTTTTAATAATATTAGTTGGGTCAACACTGTCATTGGCTATAAATAAACTATGCAAAACGAGCTGGAATGAAGGAGATATTTTTTAGTTCCGAACGGTGATATACTGTATTTATATTGTAGTATCATTCGATATAATAAGCATTAAAAAAATAATTTTTAATTCTTCTCCTTCTTAGTCGTTAGTCTTAACAGACTGGTCGTGGTCATCATTAGGGTCTCGAAACCCGTAAAATTTTTAATTACTACTGGCGGAAATCAAATCCATTATCATACAGGTGTGAAACAGATACACTTACAAATCCTCACCTGAGAGCCTAATCAAATAATATTACTCTCATTAATAATTTACATAAGTATCTAGAACACAGGCATAAAATTAACTTCCAGCACTCACCTTCAGAATCCGTAATGATAGACGTGATTTCGTCATCGCTTTCTAAAAAATATCGCGTAAAGAATTTACTACACTTGGAGTTCCCCGAATGCACCAGATACGGGTCTTGCGGGCTGACCGGACAGTCTGACAACGTCTTCGACGTGTTGTCGTGTACTGAGACGGTCTTAAGAGAGCCATCGTCTAACATTTCCATTACTCTATACTCGGATTCGCTATTTCTATCAGATTCCAGTGAGGAGAGCCCGTTGTTTTTGAGATCTAAGCTGGTCTCAGGCGACGGCGGCCTGCTTATTTGATTGTGGGCTCTAAGCACTACGCTCTCTACTGGAGGCGACTTCGCCCTCTTCGTCTGACTCTTACTAGTGGACCCTGTAAAATATTTCCTATTACTTCTTAAAACTCTAAAAGGAACGATATTTTCGTTATTATCCTCCGAAAATTCATATTTCTTATCAGCTAAACGCCGTTTTCTGAACATGCTGAGTTTCTCGCATTTCGTTTCGGCCTCCTCGACGAACTCGTATGCTTTCTCAGCTATAGTTCTGTGCGTTTCATTGAACCTGGACATGCTTTCTGCTGGCCTTCGTCTGGGAGATCTTAATGGAGGGCTTATTAACGTTCTTATTGACGGTGAGGGTCCTTCCCATTCTTCCATTAGATTATGGGATATTGAAGACGCTTGGATACACAACTCCTGCCCCATAACATCTGGCAAGTGGACCGGTTTGGACATTTGATAGGGATCGACTTCTAAATCAGAGAAATCTGCTAGAATGTTTTGAACAACATTGTTCTGGTATTTTGGCGATTGAAAAGCGGCAGACACGTCTGATGCAGGCGTACTGGGGTTGGTATCTATTGAGTTCACTTCGTCCCTCTCTAGGGAGAACTTAGATTCTTCTGCAGCTTCACTTTTGTCTGGATCTGGTTTTACAAAATCTATTTCTAGTATGTGTATAAAGTCCGTGTAAATTATGATTTGGTTGGAGTACGCGAGCTGCACGACGGGCTCGTACATACTAGAGTCAGACGTGCAAAAAAATTTTGTGTGTATCGCGAAACTATGTTCTAAACATCGTTTGCTCCAGTTTAAATCGTCTGTAAATAACAAAAAGATATGTTATTTTCATTTACTACTCATATTTTAAATTTTAAAACACACTTATATTCTTTAATTAAACCTTCAGTTATATATTTTTTTCATAAAAAAATACTACAAAATTAACTACAAACTACTACTACTGCTACTAACTACAAAAATACTAATAAATAATACTAAATAATACAGTATTATACTATACTTAGTCCATTAATACTCACCTTCTTCATCTCTTGAAATTGCAGAACATTTTCTACATCCTAAACGAGGTACTCCGATAACACTGAGGTAGGATCTCTCTGAGCACGAGTCACTAAAACAAAATTCAATAAATTTACTCGTAAATAAGTTCGAGTCTAAATACCGAAACAAAGGTTTAACTAATCACTAATAATTGAATCTATATACATATAATAAAATTGTAACTGATCGCTGTCTGTATATGGAAGATATTTGAGAAAAACTATTATTGGAGGTAGTAATGAATTTTAAAATTTTTGTCTGTTTGTTTGTGCGCACTAATCTCAGAATCGGCTTAACCGATTTGGATGTGGTTTTCACTGATGTATTGTGGTAAGCTTCATTTAATATTTAGTATAAGTTTTTAAAAAAATTATGTCGAATTAAAGAATCGATCCAAATCGAAGCAAGGGTGAGTCGCTAGTTTGTTAAACATTTTTTCTTACGAAATTGTACAAATTTCATAAGGTGAGCAAAATTAATTAAAATATAGCATTTTAAATAAAACTATCTTTTCGGATTATTTCACGGATTTATTTTGATTTTTGGTTCCTGACGTTTCGAATGCTTTACAGCAATCATGGTCACGAGAGAGACTGATTGCTGTTTTCGAAGCGTCGGGAACCAAAAATCAAAATAAATCCGCGAAATAATCCGAAATGATAGTTTTATTTAAAATGTCAAATATTCGCGTAAATCTAAGGAAGTATTATATAAAATATAGCATTCACAACATTCATTTTATCGACGGCAAAGATGACTTAGTTTTTATAACAAATCGAAGTTTATTTTGTGTTGCCTAGCAGTGGAAACTAACAAAGCGTGTCACTGAAAATTCATGAAAATAAATATTGCCAAAATATTTTTAGTATTTCAGAATTATTCACTTCATATATTTTAAAAGTTCGACACAATATTTACCTACGACTAGGAAGTGTTACAGCAATTCTCTAAAATTAAAATATTTCTGCTATATTATAACATCAATAATAAATACCAGTCTTCAAAAAGGGCTGAAATATATGGGATATTCTAAGGGTTCCATTTTTGCCTCGTGGCTGCAAAACCCTTAACAACCTTTAATGCGAAATGCAAATAACAGTCAACAGTTTACAGTATTTACTTAACAATAACAGTTCTATTTAGTTTATCGTCTTTGTTTACTTTGACCTATACATATACTTCCATAAACATCAGACATAGAGTGAAGAGTGACTTGATAAACTAGCTAGCTTACCTTACTGAGGGACGAAATGAAAAAAATGTAGAAAAAAAAATATAAACAATCGTATTTAACCTCGATTTAACTAAGGTCAAGTATTTTTATCATATATTATGAGTAAGGAAATACAAACAATACTTACGCAATACCATAAACGACTAGGACGCCAGGATTGTGTTTCCATTGAGCCATCGATATGGTGACCTTGCTGTCGACGCAATCGTCACCAAAGAGAGGCACGCTGTGCACTGGCCGCACCACGCGTCCCGGCACCCATGATAGAAAATGTAACCTGGGGAAACAATTGGTTTAATAAAAGTGTATTCAGCCCTTTTTGACACCCCACTGCTGGGCCTCTCTTCAATATGAGGGGGGATCAGGCCATAATAAAATTATATTAAGAAAATTTTGATGTCAATTTTATATTCTCTGTTTAAGCTAATGTACTAATGCTCATTCCCTGTTTTGAGTTACTGTGTTTAAATTACATTCGTACTTTCCAGACTAAGAATGCTTACAACAATATAAAATGTTATCATTATTTAAGATAAACTTTCAAAAATTCTAAGAAATTGCCAATGTAATCCCTAATGTGTGGTGTGCCTCTGGTGTTGCAGAGAGACAAGCCTAAACTATTGTACAGGTATAGTGTTCACTTATGTACTGCGCAGACCCCAAGTGATTTGGGAAATGGGCAGGGAGAAGAAGTGTTCACAAACTCAGTGTAAGTTTAGAAATTCTATAATTCCCATTAATTCATTCAGATTGATCGTTCCATACAGTTAATATGATAATACTAAATATAGGACTTTAAATATACTTACTATTTGGATATGTAATGAGTAGAGTTTTATATTGTGTTTATTTAAACATTAATACAAATAATCTTAACAACTGAACAGGACAGAACAGACAGACAGACAGAACTGAACAGAAATGTTTCACCTATCTCACAAATCCAGACACTACATTTATACAGAAAGTCAATTTTATAAAACAATATAAGTATAATGCAAATATAATATAATTGATAAAAATGGACAAATATGTTTATTTAAAAAAGATAATGTCAGGAATAACTGATATTAAGCAAGAATATGTACATCCTGTCTGAAACTCTCTTATATATTATAAAGACCTAGTAAAAAAATTCTGTATAGTTCTGATTGAAACATTAAGCATTTTTAAATAATATTTCTTACAATAGTAAATATCTCTTGCACAAAGTTTAGAACAAAAAATAGATTTTATACCTACATTCATGCATTAGTACATTCTATATTATATCTAATAAAATATTTCTAGGATTATAATACTTACGTAAATTTAGAGCTTTCCCTAAAGTATACTTGAGTATTACAGCTATAAGTAAAACTTAGTAAAAACTGTCCACACTGTGAAAATCCCATGAAAACATGTTCTGTTAAGTACTGGATAGGCACTATGTCCATTAGGCAAAAGCGTAGTCTGGGTGGAATCTTATCAAAGATTTTGCGTGATTTTTCATTTGATTTTCTGGACGTACTACCAAATATCTGAAATAAAATTTTTCACTCATATAAAATAGTGAGCAAAGTTGCTACATTACACTTTATGTCTCCATACGTAATGAGGTAAACATTAAATATATCCCTAAAGGCTTCGTAGTTCCACTTAACATTTTAAAATAACCAGTGCAATGAATTAAACATTTTTATTGGATAAACAAAAATACTAAGATAGTTACAATAAACTCGAAATATCAAGTATAAACTTACCTCCCTATTAAATAACTTATATACGATATTATTACTAGTAGTCGAAATGTTCGTTGGAGTATTACATTTAGTTTTGCTATATTCATTTTCACTAAATGAATCAAAATTTTCAGATTCTTCGGACACAGAAGAATCCATATTCGTTTGTTTGACTGCTGTTTTGACAATTTAATCAATGTTACCAATATTTACAATAACATGATGCCAAAGATTCATCATAGCCATGCGTTGGTCGTCGAAATTAAATCAAATTAACTTTATGATATCTTCCAGGTAACGAAATATTCAGAGTATCCGAATTTTATAGGTTTTGATTTTGACATTACGCTGTAAAATGTAAATTTAACGAACACTTACGCTGTCAAGTGTCAATTTGTCAACTATCGATGGTCCGGTAAATGAATTTGAGCTGTGAGATTCAAAAAAACTATATAGTAAAACAGTTACTTTATATTTACTTTAATATTTGTAAAAAATAAGTGTAAAACTGTTAGAAATGGAACCTATGGCCTTAGGAAGTCCGACTCATTCACCTTCAGGAAGCCCTAACGTGGGATATTTACCACCTTTTTTGTTAGGAGAGATAAATCCGCCGACTTTGTCTTCTTTATCTCCTAGGCCAAATAGTTTATCACCAACAAAAGGTCGCAGTTTAGCTTTTGGTAAGTCAATATTGTCATTAAAAACAAATGCTTTGTCAAATTTATAGTACTGTATTTATTTTTTAATAAAAGGTTCACCTACGAGTCCTACCCAAACATCGACACCAGACCAGAAATTATACCGGCAGAATGTACCTATGCATCAACAAGTGCTTTACAATCAACAGCAAAACCTCTTTGCTAACATGCCCGCATCTCCAAATATTTCATACTCGAGCAAATCTAATGGTCCACCAATAGAGGATCTATTTGACACAATTAAAAGTAATGAGCCTTCTGTGGATAAGTCACTTTTTCAAGAGAACAGTTTCTTAAGCTATGGAAATAATAATTCTATAATGCATAATTCATATGTAAACAATGTGCCGGTAAACAATCAATCACTACCAAATCAATGGCAGGACACCTGTCAGGATCAGGATCAGTATTGGGTCACTGTATTTGGCTTTCCTCCCAATGCAGCTAACACAGTTTTAGCTAGATTTAGCAATTGTGGTGCTATACTTGGTAAGTTATTTTTTTAAGGAGAATAGATTTTATTATTTTTGCAAAAGTTTTTAATTCTTCATTATTATGTAAATACATTGTAAAATATTTTTTTTTCAAGCTTGGAGACATTTTTTTCATTATAAGAATAGTGATTATAGTTATTAAATTTTACAACTTGTATTTGTAATATAATTAATAATAATTAACTTGTATTTGTATACATCATAACCATTATTTATGTAATAGATAAACAATACCCAACTCAAGGGAACTGGGCACATATTAGATATGCAACAAGAGGAGAAAAAGAGAGGGCAGTTGCACTGAATGGAAGACTAATCCTTCCAGGAGTTATGGTTGGTGTTGTAGAATGTAGAGAACCTCCTCGCATGACTGTTACGAGTCCTGGGAGTGCTTTGGAAAAAAGGTAATTTATTAAAGTAAACCTTAATCATCAATTAACTTTATAGCTTGTAAGTTACAATATTAGTAACTAATTAATTTTTTTTCAGACAATCAACAGCTAGATCTTTGTGTCCTACTCCGATTCCATCAGCTCCAGTACCTCAAAGATCCAGTGGTCTCATATCCAAAGCCTTAGACTATGTACTTGGCTGGTGACAAATACTCTATACTAGGCAAATAGATTTGACCACTTTATGGAAATGAAATATAAAAACAATTATGTGGAAAGTGGTAAACTGTTGAAATAAATGTTTGTCAATTTAATTTTTTAAGCATGCTTTTGTGAAATGTTATTTTGGTCTCTTCTCATGTGTATAAAATACAGAAAGCAAACTTTTTTTAATGAAAATAAACAAAAATTCTAATTAATTGAAAGCAGTGAGGTTTATGTTACTTGGCTATAATTATAATTTTATTACAAATAAAAGTATAATTACTAAATACTGTATTCTGTTATCTTAAAAAATGAATTCTCTATAAATAGACTTAATAAGGAACAGTTATGCATTTTAAAAGCAATAAAATATCTTTGTATTTACTTAATAAGTTACATTTATTTCTATCCATTACATACAAAATTTTTTAAATTATATATTACCATCTAAATTTATTTTTTTGGTAATTACCGAAACTTGTTTGTTGCAATCTTGAGAACAATAACATTGATCCATTAAAGATGAAAATGAACTTAAAACGGGATTTTAATGAAACTATGCCAATAACATATATTTTTGTGGAAGTTTATTAAAACATTATCTTTGAGGTAATTTTGTAATATAGGTATTTAATTAGTAAATATTTACTTCGGCATCTTATTACATAAATTGAAAGGTTCTAAGGATTAATCCAAAGATATCACTAATATCTATGTAGTTGTACTGAAACAATTTTATTTGATCTATCATATGAGGCATTAAACTCTAAAAGATAGAATATATGCAAAAGGTGTTAATTAATTTTAATATTTTTAAGGATTTTAATAGGTAAATTAAAAGCATTTCATATTCTTCTAAAGTAAACTATGGTTCTAGTAACTATAATGCATGTAAGCCAAACATATAAATATAGTTAATCTATTGAATTTTTATAATAAAGGTGAAACAGTTACAATGTAAAAGATTATAAATATTTATATTTACAATGAATAAAACTGTTTTTAAATAGTAATGTAATATATCTGGGATTAGGAAATCTCACTCACTATTCATGATTTTAAAAATTACCTACTAGAATGTCTATTGAATGAATTTGTTCCATATAATCCAAAACCTACTAAATCCAAGTATTTCTACAGTGAACTATCAAAGTCCATACACTGAAAGACTATTAATGTCACATTGTCACTTAGATGTATCAGTCACATCTAAACATGTTGCTTTTCTTCCTATACTTATTTCATTTAGGCTGTTCTATGGTAGCATTGGCCAAGTCTGTCATCTTGGGGTACTTGACATTGTGTTTGTCGAGCTCATTTTGAGACCAAAGAATCATTCGCAGAAGGCTACACAGTTTGGGGTTGGTATATTCTTGGTTCTCCATTTTTAATATTGCAGCATTTAGTTCACTAGCAATCTGTAATCAAAATAAAGTTTTCATTACTTACATATTATTATCACAAAATTTCAATATGAGACTCAAGTTACAAAAAGATATAATACCTTTTGGCTATGAGAAGGAAGTAATAAATCGGCAAATGGTGATGAATGTGGGTCTGGGAAGGCTAGGAGAGCTAGTGATCGCTCTAATTCAGTAAGAGCATTGCGGTCATTAGCTCCGGCCTCAGCTAGTGTGGCACTTGCGAATGCTAAAGCTTCTTCTGCTCTGCCTGCTCTTATCAGCTCCAATAATTGTAGTTGCTAAACAAGAAATTTAACCAAAAATGTAGTTGTTAAATTATATTTTGATCTATTCCATTTGTAAAACTATCTTTTCGGATTATTTCGCGGATTTATTTTGATTTTTGGTTCCCGACGTTTCAAATGCTTTACAGCATCCATGGTCACGGGAGAGACTGAGGTGTTACATGTCTTGAAGGCTGTAAAGTGTGTAAAGTGCTGTAAAGCATTCGAAACGTCGGGAACCAAAAATCAAAATAAATCCGCGAAATAATCCGAAAAGATAGTTTTATTTAATAATGTCAAACATTCGCGTAAATCTAAGAAAGTATTATTCCATTTGTTTTAAGCATAATTGCAGTTTTCAGTTGATTTATTTGTCTTTATAATAAAACTACTGAATTTAATTCAACACACACAATTACAAAAATCAATCTCACTTGTAAATGAAAATACAGGTATCTGTCATTGTCTAACAATTCTGGATGTAAATCATTGACCATAGAGATTGCTTCAGGTATTCTTCCTCCCTGAACAGCCTCTCTTATCATAATGCGCTCATCCAATGAACTGCAGAGTGCTGGCTCCTGTAAGCCTGCTTCTTGTTGAAACTTCAATGCTGCTTCTTTGAAGCCCTCTAAAAATAAATTAAATAAATTCATTTTATTTATAAATTTACATTTAAATCACTAGAATCCTTTTTTTCATCCTGGCATTCCATTGTACAACATATTTGTATAACCAGCCAATTCATTCGGCTTTTTTTGTTCTTAGTAAAAATAATTAAATAGATGTATAAATATACTATATAATAATAGAAACAATGGACAATTTGTGTAACTGTAATTGTTCCCCAATCTTGTTGTACAATAACACTTTATTGTATAGCACGTGGAAAAATGTTTTTATTTCGATATATTAAAAAATATCAGTGAAACAAAGGCAGCTTACCCGTTACTAAATAATTCATTATCAACATATTCATGTCCGTCCGTGATATATGAAGGTCGTCAGTTTTCGAACGGTCATAATATCTCCGTTCTGGTTTAGTGACATTATTGGAAGATGTATCGAAGCTCATATTAAGATTTTAGATAGAATTTTTGATAAAAATGGATGCTTTGGAAAATATACAAATTACAAATTGATTTGATGACAACGTAAATGTCAAATAAAGATAGGGATGTCAAATACATATACATTGCCTATGGTTCTAGTACAGTAATAGTTCTCTATGCTAATGGTTCAAGGAGAAAATCAATAAATTGTACCTGTGCAGTCATTCAACATTGAAGCAGCGTTATAACTTTAGAACACACCCGGAACTAATGCTTTCTTCTTTTAAATCGATAATCAGACAAAAATCATAGTAAACGTATGTATAAAAAACTATCCATACAAAGAATAAAAATACAATGAAAAATAATAATATAGTCATGCGAATTTTGTTTGCTAAACGAAACAACATATCTTTTCACGCCTTTGTCTAAGGTTAAATGTTATCTTTAACGTCAAATAACCTGATAAAATGGGTTTTAAAGCTCAAGAAAAATGATGATTTAAAGTTACCCAAAAGGTATTTTGTCTATACATCAAAAATAGCACATAATTAATATTAAATTTTTATCGTGATTGGCATTTACAACGTCGAAATATAACTTAAATAATTTTAACACAATCACTTTAAAGTCACCTGTACAAATAAGTTTCAAACTATAGCAAATTTTCTCATAAGCAGTCCAATGTTACCCAAAATTACACTATATATTTTAAATAGTTTATATTATATTGTTGTGAATATAACTGCCTCGATGGTGTAGTGGCTAGCATGTACGGCTGCATACCCGGAGTTCCTGGGTTCGATTCCCGGGTCGGGCCAAGTTTAGTTTCACCCCCGTGCCTCGGAGAGCACGTAAAGCCGTCCGTCCTGCGCCTTAACTCTCACCGATCGTGTCGAGCAGTCGTCCCACCGGATTATGAGAGGGACAGGAATAGAGAGTGCACTTGTGTCTGCGCGTACACTTGAGCACTATAATATCTCCTGCGCAGTTGGCTAGTCTCAATGAGATTGGCCGCCCTGGCCGGAATCGTTCAGGAGAACATCATCATCATATTTTGTCAACTAATATAGATTTTATATGTTCAAACAATTCAAATAGGCAAGGTAGATATTTTAGTGTATGGCCAACTCATACCATTCCGCGCATCCATCGAATTGAGAAGTGTCTCATGCTTCATGTGGACACATCGTAATTCATAGATAGGTAACCTGTATATTCTGAGCGCTAAAATTCATCAATTATTTTTAAAAATGCTTCTGCTAGGTGCGTATGCATTTTATTATCACCTCCCTATCTTCTTCATACTTCGTGACATTACCAATACAATCTGTACTCAATCAATTTCTATATAGTTTAATATAATATGTGGTGTTGCATTCATCATACGCTGTAATTTTTACGTAACTGTTATTTTTACGATGGCGAAGAGCAACAGAATTTTCATTAAATTTTCGTTAAGTCCGAGTCGGACGAAATAAAACGTATATAATTAAATTACATATTATATCACTTTACCAATTACACATTTACTCGATTATGTACACAATTACATTAAATTAGTATTAGCAAACGAAAATAAAGCTTTTTGGTTTTCATCTATACATATGTATATACAATAAAAGTATAACTGATCGCTGACTGTACATGGAAAATATTGGAGAAAAACGATTATTATTCTTTATAAAAATAAAAGCAATAAAACTCAAAACAATGATTTTTTAAATTTTTGCCTGTGCGTTTATGCGCGCTAAACTCTGAAACGGCTTAACCGGTTTGGATGCGGTTTTCATTGTTATAAGGGAAAGAATTTTGCCTTTTTCTTCCGGCCAGATGTCGCGATCACTATAGCCCTCCGTATGTAAAGCTATACAACATGGATAAATATTTTTTATTTTATTTAAAATTTAATTAAAAATACAAATTGTGCAGTGCCAGGATGAAAAATGGATATCATTTGTTCTAAAAAGACAAAAACGGAAGAAATTGTGTGTTAAAGTAATAAGCCAAAGAAGTATAACTTCTTACGTGCGTACATTAAGTACACACACGTTTATTTATTCATTTTTTTACTTTTTTACATATTAATTACAGAGTTTTATACAAACTTTCGTCCCCCATTTTACTCCGTCATGGGATTCGCATATCCGCAGTTTTCACACGTTGTCATAGTGAGTAAGACGTGATGGTTGCTTGATGACGCTTGATTGTTCTTTCATATTGGTATCGAAGGCGCCAACGGTTGCTATTCGATTTCAAACCGGATGATATAGTGCTGTGTGAAAGAGACAGAGCTAAACTATGCGCCACTGCAAACCGAATATGTTATAGTTCATTCGATTTGCTTGACAAGTCCGGTGAGTATTCGGTTAAACGTATAAACGGTGTACGATTTTATGCAGTACAAATGTCGTGTGAACGGTTCTATATACAATGTATATGCCATTATGTATTCGTTAAGACGTATACTGCAAAAAACGTGCAGGTCAATGGCGTGTGAACCCAGCGTATCAGTTTACAGATACAATATCAAATACAATCAACGAAAATCAGTACTAAAATATAAGAAGTAGGTGGGATATGCATATTTGGCCATACAATTAAGATGGCTGCACACATATAAAATATAATTCACAATATTTTTTTAAGGTTGAATTAAAAATCAATTGTAGTGGTGTTTAGCTAATTTATTTTCAGTTCTTAAACGCCAATAACCTACTAATAATGAGCTGATAATACAATTTAAAAAAGACCTATCCTAATTTATTTTATTGAATAATGCTTGGTAACAAATCATATCCTGTTTGTATTCAATAAAAAGTAACTAAATTAATGTATAGAAAACGAAAGCCCAATGACATTTAAAACGTCAACTCAATTGTCACTGCTAAAATACTTGAGTGAGAAAAAAATAACTTAAAAAAAAAAGATTTAAATCTAATTATCTAAATATGCCATATGTATCAGGGAGTTAATTTAGTCGTCCAATACAATAGCATTTCATTTTTTTTTATTTTCGGGATAAATATCATATGTTCTGATACTAACGGCCATCTTGTCTAATATCTTTTTCTATAGAAACTAGACAAAAGAAAAAAAATATATAATTTATGTACTAGAGCTATATTTCGATAACACTAAATAGTAAATTAAAAATAATTAAACAAATCAAAATTATGGCTAACTAATTCGCAATCAACACATGAGAATGATTCTTAACAGGCACTCTGTGTGAATTTGTGTATTAGATACTAATCTATCTATCTGTCGTTTTAGAAAAGAAACATTACATTCTTAACTGCGCAAAGACCAGTGCCCCACCTAGAGTTGATACGATACTCGCTAGCGAGCGCGTAATCACTACAAAACAGTTCGTAACTACGATATCAACTCTGGGCGGAGATTCGGTATAGTATTGAAACTAATCCAATAGTTTCTCATGCATCAGTCTATGAACACAATTATGCAGCAAATCTTAACTAAGCATTATAAGCTAATGTTTATGTGGCATGAAGGTTCCATGGAACTTGTCTGTGTATTGCAATGGGGGGAAAAATTTGTATACATCTTTTAATATAACCATTTCATCTCTCATTGGTGTCACATAAATAGTTTGAGAATTAAAAAAAAAAACATTTAAATAGTACATATAATATGTACTTCATGCAATCATGCAAATAGTATATTAGTATATAATGTACTTGTAAATAGAAATGGATTCTTGTTTGAAAACTAACCGACTTAGAAGTACTAAAATATTAAAGATGAACATAAGTTAGATTAAAATTTTTATACATCAGGCAGACATCGCATTTGTACATATGTTTGTATTGACTGTTTTAATATATAAAACATATAATTCAACAAACACGTAAGGTTTAAAGTTTACAGAAAAATAATGTATATAACATGATTCAAACAATTTTTAGATGGAACTGCCAAATGAGTATGATTTACAACAACTGCAATACATATAACTAATACCGAGTGGATGTGTTAATGAGCGACCAGCAATATCTCACAGATAAGTTCCATAAAAGATCACAATGTATTTATTCATCATAAGGATACTCTATAATTCCCGCATATAATCACATATACCAAAATATGTTCGTCTTGATAGTGTTGCAAGATGCAAACCAAACTGTTGTTATTAGGACAGATCTGAAACAAAAAACATATTTATTAATTTTATGTATATTGTTTGATTAGATATCAGATTAAATGGAAAAATAAAATAAATATAACATATACAAGTATATAAATAAAATAGCCTTTATTCAGAGAAGAGAGTACAGTCCATGTTGTGAATATTATGAATAGTTGATATATTTTGAATTTTAAATAATGTCACTCTCCGTGTGCCTGTTGACAAAGGCTTCCTCCAACTTTTGCCATCTATCTAGATCCAGTCTTGTCCAGAGTTGTCCTAGTGTTTCCCTCAGATACAAGGATATATTTTGATAAAACTTATTAACTTAAAAAGTTGTGTATACTAATATAATAGAGGTAAATTTGGTGAATTGTGAGTTTGTGATGTTGTAGAAGGTAATCTCTGGATCTACTGAACCAATTTAGATGAAATTTGGTAAGACTATAGTTTGAGACCCTGGGAAGGACATAGGATACTTTTAATCCGGGAAATCATCCCTTAAGGGGGTGAAAATGGGGATGGAAGTTTGTATGGGGAAGCAAGCCAAGGACGAACCCAAGCAAAGCGAGGGTGAGTCGCTAGAATTTTATATAATGACGGCATTGTAATGACACAGTATTATCACTAGTTATATGTACAAATATATACTAACAGCTGGGCACGAGATCCTGGTGCATGTGGTGCTCTGCATCCATGCCCAGCGGCATGCAGGTGGTCGGTGGCGGCCGGCGTTGCACCTGCAATATACATGACATTATATTTCTATCAGTTGCTACGATTTACTTGAATCAATTAATTATTATTATAATTAATATAAAATAGTACAAATTCAAGTATTATGTTAACATATTTTATATTATAGAAAAATTTGCATATTTTATTTATTTTATTATTGGCTATACAAAGATTTTCACTACAATGATTTTTTAATGCTGTTTGAATAAATATATTAATATAACATTTAAATTAACAAGTGCACAGTTAAAAGAGTTTAAATTTGACAAAAAAAACTATTCCGTTTCATATGCTACAATAAGCTTTATATAAAAATAAATTAAAAAGACAATAAAAGTAATAATTCGAGAAGTTGAAAAATAGCAGACAAAGAAAAGATATTGAGCCGACCCCACATCCCACGCGTGGGATAAGTGGCAATAGAGAAGAAGAAAAGTGATAATTCAAGAGTAACATTTCATATTTGAGTATGACCTGGTCTATGTTGAAGCGCACGAAGGCCTCGTACTGCTCGGCGAGCTTGTTGTTGAGCGCCACCTCGTACTCCGCGCGCAGCGCGGTCTCCTGGTCGCGGAGCAGGCGCTCGCAGATTATGCGCACCTACAGAAAGCATTCAGATCATTTTCTATTAAAATATTTATATTATTTTTATATAGGACATATGTCCTATTACAGTATAATCCATACTCGTATTACAAATGTGAATGTGTTTGTTTGTCCTTCTTTCACGTCGAAACAGAGTGACTGATTGGTGTGATTTTTTTATGTGCAGATAGTTGGGAGGGCTGGAGAGTGAATTAGGCTACTTTTTACCGCGTGAAATTGTCTTATAATAATGGGAAAACACGTTATAAAACAACTCACAACAACTCATTATATCTATGTACATACATATAGTTTATCCATTCCATAGTAACTTTTAAAACATGCCCAGGTAGAAACCCGAGGGAAGAGAGGGTGAGTCGCTAGTGATTTATAACTTAAAGATTTTGTAACAGATTATTTGATAGTGATGTTAGTTACTCAACTATAGTCTGATTTTTAATTCGACGGAATTCTGACATTTCAGAAGTGTTGTCAACTTTGAAACATTGTCACTAAAAACGGAAAGCATTTTAGTAAAATAAAAAAATAAACCTTTCTTGAAGTTAGGGTTTCAATTAGAAAAACTAAGACTTAAAAAATTATTGATCACTCGAAAATGGTAATAATTTTTTTATATCATATTATTGAACTTACAATAATTATTAAGGAAATTATTTTTCTATTACAGGAATCCCTGTCCAATAATCCATGGATTTCAAGCCTTTTTTAGTAAAACCCCTTTGTAAAATATTTTGTTTTACTCTGTTTTATTCATTTAACCATTAAAAATTTACATTATAGTTAGCGTGCATTGATTGCACAAAACAAAGACTATTTACAATGTCATACATATAGTTTACTTGATCTAATTCTATTTAATACTAGCGGCTCACCCTCGCTTCGCTCGGGTTCGTCGCGAGGTACGTTTAAATAGATATAAATAGTTATTAGCCAGCATTGGATAATATTGACAAATATTGACATTAATATTGATACGATTCTAACGTCAACCTCTCCACTATTTTTATATTATAAAGATTTTTTGTTACTAAAAAAATACAAAGCAGAAAAGGTTTATATATAATATCTCAATTGTCAAAGAGTGATAGCTGTCATATTTCCGTAGAATTAAAACTCAGACTATACATGTATAATAATGTGAATTTTCCTAAAACTTTGTAGTTAGAAAAAGATAGACTATGTTCTGGACTAACATAGCATTAAAATTGCATTTTCATGGAACAATATTTCAATTTCATAGTTATTGTATATGGTTATGTACTTTCTTATTTTAAACATATACAAAAATATCACAGCCAAAGAATAATAGGTTTTTTCCAACATGCATACAAACCCTGGGGCAGAAACTAGTACTTTATAAACATTAGTATTATTTTAAGCAAGTTTTGTTTAACACAATAAAAACCAACAACAAGAAACGGACATGTCAAATCCTAGCTTATAATTAATTATCATTAAAAATATAGAAGAAAACTTTAGATGAACACTTAATATTATAATATTGTAATATTAATGACCTTGAAATATTATCAAATGATTTCTATCGTTTAACCTTTGTGTAACAAAGAAATGATTATAGAAAATGCTAAAATATGTATTTAGAGTATGCTCAAAGCCATTGTCATAATAATCTTCAATCAATGAATACAATGGGATCATTAAAATTGTCTTGAATTTAATTAGTATTGCATTAAAACAAATAATTTTGTGTATAGATAAAATTATAGAGAAGAAAATTTTATTTGAGATAACATTTGGCAGTATATCAAATGCAGCAGAATGAGGTAATATCTGCATTATGCTCTTTGAAGATGCATCTGCAAAATGCTTAGATAAAAAATATATATTACTTCTTCAGTAAATATATAAAATGCAAGTAAAATCATCACAAAGCAAATTGTGCTGCAGTTTGTTTATGCAGATATTATTATTAAATACAAGCATGTTATTGTAACTTTTGATTTTTTCAAAGCAATTAATTTTGCTCATCTTAAATCTTTTTTTGTCTTATAATATTTTAGGTATTATATGGATATTTAAAATTAACAACATTCATTATGACAAGTTACTTAATATAGCAAATTTCAAATAAGTATCTGCACAATATTCAAGTTACCAAGTCCTTAATTCTATACATCATAAGGTCATACCTGTTTAAAAGTGAACAGAGCCCGATGCTGCACCTTCTTCCTGGAGTGCGAGCGCTGTGGTGGCGAGGTGTCACCCTCGCTGCCGCTGGACGACGAGCACGACGCGGCCGCACCGGACGCAAGCCGCAGTTGACGACGACGGTGAAGCCGTGTGATCTCATCGCATATCTCTTGGGCCATGCGCTCTGGAAATTTCATTAATATCTATTTGACTATGACAATCAAAGGCCCTTTAAATAGTTTACTTTTTAATGTTTATGCTGACAGGGATTTGGCCACAAGTAATCACGCCCTCTTCATTAAAACAAGCCGATATAAAAATTACTAAACAATCCTGTGACTTAACCCTACTTGTGCTAACTCATGAGGCATTCACAAGCTTAAGTAACATCAACATGTACATCAGATTGGCATTAGAGTAGTCATTTATTAAATTCACTAACAACTCTACCTTGCTTCGCTTGGGTTCATCTCTAGCTTGCTTCCCAATACAAACTTTCATCCCCATTTTCACCCCTTTAAGGGATGATTTCTGGGATAAAAAGTCCTTTTCCAGGATCTCAAACTATATTCTTACCAAATTTCATCTAAACCAATTCAGTAGATTCAGAGATTCCCTATGTCACATGCTTTACCTCTCTAATATTAGTATAGATTAGCAAAAAGGAAGAGGGAAGGTTATACGCTTGATGTAACAAAAGTAAGGGTCTAAGGAACTGGTGTCTGTTATGCCAAGTTTTTGTGGAATATTTTTTGAATTAATTTATAAACAGGAATGCCCACCACAGGCATTGATTAAAGGAATTTTTATGTGAAATTCTTTATGTATATTATGTGCTTTCAAACTTTGAAGTTCATTCATGTACATTTGTTTATTGTTTGCCAAAAATAATTGAAGGGATCATTGCACTTATTTAAATTAAAAAATTATCTTTTAAAAGTAAACATTCAATGTATGGGGAACAGATGAGGGAGAATTCAATGCACAGCTGTAATATACATACATAATATGTATGTATTTTTTTTAGATTGTAATCAATGTTACGTAATCAAATGCAAAGTTACTCTAAATTTGTGTCATACAGCCACTAGAAAAGTACTTCAATGGGAAATGATAATAAAGGCATTGATGAAAAAATCATTGAATATGCTTCATGAAATAACCTTAAAATACACTTATAATAATAACACATAGCTACAAAATATTACTTTGTAAAATTTTGCATAATATTATCCTTTATATTTTGTTACAGTAAATTTAAATATACCAGCCATTTGTATCTAACATAAGGTAGGCATGCATTTATGAATTTAGCACGCTGTTTTATCATCTAAGATATCAGAAGGTTAAAATTATTTTAAACAATTCACATTGTATTTGGTTTATTTGTGAAGAACATGTTTTTAAAAAGTATAGAAAATAAATAACAAATTCTTCGTTGTAACATGGCAGTAGAACTTCATCATTTCATACACTCTCATCAGGACCATTTTCCTAAAAATCACTTCCACTTAAGTGATAAACAAGAAAAAATATTCCACCAACAATTCCAAACCATGGAGGAATGATATATGGGCAGATAGGACCTGCTATTGCAGGACAGATTACTGCTAGACTTTATAACAAAGAACAAGTGTTAAATTCATTAAAAAGACAATTAAATGATTTTTTGGCTGGTTTTACAAATTATAATTATTTTTATGATAATTTTGTTTGAGTTTTTCTACAAAATATACACAAGCCATATTTCAAAAACTACAGCTGATATATAAAAACGGCTTTCATTTTCAGAGTCAGGATGCCAAATGGCTTCAGAAAAGCTATTTAAACATTCAAAAAAGACTTTGTAGATAAGTGTAAATGATTATTTCACTATTTAAAAATTAATATTATTTGTAGTTTGTACCACAAAATATCTGATGTAAATAAATATTTGTAAAGTAATCCAATACTACTACAACAGAATGATTGTTATAATTCAAAATAACTAAATAACACACAAAATGGATTTTTAGAATATGTACACATATCTTTATTTTTTTAAATATAGTGATTGATAAAACAAGCCAATTTAAAAAAATACTTTTGAATATTAAATGAAACATATCAAGAACCAGAGTGAGCTTGTGTAACTAACTGTTCATCATTTCAAAAAAGTGTTATGTGCAATTAAATTTGCAAACAAAGGAAAGTTAAAGTAAAAAAAAATAGTAAAATGTTTTATACTTTAAGTTGAAAGAATTAATTTATTTATTATGGAGTTTACCACATACATTAAATTACTAATATCAATAATATTTTATAATTATTTATTACAAGTCATAACTTTCATCAATAATATATTAGTCAAATTCAATTTCATATTGTGTAAATTACATATTTCATAATTCCTTTTGAACAAAAACTATAGGTACAGAGTATATAAAAAAATCTGCAAAATGCAAGTACTGAATTATTATTGCTTAGGGCAGTAACTTGATGAATTGCTGCAATAGCTATCTTTAATGCACCACGAAAGCAAGTTCATTGCAATACAAAAAATACCCTATACTATGCACGAACGCTTCTACTTATAAGAAAGAGCTCAATATGCTGTTTATTCAGTTTTTGTCATTTTAAGTCTTTATTGAAAAATAGAAAAAAAAAACAAAGCAAAACGCCCAACGGTCATCACACATCACCCGTCTCTCTCTAACCCGATAAAAATAATATTCATGATATCAAAAAAACAATGGCGATAAATATTACAGCTGACTAATAACTACTTAAAAACATTACATACTTCTTAAAATTGAATAACTTAAGATCTAAATGTTAATCTTTAAGTTAAAGATTTCAGCTATACAAAAATAAACAAACCTGGGGTCAATTTTGCAGGTGCAGTAACGGTCTCTCCAAATACACAACTTTTGGTTTCAGACACTTTTAAACCTGGACTTGTACTTGAGCTTGCAGTGAATGGAGCACATCTTCGTCTTTTAGCAGGCATTTGTGCCATGGACTCCCAGTCTAAATTTCTTTTTAGTGTAGCACACGCCATTTTGTTTTTACGCCCAACGAACGTCCTTTACTGATTTTATACAACTATTTTTAAGTAAGTCATAAATAGAACAAAATTCAAAAAATAATAGTATATTTTATCGAAAAATAACACTAAAATTTAAAAATAAGACTTAATAAATTAATAACTAAAAAGATTTCTTGAATTATTTCAGATTATTCTACACAACTCCGATCTCTCCCTTCTAAATCCAAAATCCAACTTCAATGACTTTTCTTGTCACTCTTGTGTATTTTTTTAAATTTTGACAGCATTATTGTGTCAACGAGAGTACCAACATTACATAAAAATTCCATAGACAGCTGTACGATCAGATACTTGTACTATCTTATATATAAATAATTAACGTATATTTCACTAAATTTCATAATAATTATCATTATTTAATGATGAACTAGTTATAATTTCAAAGTAATATTATTAATATTTATTATAAAACATTATAGTGCTAAATAAACCAATTTACTAAAACGCATTTGACGTTAGTATGCTCAAAATAATCAAAAATGACAGAAATATTTTGTTGTTGGGAATTTTGCATCATAAATTGAAAGCTGTGACTCATCTTGGGCACTAGGTATTTGTTTCAAGTATTCAAACCCTTAGAAACATTTAATTAAATTAAGGCATTAAGCCTACTTTTCATTGTAAATAGTATTATAAAGCCGTCAAACTGGGGAACGAAATGTCATCATCCGCTATGGAAAGTATCCTTTGTAATTATTGATATTGGTAAAGGGAAATGGTAAGACAGTTTACTTATATATAACAATTATTAAGAATTTCTTCATAATGTAGTGGTTATCCATTCTGGCTTGGTTTTTCTTGTTTCATTGTATTGTATGTACCTGTTAGGTACATATATGTTAATCCAATTTTGCATTATGATGACACATGAATTTTTATTACAATTTAACTTACCAAAGTAATAGTTAATGTTGGATTTTTTATTATTATACAAGAGATATTCAATTACTTCTAATTTTCTAATTAGAAAAATAAGTATTTAATGTATATAAATATTACATTGTCTTAATATCATGATAATCAGTTGTTATTGGAAGACTTTAATTTTATTTTTCATATATCTTCTAATTTTATGACATATTTGATCTCCTTAATATATATAATCAGAACATCTATTTAATTTAAAATTTGCTGTAAAAGAATTAGACCGCAATTCAAAAAAATGTGAAAAAGAAGAGAAATTGGAAAAAGAGAAAGCAAAAAAAGCTATTCAAAAAGGTAACATGGAAGTAGCAAGAATTCATGCTGAAAATGCTATACGGCAAAAGAACCAAGCTATAAATTATTTGAGGATGTCAGCTAGAGTTGATGCTGTATCTAGTAGGGTACAAACTGCACTGACAACTAGAAAGGTAATAATAGAATATTGTGTACACTAAAGTACTAATTACTTTGCATTATATATATATGTGCATCTGAATATTCACACTTTCTATTGAAAATCCTTGTCATCAACACCAATTAATAATTATTTTTAAAAGTTAGTATACCGTTAACACTAAATTCAAACCACTAATTATGCCACCTTTGAGTTTAACCTATTTTACTATAAAAATAAAATATAGATAATAATTGAATACTTTTTGACCACATGTATATACATATACTAAAGTATAATATGGTGTTTGTAAATCATAAGAGATGAATTTAATCTTATTTGGTTTAGGTCACAAATTCTATGGCGGGTGTTGTAAAGGCAATGGATGCTGCAATGAAATCTATGAATCTCGAAAAGATATCTAATCTAATGGACAAATTTGAGAGTCAATTTGAAGATTTGGATGTACAGTCATCATATATGGAGAATACCATGTCCCAAACAACTACAACTGCAGTGCCGCAGGGAGATGTGGACAATCTATTACAACAAGTTGCTGACGAGGCTGGGTATGTGATATATAATATACACATAATCCATTACTTTATTAAGGCTAAGATTTTATTTATATTTTTATGAATATAATCCTACAATATGTTTTTAATGTGATTAACTTATAGAGTGAAGCATAGTCAAAAGATTATAATAATTATTAATTAATTTATACTATAAACAGTGTGCTATATATTGTTTGTGTATGAAAAACATTTATGTAAAGAAGAATTAAATTTCAAAAATTAAATAAAAAGATTCAAAAGAATTAAAAAAAATGATGAGTTTGTGACAGAATCTCAATTTATATACTTTTTATGTTGTTATTTGCATAAATATATTTAGAGTGCTTTTATATGATATATTTTAAAATATCTTATTCTGTGATTTTAGTTTGGAATTAAACATGGAACTACCATCTGGAGTGCCGAGCGCATCAATCGGCACTGCTACAGTGGTCTCTCAGGAACAAGATGAGCTCACACAAAGACTTGCAAGATTGAGACAAGCCGAATAATATGTATATATTATGCATAGGTTTTATGTTAAGTTTATATAATACAAACTGTTGATAATATTATATAATATAATTAGGGGCTGTACATATAAAATTAAAAGTTTGCTGATGTTTTGAAATATTATGACATTTTGATGACTTCATTGGGACAGTAGTTTTATAAAATTACACTGATAACGAAATTTTATATTTTATTAAATTAAAATGTCTTGAATTTAGCAAAACCAAATAAAATTAAGTATGTCAGCCTCTGGTTTTAAATCTTATGAAACAAATTCTGCCTCTGGAGACTGTTTTCAATAGTATCTATGTTGGCTTTAAGAAATGTTAATTTTGTAATATAAGATTTCATATTTTCCATTATTTTGTAAAATAAATATGTAAAGTAAATAGTATGCATTTAATTTTGTTTTATTTTAATTTCAGCATTCAATGTATATTAACTGATAAAGTACTTATGTAATGCTAAAGAAGTGTGCAACATTCTTCACAACGTCGTATCCCATAATAAATATTATAAATGCGAAACTTTAGATGTATGGATATTTGTTACTCAATCACGCCAGAACGGCTGAAAGGATCTGGATAAAATTTGGCACAAAGATAGATTATAGTCTGGAAGAGCACATAGGTTACTTTTAATGGAAAAATGTATGATTTCCGTGGGAACGATTTGTTTTTTTCGTTAGTGTATAATATGAATACATACTGTGTTTATTTTGGACTACTTTGAAGACTAGACCAGACCACTTTTGGGAGGGATTTCAATACTGAGATATTAAGCCTTAACATGTTTAGACAACAATTTTGGAAGCCTCTTGCATGTTACGATAGGATAAAATAAGGATTACTAATATCATTTACTCGTTCATGAAATACTAGCGATCATATTTGATCGATCGCGTAGCTTATGTATTAGTAGCCCTTGGACATAAGTCTAAGCATGATATTAGATACCTTATATTTTATAAAATCCCTTAATAAATATGGTATGAATGAAAACATATTTTTGGAACTCTCCATAAATCTGTTTCTTTTAATTAAAATTAAAAATTTCTCAGCTTTATAATTTTAGTATATTTTAGCCACTCGACTTTGCTTTGCTTAGGCTTTAATCATACTTTTAACAACTTTTTGTAACAAATATCAGAGGAAATATCAAATTTAAAAATAGCTACTGATTAGAGTCAATAGTTCAACTATTTTTTACTTCTTAGAGTGGAAATTTCATTTTTTAATAAATAAAATTCAGTTAGGTGCTAAAACTTCATTATTGAAAAATACAACTGCTATGAAGGGAAAATATAAAAATAAAACTAAAATTACTAATCTTCAAATACTTTTATTCAATAAACAAAAGAACAAGCACAAATTATATTTCTAACAATAATCTGTCAAATTGTATTTCTAACAATAATCTGCACAATTAAACAAAATATTGAAACAAACAACATATTTGCGAGTCGTATACTAGCGCGAGCGTAGTGGTCACACATTTTACTTCCATTAGGAATATAAAATATTCATATTACATTAATTTTATAATACAGTTAGCCATACACCAATAATTTAATGATTTCTCTGTAATAATATGTATGCCAATATAAGCCAAACAACATTTAAGTTAAAAAAAAAAAACAATTGTCTTTGACTGAGCTACCATTTTTTAAAGCTGACTTTATTTTAAGAAGTAAAAACGAATGGCAAACAAACATTTTATAAAATAATACTTCTTTAATAATAATACTTTTAAAGGCGACTAATTTTCTCAAATACTCAATGTACTATATTATACATAACACTAAGTGCTTTCCTAGTACAAAAAGATTTCGAGATTGTAACAGTGTTATTAAATTAAATAAGGCCTCGTATTCACTCATTTGCATTTCGATATTTTATTAACCTAATTAATAATTAAAATATTATTTAACAATCCCATTCAAGTCAAAAAAAGTTAATTTAAAACAATTTTGTTTCGTAAGAATTAAAACAAAAATTATGAGATCTATCTTGACAACATTTTTTTACACAACCATATAATTTTTTCTTAAATTTACGCGAATATTTAATTTGTTTGATGTTTTAAATAAAACTATCTTTTCGGGGTTTTTTTTTTATAATTTTTGAAAGTCCATTGATGTTTGAATTCATTTTTTATTTATTTTTTTGGTACCTTTTTTTGAAATCATTATATCCTTGAGAGTTGAGACATCTAAAACCCTACTCCCTCCCGCGACCATGATTGCTGTAAAGCATTCAAAACGTCCGGAAGCAAAATTCTACATTAATCCTCGAAAAAAAAATCTGCAAAGATAGATTTATTTACAGCCATTTCGCATATACATATATATAACTTAAGCAAAGTTTAATAATGACGTTGTCACGTGATCAAAACATATGACGACTGCAACGCATCGTCCGTCCGCGTACTCGCTGTCGCTTCGCGATTGTATCGATACGAAGGCAAGTAATCTACATTATTTTTATTAATCAGAATAAATTGATACGACGACGAGCATTGTCCAGTTTATAAAATGTTTTAAGTTTATCGGCGCAGAATACGTCCAAGTAACGTTGCGATAAAAAGTCACCGTGTGCATAGGCCCTTATACTATATAATATTTCCGTCAAGGGCGTTTTTACTGACCGACACGATAATCATCGACACGGGACAGTGAAAAAACGCTCTAAGGAGGGAAATAGCAACAACCTTCTCACAATCAAAACTACATATAACGACCGAACGACGAATACGAGACCTAAATTTAATCAGCATGTGAATAAAATACATTTGTGACTTAGTACTAAAAAAGGAACAATATAATTCTTTGGTCGTTATTCGTTTTGGTCTTGGTCCTTGAAGGCAATTTGGTAGAAGATCCAATCCTCCAGGAAGGAAGGCACGAAGGCCTTGCACTTGCTGAACGTCACGGCTGGCTTCATCTTCATGAGCACTTGTTCGTACAGCTCTAGGGAATCGCACGACGTGGCACCATTCCCCTAAAAATAATAGTTTATATGTATTATATTTTGTAAATTATTTATTACTAGCGGTTCACCCTCGCTTCGTTTGTGTTTGCCTCTAGAAAAATAAAAACAAGTCTATCCCACGGGAACCCTACATTTTTTCGGGATGAAAGTAGCCTATGAATTATTCTATGAGCTATATCACTGTAACGTTTAATTAGAATGGACTGCATACAAATATATTCAACTTGTACTTTAAATGCAACTGCCAAAAATAAATAAGTATACATACAATACTTTCTTAGATATACTTATGCGAATATTTGATATATTAAATAAAATAATAGCAACACTAAATAAGTTTATTAATTAATTAAAAAAAATGTTATAATTATAATCACAGCAATAAAAATGAAATAAACAATATATAATATTCAATGATAAAACTTATTAAAGTTATAAAAGTTAATTAAAATTAACAAATATTGTGTGGTACTTCGGTATCATTTATGTATTTTTGAAAATCATTATAAAATTTTATGTGTAGGTGCTGTCTGTAACAACTACCTATATATTATTCGCCTCTCCCGTGCACGGCTGCCAGTAAGGCCAACTTATTGTCATACCGCTGGGTCACTCAAATTACACCAAATCAAATTTTATTATAGAAATTAACAAAACTATTGAGAAATAGTTTGTAATGTATAAAAAAATTCAATAAAAATACGTAATAACTGAAAATGAAATATACATAAAATAACCACATTTTACAATTTTCGTATCCAACTGTACGATCTGGCGGCCCCGCTCCCGTGACCACGATTGCAGTAGAACATTCGAAAGGTCGGGAACAGTATCCATACTTTAATATTATTTATTATTGTACGGCTGCACACCCGGAGGTCTTGGGTTCGAGTCCCGGGTCGGGCCAAGTTTAGTTATTGAGTCTTTCTGTATAGTAAGCCTCAGTAACAGCCCGGAGTTGGGAAGTTGGCGGTGTATCACCCCCGTGCCTCGGAGAGCACGTGTCGCGTCGGTCCTGCGCCGACACTCTCACCGGTCGTGTCTCGTGTCGTCCCACCGGAGTATGAGAGTGACAGGAATAGAGAGTGCACGTTCTGTCTGCGCGTACACTTGTGCACTATAATATCTCCTGCGCATTTGGCTAGTCTCAATGAGATCGGCCGCCGTGGCCGAAACCGGTCAGGAGAACATCATCGTTATAAATGTGAAAGTGTGTTTGTTTGTCTTTCTTTCACGTGGAAACGGCTCGGCGGATTGGCGTGATTATTTCTGTGGAGACAGTGAGAGTGCCGTGTGCGTACGTGCGTCATGAACTGGCCGGCGGGGCGCAGCACGGCGAAGGCGGCGCGCAGCACGCCGCACATGAACTCCCACAGCTCGCCGCCCGCCGCGTCGCTGATGGGGATGTCGGTGAGGTCGCCGAACACGTAGTCCACCTTCTTCTTCTCCGCCGCGAACTTCTTCACCGTCAGCATGCAGTCCTCCACTATGATCTGGAAGGTGAGCGTTGACAGTTGTATATGTCGCACGGAAATTGTAGGATTTAAATTATAATTTCTCGAGTGAAATTCTAATTACCCGGAGTATTGTCAAACGTCTCCTTTTCTCACAATATCATGGGACATTTTTACGTAAATTATAATTTCTCTAAGAACATTAAGTTAAATTGCGAGACGCTGCGTGGGGCCGATTTAGACATCTTTTTTTGATGCGCATCATGAATAATAGACAGATATATTTAGTACATGTTTAGCACTTCTACTAATATACAGATAAATTAAATTGAAGCATATGTTTGTAATGTCCAAGTCAATGTTTTTACTAAATGCATAAAATGAACTTACACACGGTACTTTTAAGAAAAACACATTTTTTATAAATTTTATCTGTTTGTTCCAGCTAATCTCCGAAACGGCTCGACTGATTTTGATGGGAGCAGATAGCTGGTGCTATAAGTAGTAGTTTAGGCTACTTTAATTTTAGAAAAACAATTAGGGTTTCGCTCAAAAAAAATATAACGTAGTTTAGTGTATAAGTATTAACTTATGTAAGTACTGAAAAATCCACGTGATTTTACCCGACATGATAATTAGATCAAACACGAATATTCGTGTTATTCGCTGATATTTTTTGTATAACTTCTATTTTTATCATGTAATTTTTGAGAATTTAAATAAGCATGTATCATAATTAAATATATTGTACTAAAGTAATGGTGAGTTTTGTTATGAGTTTTTTTCTACAGCGAAAAATATGTTATTTTGACACTAATCAGAGCTACCGCTTGAATTCACCGCAAGCAATACTAGTGTATAGTGAGGTCTTGAAACGTCAAATGACACTGAATGTTAACTATTTACGAGCCTTTCATCGCGGATCTTCACTAATTATTCATAATTATTGTAAACATTGTGCTAAGAACAAGCCAATATTTTTATCTATTTTGTTATTATAAAGTAGTATATTATACTAGTATCTGTATAGATTGAATATTTAAAAAAAACCTGATAAGCTGGTGCCGCTTTAACAATTATCATTATTATATTAAATTTATGGTCCGACCGCACTACCAAATACTTTTTTAACGACAGCGATAGGACCTCACCCGAAACGATAACCCTTATTAGAGCGTCACCTAACTGTTTTAAGCAAAGTGACAAATCTATACATATAATAAAATTCTAACTAAGTCGAATCTGTACATTTTTGGTATTATAAAATATTTTTTGGTAAATCTTATTGATATAGACATTATTATCGATACAGAGGCCGAATCTATAGTTTTTAGAATTTTTGTCTGTCTGTCTGTCTGTTACCGCATCACAGAAAAACTACTGGAAGGATTTTGATGAAATTTGGTATGGTCATAACTGGTTATCCGGGTCAACATATAGGATACTTTTTATCGCGGGAAAATGTCTCATTTCTGAGAACAAATACAAAAACTGCAATGTAATGAGTATACTAATATGTAAAACCTAAGAATTTGGTTTTTAGTCATATGAACGCGGGCGGAGCCGCGGGCAATGCTAGTATAATACTAAATTCCTACAAAATTAATACAACATTCGATTACTATATCCAACGATGGAACTATATCGGTAAGTTTCTCACATCGTAATTGCCAATTGGATAACGAATAAAAGTATTGGTAGACATAAAAACAAACAAAATAGGTACACACATATTTGACACTTTCATTTCACTTTTGCACACTTTCACAGCTAAAAAAAAATCAGCAAAATTCAGAGTAAAGATAGCTTATATCTTAGTTTTGCACATTTGTTCCTATAAAAAAAAAACATTAATATAATTTTTAAAATTCAATCAATTTACCTCAAAATTAGGCCCCTTTCTCCTCTCCAGCACATCGCCGCAGATGGACTTGAGGTGTTTGTTGCAGGCCTTCATCACAAGCTCGTCTATTTCCAGCATCCACACAAACTTGGGATTTTCTTTCAATAATTCATACAATAATGCACCGTCGCCGCCACCTAGTCATCCATATCAAACATTATGAACAAATATATTTATATACACATATATAATTATTATATGTATATTGTTATGAATATATTTGGTATATAATATGATATTAAAATTACTAATTTATATTTAAAAATAAACGTACATCAACTAATATTGTAAATGCGTGAACGAGTATTTGTAACTCTTATACCCTGAAACTGCTTGTCGATTTTGGAGGAAATTTAGTACATATATTGCTTCCCAATACAAACTTTCATCCCTATTTTCACCAGCTTAGGGATGATTTTCAAAATAATAAGTATCCGATGTCCTTCCCTTTCATCTAAATCGGTTCAGTAGATCCCGAGATTACCCCCTACAAAGTCATGAACTCACAATTTCACAAACTCACAAACTTTACATCTTTATAATATTAGTATAGATATAAACTGTGACCTGGAGAAACATGTAAGGGACTAAGGGACACTAGTAAAAATCAAATTTGTAACTTACCTAAAATAATAATTTCCTTTCCTTCATAGCTTTCTTTCCCTCTTTGCATCAAAGTTTCAGTATAAATAAGATCAGCTTCTGAAATATCTGAAATAAAACGATTTCATACTTTTGAATGTATTTTCCATAATAACAATTAAAATTCTCGTTTAGTACAAATGAGATGGACGTCATATCGCTTATATGCGACAAGAACGTGATAAGTCAGAAACTCTAATTTTTCAGAAAATTACTGAAAGTTTTGTACTTTTATATTATTGAAACATGTGGATTTTTTGTCTAACTTTCAAAAGATAAAATGTTGCCCAATTAGTCTAATTTTTAAATTTATTGCTTTCAGAGATCAATTGTATTGTATTTATTGATTATTTATCATGAAGTCACCATTTGTTACGTTTTTCTTGTAAAAACAGAAATTTATAATAAAATATATAATATATTATGTTTGCAACTGATATATTTTATCATTATTCTATTTTTATTATACGAGATAATCAGATTAAAACACGGTTTAATCAATTAAAATTGTTTTAATTGTTAAAAAAATTACAGTAATAAATTTACAAAAGTTAGCTAAGCTTAATTTTAAATTAATCTGCTAGAAAAACAACAAAACTTCTTATTTAATATTAAATATAATAAATTATTACATATTATTAAATTGCACTTACATATTGTATAAGAAAAATAAAAAAAATAAAGGATAAGTCTTCAATTTATAAAATCTTAGTATCTCTCACCGTTGTTCTATATTACGAAACTCGGTTGACAGCAAGCATTTTCTCTATCACTCTTCAAAGCATATATGGTTTATTCGATATGGGTATCTCTTTTTCATGCATATTTTTTAGTAGTAATATAGCTATTTAGAGTATACAGGAGTCCTCTTCAAAAATACTTTCAAGGCAAGTGAATAATTGAAGATTGAAAACTTGTGTGAGATCCACTTGATGTTCGAAAATTTTTGGACAGCAAATAGGTAAATGGCGATCATAAACTTGTTACAGTCCAGAATAATAATCAGACTTGAATATCATATTAGCGCTCCTGCCAGTTCAATCTTTTTTTACAGTAAATATAATCGTTGTGAACGTAACAAATACTCCTACCATAATATACCATTCATAATAAGATGATCCTGATAAACTGCTGCTCGATAAACTAGTGGAAACGTGACGAGGCTTACTACATTTTAGGTATTATTTCGTAGTTCCCTTCAGCATCTCCTTCTCAGGCCCTAAAAAATTGTAAATGAAATACATAAACTTCTTCTAACACTCACCTAACTCTTGCACTTGGTTGATAAATAAATGATCAATAATGACAAATATTTAAGATTGAATCTACGATATTCGTCAAAGCAATAGCGGCGAATGATAATAACTCTACGTGCAGTAAACACCTAGTATTTGTACCTGCAAAATATGAGTCCTTATGAGCTTGATGATGATGAGCGGAATTATGAATATGCTTAATACATACTCTTTCAGTTTCTTTCGGCACTTTGGGCCACGACCTTAGTCTGTGCGAGGTCCTCTTCATTGATTTCGGCCACCCAATCTCACTGATACTAGCCAACTGCGTAAATACCTTATTTTGTCTACGCAATATGACATATTCGAATCTACTGAATTAAGTGTTCTCTCTGCAACTTTATTTAACAGTTTAACTCCTTCTTCTTGATTGGTTTTTCAATTCTAATTAAATGAAATCTTGTCTTGAAAATATTTTTTATATTAAATACCTCTCAAAGTAGCTGTCAAGGTTGTGTTCACATATAATTAGTAGGATAAGATCAGTATAGACATTATATATAAAATACATTTAAATGAACTGTTATTACATCCAGTTGAGACTTTTAGTTATTTTATGGTGCGATATAGTATAGTAATATACATACTATATATTATGTAAGGGAGTACTCAAAGAACACACACTACTCTAGTAATTACTAACTTCAAACCCCTTTATAGTGAGACGGCCACCTTCATTGGAAAAATATTTAACTATAATTATACCAATATTTTACCAATAACAATATAATACAAACATATAGTCAATTTTCTAGAAAAGTTCTACATGCGGATAGGTCGCATTAAGCCAATCAATTAATAAAAAAATTTATCATCTGTAACGTTACTCATTGATTTATTTTAAAAACATAGTATTTGCAACAATAACGTTTCACAATACCCGTAATTTTAAAAACTTAATAGAAACCTTGAAGAAAAAGTGTTATAAATGACGAAATGATTACATTTAAGCAGTATAAAGTAAGCCAATTACAAGTACTTACTCTTACACCAAAACCGTAACAACTTGTTGCCAACCCGTTCTTGCCGTAACACCAAACACGCGGTATCAACTGGCGGTAACTGATATTGAAACGAAGTTTGCGATCGATAGAGATAGCGCTAAAAAGGTATGGGCGGTCTTTTTCTTTCATAACAAGGTCAATTTTGACGCTACAAATATAGCATTTTAATAGCAAATAAAGCACGATTCGGCAGTCTTTTCTAAGATTTTATTCCATAACGATACTTTGAGTAGATAATACGTTCTTGTTGCGAATGAGCGATAATATGCAAAAAAGTGTCTAAGTAACTTTTCGTAATTAAATTATTATTCATAATCTAATTAATATTAAGGCTTATTTAATATAATTTTTTGTTGATAATTTACCGTTTCATACATTTGTTTTTTTTTGTTGATTATTTACCGTTTGATAAACTGGTAATTATGTAACAAGAAATATTTTTAATGCAATCAAGACCTTTTGAAAATACAATAATTTCTCTAATACATCTCATCCTTAACTTTCAGTGATTTAGATTATAGTTATTATCTTATCTAAGGTATTTTAGTGATACTGTAAAGGAATTTATAGAACGCCATATATATGTAATTTTATCGTTCGAGATTGTAGATTTTCACTGAGAGATGATTTCAGAGACAAAACGAAAAAGAATTAGAAAAAATTACTCAAAAAGTCTTTAGTTATGTATATAAGTAACGACATATGTATACTTACTTTGTAAATCATCTAGCACCAGCATATTGCCGAAGGACTTAGAGTGTATAATTTGCACTTTTTGGAAGGAAGACTGTTCGTCAAACAAAACGGCGTCAATGTCATATTCTAGTAGTCTTTCATCTAAAAATGTTAAGGTTCGATTAAGTATAATTACACAAAGGTGGCTAACTATTACCTAAGATATACTTAGTGGGTTCACATCCACAAACCGAGTAAATAATAAAAATATATTATTTTTATATGTAATTTAAATGCCTTGACTTTATTTTTTTCGCTTTCGCTTGCTTTAGTCTTCATTACATTTTCTTAAATTCCATTAATAAATAATAATAATGCCCTCCCGAACCGGCTAATCGACCCGGGACTCAAACCCAGGACCTCCGGATCTGCAGATCTACAGCCACTAGATCACCCAGACAATTTCATTAGAAGGCGCTTATAAATGCAGTTACATTAAGAAATTAGCTTTGAGTTCTATAATATGAATAAATTAGTATTTATATACGTCCCAGTGGACGTAATGCTATAATATGTATAATATAATCAAATCATCAACCAGTATGTATTTGAATATGTATAAATAACTATACGACGCCAGCATTTAGAGAGACACGAGATGCCTTAAATGCACTAAACTAAGTGTGGCTCACTAAGTTAAAAAAATTATTGAATATTTTATGTAAAATATATATAGTATAATACACAATTTGCCTACGCTTCATGAGAAAACATAAAATGTTCCACTTACCTGATGTGGGGAAATACCTGCCGAATAAGCAACGTTTTATTGTCGGGAATGCTTGAGATTTTATAACTGTGATGTATTTTCTCAGCTGATTTTCCAATACCTTCGCCGACTAGTAAAATAAATTGAAAAAATGGATAAAAAAAATCTATGGTAATGCAACATGCAAAGGCTGTTTTCTACTAGAATGTAAGGTTGAGCATCTTCTCAGATTACTGGAAGATTCTTTAGTCTATGTCAAAATCTATTTAAGAATGGGTAAAAAAATCGTGCAAAATTACAAAATCATGTGAATATGATCGTAATTTAAATATTTTTAAAAAATAATAAATAATACCTACTGGAAGACGAAAGTTTGCTTACTCCAAAATATTCATTTATAATTATTTTTTTATAAAAATATCCTCGTGGCTGACTGATAGATATTTTGTAAAACTTGAGTAGCGTTTTAGAATTACGACGAAAAAAATATTTAAATGAAAAATATTAAAACTCAAGAAGCAATTTTTGCAGCTGCAAAAGATCACGAGCGGCAAAATGTTAATTTATTATTGACCTAAGTAGATCAGACAGACCTTCATGTAATTATGAAATCCATGTCAGTAGGGAATCCATACTAATATTATAAATGCGTAAGTAACTCTGTTTGTTTGTTTGTTATCTTTTCACGACTAAACGGCTGAACCGATTTAGATGAAAATTAGTATGGATATAGTTTGAGACCCAGCGAAGGACATAGGACTGTTATTACCCCGGAAATCATCTCTTAAGGGGGTGAAAAGAGGAGTGGAAGTTTGTATAGGGAATCAATCATTTTTAAGTAAGAGATTTAAAACTCACCATACCTATGTATATAGTCTATCTATTCCATACTAACCGTCAAAAGGTACCTGGGGACGAACCCGAGCGAAGCGGGGGTGAGTAGCTAGTATGAAATATACGAGGGGCGGCTGATAAGTTCCCGACCTAAGGTACTTAGCGATGACTCATCACCTCGTTACCTAAATCACTAATTGTGCGACTAATTGTTAGTATATATTATAATACCCCTTTTTTATTACATTCATTAAAACTTCATCTCTGGAACAACTGACAACACCACGTTAACGGAAACAGGAGGTTCTCGCAATTTGAAGCACCGCGATTGATTAAATTACTTGTTAAAAAAGGATATACGCGAACAGAAATTTTTGAAGAGATTTCATCAGTTCTTTAGGATTGCCTGGATTCTGCACCTTCATACACGATGGTAAAAAAATAGGTTTGGTTATTTCAGCAACGAAGAGACATCTGTAAAGACGGCCCCCGCCAGGGTCGCCCGGTGATTGTCGTGACCGAAGAAAATGCCCAAGAAGTCGAAAAGTACTGGATCGAAGTATTAAATTGTGGCATATATCTGCTATCTAGAACTACAGATTAGCAAATTACTAGTTGGAGAGATTTTACATGAACATTTGTAGATGAAAAATATTAGTGCGCGCTGGTTACCGCGAACGCTCACCCCATTCGACAAGCAGCGACGACTAGTTGTGTCAACCCGATTTGGATGAAATTTGTAACCGCAATGTGACGTTCATGAAACCTGGATTCATCAGTATATGATCACGATTTCAAGCAAGAGTCGATGCAGTGGATAATAAAGGGAGAAAGGCCACCAAAGAAATTCAAAGTGGAAAAGTCGGCGTCAAAGATTATGGCTACCATTTTCTGGGATAGCGACGGAATTTGATTAATTATTTGCCTGAGGGGACTACTGCAATGAATGGCCATTATTACAATTATTTACTGGATCAGGTACGTGAGGCAGTCGTACAGAAGAAACTTGGCAATTTGGCGCGCGGAGTGCTGTTTCTGAATAACAGCTCGCCCGTTCACCCCGCCCGGGTTGCGACGGATGCTTTAAAAGTTCCGGGATTCACAGAAATTGACCACCCGCCCTATATTCCAGAACTTGTCCCAGTGACTTTTTCCAATTTAAAAAAGGAATTACGGGGACGAAGATTTTCGGACGACAATGAGATGAAGGCGGCCATAGAAAGTATTTAGAAGAGAGATTGGAAGAATATTTTTTTAGTCGTATAACAGTATTATATTCACAATGTACATAGTGTATTTCACTTGAGGGGGATAACATTGAAAAATATTCCTTATTTCTGAAAAATCACACTCATTTTTTAAACTATCTAAAACCTATATAAATTATAAATTGGAGTAAGCAAATATTTTTTCAGTAATTTAATGTAGAGCAAGTAACCATTAAAATTTTGGCATATCTATTTGCTTTTATTAGTGTTTTAATATAAGAAATATTTCATGTATAAAAGAAACAGCAAAGAAATAGTGAGTATATACATATAAAATGGTAATCAGCTCTAATACCCACTTGGTGCAAGTATGTCTCCAAACGAACATCACTAGTTTCAATTTAATTAACAATTTCTATAGCTCCCATATTGTTTATTTGTACAAATAGTCTATAAAATATGTGCAAAGGGAAATCTATGTGATATTAATAAAGCTTAGGGCCAACCTGAACTGGTTAAGTATACATCATATTTATAACCCCTTTTGATAGTTGGCATAAGCTTTAGTCTGTCACACTCCAAGGACATTCGCACTGAATTTTCCAGTAGTTTTGAACACTAAAACAAGATAAATTGCTCAACCTTCATTCTCAGAATTTTAAATTAAAATTGTATGTACCTATTATTGGCTAATATTTATAATGCTAAGCAATCCATTAAGTTGTCATAGCCCTGGTATGTCATATTTTGGTTAAATATATTATGAGAGCAATTTTATTCAAAGCAGTGATATTTATAATTAATATCTAGCGCAACTGCAGCAATGCTATTTTAGGCGAATTGAGCTAACCTTGAAATTGATTAGTGGTTCTTCGTTGTCTGCTTTATAATATTCGATGTTCACAGTTACGAGACCACGATCGAACAATCTGACGGATACAGTTGTGCCTCTTTTCCCAGTTAACAATTTCAGCGAGCCTCCGTCCACTTTAATATCAGCTGCTAATATGAGATTAGGTACATAATCTTTCAGGACTGTTTCTAACTGGCTAAATACAGTTTTTTGTCCATTTTCGTCACTTAAACGAGCGGGATCCATAGAAAAATCCAGTAATATAGTTTGAACTGACATCTTTGTACCCTTTTCGAATAATACTTTCAACTATTTATTGGTAATTGGACGGAGACCGGCAAACTATGAAGGCTGAAGGCGACGCTTTTCAGTTTTCACTTTTCATTGATTTGCTTTAACTTTGAAAGTTACAAATTTTTTGACGTTTACTATTTAGGGTTGCCCTTTCCTCCCATTAATAATACTAGATTATTTTTATAACAGTCAAATGTTCATGTTATATCATATATAAATCAATATAAATGAATATATATTAGTATTTAATGTTCAAGACTGTGTAAAGTCTATCCAAGTAGTTTGCAAAATTAGTGGATAAGCTTGCTTCCTCTTTTCTTTTATACAATTATTTTGTTGTATAATCTATAGATGTCATATGTTTAATTAACTTGCAACACTTTTATTTCTGTCTTTTGTAAAAAGAATTGAGAATTGGGAAGATTTTGTGACATGGCTGGAAATAATGCTGAGGAAGTTGAAGTAGGTAGAAATATATTTTAAGGTTGAAGATTACTATTTACCCTCAAATTAAAAAATCTTAAACGTATATTCATTAAAAAACTGTAAACCTTGCTGATGTGGCTGCCTTAACTTTCACTACAACACTGGTTCCCGTTTTTCGGATACCATATAATTAATTGATTTTCGTGTTTTCAGCATTGTATTCAGTGTTGTAGACATTTTAACCACTTCACAAACAGATCTAACTGCTGTTTTACTTAGTGTTATAGGTTAGAATTTTTATTAAATATGACCTGTGTATTCAAGGGTTCAGCAGGCGTTGAGAGCAAAGCCAATACTACCACAGAAATTCCACCGGAATTCTTGATAAAACATCCGCTTCAAAACACATGGAGTCTTTGGTTCTATGATAATGACAGAACAAAATCATGGGAAGAGAATCAAATTGAGCTGACATCATTTGACACGGTAGAAGACTTTTGGAGGTTTGTATGTAATTATATTAAACTATAAATATAAGAATATTATTTTTAAAGGACTTAATATAGAAAATAACATTATTTATTTATAATAAAATATCTGTTAAATATTAATCAAACTCAAACAAAAAATATTTCTAAATAAATATTTAAGAGTATCTTCTATAAAATGAGTTCTCATATTACTTCCCTACCTCCCCACAAAAGTCTTGAACATAGGGCTTACTTACTTACTAACTTAATATTGTGCATTAAGTTGGCTTCCCTGGAATGAAACAAAATATGTTATATCCTGTGATCTATACTTTAAACAAAACGATAACTGTAGTAATGTAAATTAATATTTTATTATGAGAGGCATGGCAATAGATTGCTGTGTATACTATCCAATACCACCTATGTGCAAATATTGTGCATTATAATATCTACAGTTATTGAGATTTTATTACACTATTACATTTTTTTTGTTCTTTATACTATTTAATACAACTAGGCAGTTGATTTAAAACTATGTATTTCCAATTGTTGTATTGATTGAGAACTTTGTAAGTATGTGAGATTTGGATGATGATATAATAGTTTTATGTTATTGAATTGATTTAATTGACAGAGTCAGGAGATGACTAAAAGATATTTCCAATAGTAACAACTATCTATTAATTGACTCATTTTGACGAGTCCCAAATATTGATGATAGTGTGTATTTTTCAAGTTTTTAGTTTTGTAAAGCTACCTTATCTATACTAATATTATAAACAGGTAAAGTTTGTGAATTTGTGAGTTTGTGACGTTGTAGGGGGTAATCTCTGGATCCACTGAACCAATTTAGATGGTAAGAAGATAGTTTGAGACCCCGGGAAGGAGATAGGATGCTTTTTATCCCGGAAATCATCCCTTACGCTAGTGAAGATAGGCATGAAAGTTTGTATTGGGAAGCAATATATGTACTAAATTTCCTCCAAAACCGACCAGCAGTTTCAGGGTTTAAGAATTACCAACACTTGTTCATGCATTTAATCATTATGAAAAAAAATAATATTGTGATAATATAGCGGCGGCAATGGTGTAGTTTCTTATAAAAATAAAACTTAGTTTCATAGTTTTGGTAAGTTTGTGTATTAGTAAATAATTTTTTATAAAAATTTTCTAGATTGTATCACCACATCAAATTGCCTTCAGAACTTCGTCAAGGTCATGATTATGCAGTTTTCAAACAAGGCATACGCCCAATGTGGGAAGATGATGCTAACAAAATGGGAGGTCGCTGGTTGATCAGTCTTGAAAAGAAACAACGGAACTCTGATTTGGATCGATTTTGGTTGGATGTGGTAAGTTAAACATTAAAATAGTACTTTAATAATTTTTAAATGTGGTCTACATGCATCCATACTAATATTATAAATGTGAAAGTGTGTTTGTTTGTCCTTCTTTCACATCGAAACGGAGTGACGGATTTTCGTGATTTTTTGTGTGGAGATAGTTGGAGGGCTGGACATAGGCTGATTTTACCGCGGGAGATATCTAATTATTACGGGGAAAGACGTTATAACACAATTCAAAAAAATATTTATGATCAGAATCACATGAAACTTTGTATTAACGCTCTGCAATAAAATTAAATAAATACATACATATTTTAGCATTTTTCGAAATTAAATTATATTATATTTTATCTATTTTTCGAAATTATATATATATATGTATATATATATATATATATAATTAAATCATATAAGGGGGTAAAATAGGGTATAAAAGTTTGTATGGAACTACCTTATTATTTAGAGAATTTTTTGTAGTTTTAGCGCGAGCGAAGCCGCGGGTTCTGCTAGTAATATATAAATATGCTTTATAGTTATATACTGTTATTATGTACACGACAACAAAGAAACAGTTAAAACGTTATTACTAAATTTCACGAGGGTTATAAGTTAATAATATAAATTAGTTTATAATATTTGCAATACTCAGGTCCTTCTTTTAATCGGCGAAAATTTCGAGCATTCTGAAGAAATATGTGGGGCAGTTGTGAATGTTCGGGCGAAGCTTGATAAAATTGGTAAGCACTATGAAAGTGTTTTTATAATAAATATTTATTTATAAATGTATATGTTTTTATAATAAAACATGTATAAAAGAACAATAGGGTGTGGGTTCACCAATATGATGCTAACTTTAGTGGTGACTTGACTCAAGCAGCGATATAGACCCTTTCTCTTTCTGGAGATAGATGTTGTTTATATTATCATTTTTTAAAAACTACCCAACAAAATCAGTTTAGTGTTTCTGAAGATTAGAAGGTATAATTTTTTTTATAATTGTTTTGAGTTTTGCACCCCCATCCTGTTAATATATAAGTGGGGCTTGCTCAAATTTGGGTAGCTAAAATTTAGTAAAGATACTTTAGCTTCTTTATAAATATAAAGTCACTTTTTTAATAAAAAATCTTATTTGATAAATTATTTCAGGCGTATGGACAGCAGATACTTCAAAGCAACAAGCCAATTTGGAAATAGGCAGGAAACTAAAAGAGCAGCTAGGTATTCATGGGAAAATTGGTTTCCAACTCCATCGAGACACCATGGTCAAACATAGCTCTGCTACCAAGAATCTATACACTGTCTAGTTTGATATCAATTATTTGTATACTAAACACATAATGACATGACAGTAACTTAAAAATATACTTACATTTAAAAATTCGCTTTATATTCTTGTGTACTCCATAATTTTGTTTTATAACTTCATAATATGTTAATTTCTTAAAACAAAATTTGAGGGGCACATTTTTTACTATACCTTAAAAGGGGGCTTTGGAATATTACATATTTTCCCCAGTATTAATGAAGCTAATGTATAAATGTATATTTAACTTGGTCATGTCCATTGTGCTGTTATAGAATAAAAACTTTTATTTAACAGAAGTAGTATTTACGTTGACGTTTCATGATTATTGTTAGATGAGTTTTACACTCATTTACATGAATTGAATGAAAATTGAAAGTGAAAGTCTGATGTTAGTACTAAAGCTGTGCTTATGTATGTTTGAGGTCACATAGATTTAAGATTTTCATAACTAATCCATATTTGTTCTGGCAACACTGTTTTATACTTTTACCCAAGCACTCCATGGTTATGACAGTAACCTGCACTGTCCAATATTAACTCGACGTATAATTTAAAAGTTGATGTTTGTGTCTGTTATTGAAAAAATATTTTGGTATTTCATATAAAATTTACTAAAATAATATTGTTTTTTATTTTACCCGATTATTTTTATATTGCAGTACCGTTCATTTCATCGCGGTGGATATTTTTTAAGTTATAAAATGCTCACTAAAGTCTGTAATTCTGTCTCTACTCCTGGGCCAAGTACATTTAGGCACTAATAGAAGTGTTTTTACCTATTCTAAATTTATTATTAGAATCCTATGCATATTTAAAGTGAGAACACACAAAAATGGATGCTAGGCAATTCTTGACCGTCAGTACAAGCAGACAAATCGTTACACTTTAACTTTTCAAACTTTGTCTATAATGACATAATAATATGTAACAAACGCAAGAGAGTTCTTTATACAAGTAGCTACGTTATAAAAATATTACAATGCATCAAAATGATATAAAAAATTAAAATACATACAGGTACGACTAACAGTTCCAAAGCAGTTAACTAAATAGAAAATTCAGAATACTCATGCGGAAGTCCAAGCATAAACTAATAACGTCCTGACCGATTCCGGCCATGGCGGCCAATCTTACTGAGACTAGTTATGAATCCAAAAGATTTTATGATAACAAGTATGCTCGCAAGCACAAGTATACTCTCTATTGATATTCATACTCGAACTCCATTACGACGACAATTCACAGACTGGTGATATCATGTATAATATAGTACCGCCGACTTTGTTCTCTACAAGGCATAGGGGTGAAAGTGAAACTGCCAACTTTCGAACTCTGGGTGGGTACTAAGAACTTTTTAACAGAGGAACTCGATAATAAACATTGGCTCGACTGGGACTCGAACCTAGGATTTCAGGATCTAAATTTTTATACACATAATATATACATGATTTACGTTAATAGTTATTGTTATTTATACTAGTTGCTGCTTCACTGCCTCTGTGGTCTGTCTAGTGGTTTTTTTTTAAATAATATAATATATAAATTAGTTCACGACAATGTATATCGATCGCCACAGTTATTAGTGTAATTATTTGAGTGGTAATGATGTCATTTTAATTTTTAAACAGCGAAATGAGAGTGTCGATATCAAAGTACCTATACATATGATACTTATAATTTTAGAGCTTCGATTATTATCATTTTCTGAGAAACACGATAAGCCTACGGAATTATATAGACTTAAAGGTATTTACGAAACAGATTATTTTAACTTTAATTCTAGTGCACTCTGCACTTCACAATTAGATTTTAATTTTCCAACATAAAAGTAGCCATGTTACTCCTTATAACATCAGCTACCTATATGCCACTTGCCAGTGAAAGTCCTGTCAAAATCGGTTCAGCCGTTTCGGAGATGAGTAGCTGTAGGAACAAACGGACAAAATTTTTAAAAATTGATTTTTCTTATAAATAATTAATGTATATACTTTTTTATGTAATATTACTAAAAAGCTGTTATTTTGACATTACAAACACACACTTCAATTTTATTTTTTTGTATCATGGATCATTTAATAAATATGCTCCCTGTTTGATTAAATAAAATATTTTCATATAGCAACACTTAATATTAAAATTGTAAACGGGGCTTTCCATATTAGCCACTGATGATAACATGTAGTTCACTTCAATAGAATCATAAACATTCGTATCCGAACAATTGACTGACGACATCATGACTGAAGCTGCACCGGAAATGCAAGTATGGTTGCTTTTATTATATTATTTTTTCGAAAATTTATTAATGTATGTTTATTTAAATACTATAGAAGCTATATTTAAGAATAAAAATTGCATAATATTAACGTTTTATTTCAAGTGTTCAAGGTCTTAAAAATTTACTTTATAGCTTGCTTTAAAATGGTTATTGTTTCAAACATTTTCTTTTGAAATGTCATAATATGCCTTAATTATCCTGATTTTACTATTTATCACTATTACATTTATAAGTGAAGTAATGTGGAAAAAATAATATTTTTATTAATGTCTCTTTAAATAAGTAACTCTTTCATACAAGATCGTGACACATATTAATTATTAAATGTTATCTTTGCATCGCCACGGCGAACAATATCGGTTCTTTATCACGTATGTACTTGTTGTCAGTGCAACGACGCTAATGGGTGTGATTCACTGAATGCCATTTAGTCTGTAATATAAATGGAAAAATTAATAATTTGCTCATTTGTTAATATTTATTTATTTACAGACAAATGTTATTGATAAATTCTTTAGTGAGTCTTTAACATTGTTTCTTTAAAATTTTAGACTTTTGACAGCTCCACAAGTTGTTATAGGCGAAAGGTACAAGAATAGGTGTTGGGTGGAATCTATCAAAACCTGTGTTTTAAGCTATTTTTCATATAAAAATAATTTATGTGCGTATCTGCACAGCAACTATATTATTTTTTGGTTTAAAATAAGAAGATTTATTATTTTTTATTTTAAAAGGAAACCATGAACCAGACGGACGACAGTAAGTCCTCCCTCGAAGAAATAAAACATCCTTTAGAACATACTTGGAGTTTCTGGATGTTTACTAACGAGAAGCGGACGTGGGAAGACAATTTAGTGAAATTGACGACGTTTAGCACCGTCGAAGATTACTGGTGGTAAATAGATATTCTTATAAATCCATCCAAACCTTTTAGCGTATAGATACTTATATAAAATACTAAATTAAGTATGCTAAACTTTGCCTATTCATTATTTTAATTGCGCATCTTGTTAAAATAGCAAAACAGATTTTTAAATAGTACCTACTTACCATATTCAAATTCAAAAAAAGCGCGCGAATTCGGTTCATCTATACAGATAAACGTAATTGAAGTGTTAAAATGACAGCTTTTTACTGAATGCATAATATGAAATTATATACGGTACCTACTAACATTGCCCGCGTTCAGATGACCAAAAACCAAATTCTTAGGTTTTACATATTAGTATACACATTGCAGTTTTTGTATTTTTTTCTCAGAAATGAGACATTTTCCCGCGGTAAAAAGTATCCTATATGTGGACCCGGATAACTAGGTATCACCATACCAAATTTCATCAAAATCCCCACAGTGGTTTTTCTGTGATGCGGATTACCGCACTGTAGGGATTTTGTGTGTCTGTCTGTCTGTTAAGACAGACAGACACACAGACAGACAGACAAAATTCTAAAAACTATAGATTCGGCCTCTGTATCGTTAATAATGTTTATTTCAATAAGATTTTCTAAAAAATATTTAATGTACAGATTCAGCTTAGTTATAATTTTATTATATGTATAGATGTACTTATAAGAAAAACGCAATTTTTAAAATGTTTGTCCGTCTGTCTGTTTGTTTCGGCTAATCTCCGAAACGGCTGTATTGATTTTGACGGGACTATCACTGCTAGATAGCTGATGTAGTAATTCTTTGGCGTAACAAAAAAATAGCTAGAGATTTCATTCCGTATGTCACAACTCTATTTGTAAAAGGAATGCACCTAACTTCATCATGTCGCTTTCGTCTAGCTTCATCATGTCGCTTTTTGGCTATCGATGTGCAAGCGCATCGTAAAAATATTACTCTCATATTTTTTTCAAGTGTGCCAAAAGAAGTATAACTTCAAAAATAAAAGTTTACTTTTTAATTAGTGTGTATTTCACAAATTTTTTTATGACTGCTGTGTAGCTTGTACCACCACATGAAGGTGCCCTCAGAGCTTGCTTTAGGGCAAGACTATGCAATATTTAAGAATAACATCCGTCCGATGTGGGAAGATGCCGCTAATATAAAAGGTGGAAGATGGTTAATCAGTTTTGATAAGAAAAGAAATATAAATATGGATAATATTTGGTTATTCGTGGTAAGATTTTTTTTTGACTTTAGTTGACTTTCTCATTCTCCTAGCTTTACTTACTATAATCTATACAGATAAATAAAATTGAAGTGTCTGTTTGTAATGTCAAAATAACAGCTTTTTACTAAATGCATATGGAATTATATACGGTATTTATAAGAGAAATGCAAATTTTAAAAATTTTGTGTCTGTCTGTTTGTTCTGGCTAATCTTCGAAACGGCTGGGCCGATTTTGACGGGACTTTCACTGGCAGGTAGTTGATGTTATAAGGAGTAACTTAGGCTACTTTTATTTCAGTAAAAGAATTAGGGTTCCGCTCAAAAAAATTAAAATGTACCTAGGGACTAATCCGAGCGAAGCGAGGGTGAGTCGCTAGTATCAAATATATAATATCAATATCTTGACATCAAAACTATAATATTCCTTCTATTAAAAAGATTTAGAAGCAATAAACTTCCTTTACAAAACTTCCTTCTCAAGTACTAGGAATATTTTTTTAAACTTGATCTTCCCTGAAGGATTTTTTTTAATATTTTAATTTTTGCCTCTTACGTTAAAAACGCTAGGATGATTAATTTGATGGGTATATTATAAGATATTATTTTCTTTCAGATACTTCTTTTAATAGGCGAAAATTTTGAACACTCCCATGTAATTAGTGGAGCAGTTGTGAATGTTCGAGTGAAAAGTAAAATAGGTAAGAACTTATGCAATGCGTACGTTTTAAAAAAAATATATATCGACAATCTTAGAAGTTTGCAAAGAGGATATAAAAGAAATATTTGCACCCGTGACTTCTACCTTAGGTGGATATTCTAGATCCCAGTGCACCAGACGGTAGTTTTCTATTTTGTTTTAACTATAAATTACCCAATCAGGGTAATTTGTATACGAATTACACAAACATCCTACTAATTTTCAAATAATTTAGCAATGTTATGTTCTTTTCAGGTGTTTGGATATCGGATTTACGGAATAAGGCAGCAATAATGGAAATTGGGCAGAAATTGAAAGACCAATTGGGTATTCACGGCCGAATAAATTTCCATAAACACAACAGCACAGACAATTTGTACACTATATAATGATTTTATAGCTTCGCACTTATCTTATGAAGTATAGGGAAGAGTCAGTATTCATTTTCTCGTTTTTAATTTGTCTAATTGTGTTACATACACTTGTAATAAAGGTATACACTATATATATATACACTGTAAACGCACAGATATTTGTTTAAGGCCTATTTTTCATACGTAATAAGTATATCAATTTAAATAAAAATAAATGTATGTTTATAAAAGTAAATGTGTGATATACTTAGTACCATCAGCTTACAAAAGTGGCGCAAGGCGTACCGGATATTCGGATATTTATTAGTCTATAATTGTAAATATAATCAGTAAGGAATATGTTTAACTATATTTGGACGTAATATGGCCGGTTCGATAGGTTTTTTATAAACGGTAACCCTATATTAAATAAATGTTACTTATATTTTTTTTTAACACAATATGCATGTACTCTAAGGTAAGTACGTGCATATATCATTTTATATGTACCTCAATAAAGAAATGTGCTGACATTTTTATTTTTGTACATATTTTGCTCAAGCATTCAAATTGAGGATTTGGGATACTTATTAAGTATGTATTATATGTACATATTATATCAAGTAAGTAATTACTACTATTGGTATTGTTAGTATAGAGCGATTTGATGAATGGAAATGTTGCATTTAATGGATGGATCTGCTGAGATCTTTCATGTCTTTTTTTAATGTTATTTAACTCATAAAAAAGGTTGTCAAGTCTGTACACGTGTCCTAATTATTTATTAAACCGGATATCATAAATTAATTATATGTACATGTAAGCTGTGATAAATAGTGATTATATTTAATGGAGGGTTGATGAAAATATTTTATTATTAAATAAAATATGATGATGTTTTCTAGCCGATTCCGGCTACGGCGGCCAATCTCATTGAGATTAGCCAATTGCGCAGGAGATATTATAGTGCTCAAGTGTACGCGCAGACACAACGTGCACTCTCTATGCCTGTCACACTCATACTCCGGTGGGACGACACGAGACACGACCGGTGAGAGTTCAAGCGCAGGACCGACGGCTTTACGTGCTCTCCGAGGCACGGGGGTGATACACCGGCAACTTCCCAACTCCAGGCTGTTACTGAGACTTATTATACAGAAAGACTCAATAACTAAACTTGGCCCGACCCGGGACTCGAACCCAGGACCTCCGGGTGTGCAGCCGTACATGCTAGCCACTACACCACCGAGGCAAATAAAATATATCATTTGTTTTGTATGTGATTTTTAAAAATAAAATTCCAAATAATATTAAGAATAAAAATTTTATTTATTTTAAACATTTAAGAAGACAAAAACTGACTACATTAATGTGATTATAAAATTGTGCAAGTTCGTGAGTTAGTTTGGTTTCGTATTTCCGTCTCCACTCTTTCCTCTACCTTGTGCACGGTTTCTTCGGCATTATCGATGCCTTTGTTAACGTTTTCTGCAAAATATTAAAAAATATTCAGCTAATAATGTTCAAGCTAACCAAAATCAAAAAATATTTTTATTAAGCATTGCTTGCTTGCTGGCGGCAGAGTGTCAGATACGATGAGATTTTTTATTTTTTTATATATTATGCTGTGGTTTATACTTTTTTGGAAATGTACTTTTTTATAATATAATTTGCTATTTTTATCTAACTATAGTTACAAACAAAAACATCAAGTTGATACAAAGAAAAATATTTACCTACTACTTTTTCCTCAATGACTTTTCCTTTACCCATACAAGAGTGTTCTTTATCCTTGATAGATTGAAAAATACGAGCGAAACGTCCCTTTTCCTCCATTTTGTTCACGACTACATCATTTTCTTCGCAATTAACAGGATCTTCATGTGAATCGATGTTATCTTCACTTCTCACAATTGGCATTACCGCTTGAGTTTTAGTTTTACCCATCTGAGGACTGGATTTGTCAGAGCCACAAGGTATTGTTTCGTTTTCAGATTGTCCTGTCTCACTTTTTTGACCGTCGTCGCTATGCTTACTTAAGTTAGGACTCATTTGAGAAATATCTGGGATAATTAATAAATCTTGTATAATCGGTGTTTTAGGTGGCGGAGAGTTTGCTATTTCTAACGTTTTGTCTGGTATATCTAAGATTTTTTTATCACCGATATGGAAGCTTGGTGATTTGTGTTCAACTTCTTTTTTAAATACTTCTTCAACCACCTCTACTTTTGTATGGATCATCTCTGCTATATTATGCGTTAGCTTATCTACTTTATCTTCACCTTTTTTGATTTCAGAGTCTACTTTTTGCATCATATTATCAATTTCTTTGTCTATATCCATTTTTGTGTCTTCATCATTAGTAATATTAGGTATGCCGTGTGTACTTGCGGTGTCAGGATCTAGTTCATTTATATTTACTATATGAGATCCACTAACGTTCGCTTCCAATGAATCTATAGATCCCGTTTCTCCATTACCGTTGCCAGTTATATTTTCCGTGCTGGTTATAATATTGGAATTGGCAACATCTTCCATAGTAATTTCGTCTGTTTTATTCATTGCCGGAACTTTTTGCAGTGGAGGCAGTTCAGTTAGGCTGATAGGTCGGTTTTCTTCGCTTATAATACTAAAGTCATTGTTAGAGAAATCTAAATTTGAGCCTTTTACAGCAGTGAGTAACGTATGGCAGCCGCCACATGCTACATTGTCCACAATGAAACCATTCATGGCTGTGACCCGCTTTGGCGAGTATTGATTAGCAACTGCCTCGTTTGAATTATTAGCGTCATCGGCTTCTTCCAAACAAAGTTTGTTGTGACGCGCTTCGCCACATGTGTAAAGTAAGCCGTTATCTGTAATATTTGCAAACTTGTTTGTACAGTGCATGTAGTTTATAGAATAATTACTCATACATATAAATGTTTTTTACTTTTGTCACACCTAAGCATTGTTACTCTCACGGAATCATTATTAAATTATATATTTGACAACACGTTTGACTCAGTTTGTAGTGACTCTACTTGCTGTGCCAGTGGTCGCGGGTTCGAGTCTCGTTATCTCCAGCCATGGGATCCAGTCATATTTATAATATGTATGTATTTAGTTATATATGTGCAGTGTATCAACTATCTGGTATCCATAACAAAAGCCTCTTAGCTTACTATGGTACTAGATGGTGCAGTGTGTTAATGTCCCAAGATATTTGAATACTTATTTATATAAATATAACTAGCGGCTCACCCTCGCTTTGTTCGGAGCCGTTCCTAGTGAAAAACGAATCTATTCCACGGGAACTGTGCATTTTTCCGGGATAAAAAGTTGCTTATGTGCTATTCTAGATTATAATCTATCTCTGTACCAGATTTCATCCAGATCCGTTCAGTCGTTCTGGCTTTATTGAGTAACAAACATCCAAACGTTCGCATTTATATAGTAAGATTGCAGAAAGAAGACTTAGCCTATTTGACATTCTACAGTCGTTCTTACATTACATCTTTAATAGTAAATTTAATAAAATTATTTAATGTATCCGATAGATACGGATGATCAGATGGACATATCTCAGTTTTAAATATTTGAATAGAGAAACATAGATATTTATGGGATTGTTATATTATTTTAACGTCAAGCCATGTGGTTAAAACACGACATGTTAGTTTTTTATTGGCTATATCTATTAAAGAAAGCCCAATTAACTAAGGTTTGTTTGGAAAAAAAATGGAAAATATAATGTTAAACAGACCCGTTACAAAAGCTGTATGCATAGCGCCGCACGCCACTAATTTCAACTGGTAACCATCGAACATTTTCTCCATATCAATTTCAGTAGGCTCAGTGACATATTCCAATTCCTTTGGCATACCCAACTGTCCCTTTTCATTAGAGCCAAAAGCCAAAATCTTCGATTCGTCCATGGACAAGAGGAAAGTGTGATTTGCACCACAACATGCACTTTTAATTTGTATATCTAGAGGTATTACTTGTGGTGCGTAGATGGTGGTAGCGGTGTTTGGAATGCCAAGTTTTTGATTTTCATTATCGCCAGTGACAAAAACTGCGCCTTTGTCTGTAAAAAATATTTACAAAAATTCATTTTATTAACAAGTATAATAATTTAGAGTGCACTGAAAAACTATAGTGAATGATGTCAGGATTTGATGAATGTTTACTATAACTGACCGATTACAAAACAAGCATATGATATTTTTTTTAAGTCAATACCAAAGACCAAAGTAGTCCCATATAATTTCAACAAAAATTTAATTCCTAAAGGTTACATTTACATTTAAAGAGGTTTTACATTCAGTGTACTTCTTTAAATAAAAATTGATTATAATATACCTGTTATAAACACAGTATGGTAGTATCCACATTCTACGAATGCGATCTTCTCCATGAACGATAGTTCAGTAAACTTAACACATGAACGCGTGGCTTCCCCGAGTCCGAGCTGACCTTCAGAGTTGGACCCGCAGACAAACACGCGACCGTCATCTATAAAAATAAAGAAAAAAAAAATAACCTTATGCCATATCAAACCCATAAGAGTACTAGGGAAATTTAACAGGAATATGCAAAAGTATACCCAAATGGGGTTACAGATAATGCTGCGTACTTAGTTTACCCGCATAGTATTCATTAAATTCGATGCATTAGTAAAAGAATAAAAGAAATATACTTTTTATGAAGTTAACAAGATCAAACACATTAGATAAACAAAATTCAACTCGTTTCAACAAAGAAAAATTTAGTTCAAATATAGATTGCACCATATGTATCGGTTTATTATTGATTTTTATATGCCCGAAAAAATATACCTATTCTGGTTATAAAACACTCTTTAATTAAAGTAAAAAATATAATAATTCGTTCTTAAATTTCAGTAATTAAACTTGATTGAAAATCAGCCATTATGCAATGAGTTTTAACTGCGTATATGTAATAGATGGCGTTTACATTTTATGAGTTGTTTTTTATTTTGTTCTATTATCTTAGAACATACACGTTTATATACAAAACTATTCGACGTTCTATTTCCTTATATAGAAAACCATTTATCACCTACTTAAGCAAACAAAAATAGCCTAAACATATACCATAAATAGGACCGTCCAATATCTATAGTTTCAATGCATCGGGTGGGGCATCTCTACTCGTTATTTTATCTGTGGTTATAGGTATCTCATAATATCGAGAATGACTATAATTCTAACCAGTAAGTAAAGCAGTATGGTTGCTCCCAGCAGACACTTGCTTGATGGGCTGACCGATTTCCAGATCCACAGCTTGGGGCATACTGAGGTGCTCCATATTGCCAGTACCCAATTGTCCTTCATCGTTACATCCGACCGAGTAAATTGTGTTAGTGTCTATGGAATAGAAATAATAATATTATTTAGATATTTAAACATCATTAATTGAATAAAGAAAGGGAGAATACGCTACTTCATTTGAAAACGAACCTACTTATTCCAGCGTACTTGATTGTTATTAGGCATATGTACATAGGTAAGTATAATAAAATGTTTAATGGAAAGAGAAATAAGTCATTACGTCCACGCTGAGCTGTCGAATTCTATTTGAGAGTTAAAATCCAGCACAAATTAAAAGATATTAAAAAAATTAATGAATCAATAAAATTTTAACAAAAACAAGTTTAATACCTATTACTGTGTAATGTAAATTTCTTCTGCTTCATACATTTTTGCGATGTGAATTTTGCTTAGTTATATTTATAAACATTATTAGCCAATTAAATAGAATACAAACCAGTTACGAAGATCGTGTGAGCTCGACCACAAGCGACGAACAAAGCTCGGTGGGGCTTCAGCCATTTCACGCAACTAGGACGTGTTACTTCATCTTTATGCCCTAAACCTAGCTGCCCCCAAGCATTCGTCCCAAAAACGAAGACACGACCATTCTCTGTGAAAATAATGTCACTGTATTAAATGCGAAAACTTGTGCGTCTATTCGAATTACAGATTATTATATACTCAGGTATTTTTATCGGCGCATTTTTTATTGATTTTTGGCCGCAAAATATGTTTATTAAAAAAAAAAACATACAGTCGAATTGAGAACCTCCTCCTTTTTGAAGTCGGTTGAATAAATATAAAATGATGAATGCATTTTTATCTTCTTTTGTTTCCTGTTGGTATATTTTTTTAGACTACTACACGAGAGGGTTGAGGCGTGCCCCCCAACGTGCGCTCACCTAGTCGTAGTGGTGGGGGGTAAACCAAGTATTTTATCGGGACTCTATTTTATTGGGATAGAGTTTTCTGTTAGAGAAAGAATTTTTAGTATGGGTTTAATTGGACCCATTTATGCAAAAACAGCCATGTGCGTAAAAGTACAAACAGAGTTATAAGCATTTTATTATAAAAAATAAAATAATTATAAAAAATAAACAAAACTTATATAAATATTGTTCAATTTTAAAATAACCAGAAAAAAATATATAACCCAAGTGCAACTATCGACAGAAATTTGCTTATAACTCTGTTGGTACTTTTACGCACATGGCTGTTTTTTGCATAACTGAGTCCAATTAATTGTATGATCTACAAACAAACAAATTGCAACGTCAAAATTATTGTACTCATTTGTTTAATATAGATATAAGTTACTAAATAAAAGATTTCTCGTGCAAAATATGGCAATTATACACTATTTTATAAGTGTAATGGTTTTTATAGGCAACGCAGAACCTATGTATATAGAGTAAGTGAATGAATTATAAGCGACTTCTTATCAGTCGAGTAGGTGGCATACACTACATATTTATGACTCTGTCATAATTTATGATGACAAGATGTCTAGGTATATCTACTACACTCGACGTCCATATCAAATGAGTCATATTTCACTTGTAAATTTAAATATTACAGAACTTTACAGAATCTATATTAAATATTTAAAAAGGTATAAATATAAACAACAAATTCATTTTTTTTATTGATGTTCAACTATCTCCTGAGTGTACTTAACACACCTTGTCTCCAACAAACCATTTCTTTCTACGTATCTGTTAAAAATGAAAGTTAGCAACATTCCTCAGTCTATAAATAAACTGAAATGATATCGCACTGTGAAACATCCGATTCGAGATATGAATTTGGAACTTTTTTTAAGCGACTTCATGAAAAGGGAGGTTGTTGATTTGGTTTTTTTTGTGATGTTAGTCGATATTTTGTTGTGTTGTTTCTTTTTGAACTGTGTTCTTTATTATTTAAAAATAATAAAAATATAGAAATTAAATCCGAGGTAATAATACCTAACAGCCCAAAACCTTAACAATAACAATATCTTAGTTTATAATATGAAAATATAATAAATTTCATATAATAATTTTCACGCTCCTTAAATTAAAATGACGATTCAAAAGTAAATCTAAAAAGTAAAAATAAGTAAAGATTATAATAAGTCTATTTGAATAAAGTTTCTATTATAATTAAATTAAAATTTAATTATTTTAAAATTAAATTTAAGTTCATATAATAATTAAATTTCATTAATGAATTATTCGAGTTTTCAAAAGGTACGTACGACAAATGACAGCGCTGTGTTCGTCCCCACATGATATAGCGACAATGGGATCGTTCTTGATGAAGAAGTGGCTTGCTTCGTTTTCAGCAAAGTGGGATTTGCCAAAGGTGAACACTGCACCGGTCTCTGGAATATGAAATATTCACAAATAAAAAAATGTTTTAATATGTATTAAAATTAAGCAGTTATAAATTCTTCACAGAATCTTTACTTCTTAGCTTTTTATTCAAAATTTAAATCTTACTTTCGTTACATTGCACGAACCTTTTGGCATTTTATTCAAAAAGGCTTTCTTTTCTTATATAGGAAGGAAATATCATGAATAAGGTTTGATTTTAAAGTATTATTTTAAATAAAACTATCTTTTCGGATTATTTCGCGGATTTATTTTGATTTTTGGTTCCCGACGTTTCGAATGCTTTACAGTAGTCATGGTCATTGGAGAGACTAAGGTTATAGACGTCTCAAACACATACTTGTTACAGACAGTGCCTACCCACTATTTTACAAAAATGATTTCAAAAATTCACAAAAGTGATAATAAAGAACCTTACAATATTTGTTGATTTCGAGACGTCGGGAACCAAAAATCAAAATAAATCCGCGAAATAATCCGAAAAGATAGTTTTATATAAAATGTCAAATATTCGCGTAAATCTAAGAAAGGATTAAAGTATTATTTATATACAGTAGATATGTCAAAAATGCAGTGGCCAGGCCTCGCATAAGGTGGACCGACAAATCCGGAAATCTTTGTCTGAGGCCTATATCCAGCAGTAGACGTCTTTTGGCTGATATGATGATGATGCCAAAAATATAAAACAATTTGATTGTAATGGATCAAATAATCTATGTAACAAGTTATATTACTGTGCTACAGTTATTTTTAGCGTAGTCATTATCTTGAGTAGGTTATACATTTATTTGACCATGTCATAAATCAACGCCCTCTGAACGTGCGTTTTATTTCACTTCTAGCTTTTTAACCTTTTCAAATGACGTCAGTCGCTATTATTTGTTATAAAATTAACATAAATAAAACCTGGGAAATCGCGATAACATGTACGCAATGGATAAATTATAGCGCTGTTAAAAAACTGTTAGCCATAACAAGTAAAAATCTGTTTTAGGAATTTTATATATGAGTAAGAGTGAATTAATATATAGGTCTTTATAAATACCTACACTTATATTGTATTCAGCCTTTTCTAACGTCTCACTGTTGGGCACAGGCAGTTAAAGAGATGCCTTTTAATACGAGTATTATTTGATACGCTGGCCAAGTGCGGGTTGGCGGACTTAACATGTCTTTGGAGAACTTGCTAAGTTTTCTCAAAAACGCAAGTTTCCTCACTTCGTTTTCCTTCACCGTAAGGCAAGTGGTAATCATGTTAAAAAATTCACACAGGAAAATATCAGAGGTGCGTCATTTTTAACCCTCTTGACGCTTCTCGTTCTCCAAGCAAACGCATGTACCAGTAAGGTATAGATACACTTAAATAAATAAATATGTTGGGAATATCCCACAAACACACAGCACCATGGTAAGCTTCCATGTAGGTATACCAGTTGATACACCAGTTGATACACTACACATATAGGTAGGTATAACTTTAAAAACACACATATTATAAATATAAACACCCATGACTGGAGTACAAGCATTCGTACTTATCACATAAATGAATGCTCTCAGCGGGACTCGAATCCGCGACCGCTGACACAGCAACAAACTGAGCCATACGTATCGTCAATATGATATATTACTTCCTACATCTACAGTTGCAAAAATTATGTATTTTAACATGATTTTGATTTAAATTCAACAAAATAGTTAATATTTTAGTTTTTACTACAATTTATTTTATCTAGCTATTATATAAGAATAATCGCTTCTATCTAATAATAAGAAATCCATATAATGTAAGCGCTTTCAATTTATTTTTTAAGTTTCGCCCCCTACTAAAGCAACCATAAATTTTTCCAAAGATCTGAGTGAAAAAAGTATGAATATTAGTTTTCTTAAAGAAAGAGTAGCCTCTTTTATGTAGTACTAATATTACATTAACAGAGTCTTCGACAGCACCTATTATAAAGAAGTCAATATGACTCTCGATTAAATCTTTTAGATGAAAATGAACAGTCGCTTAGAAAATATAAGGCGAAATATATCAGCTAGCTAGCCATAGGCTAGCCATTTTCCATCCTTGACCTTGCCTGACTGAAGCCAGAGATTGTATCGAGGCCAAAATTTAGCTTTCTTTTGTTCAGCAAAATTAACGCTCGTGTAGGCGATTAGTTATGAGTTATGACGCACGGCTGACTTTTCACCTATAGGTACGTATCAATTACTAAGTGATCCCTATTATCCATACCAATAAGTAATAAATAAATAATAAATGTAATAAAAAATATCTAATAAGTAATAAATGTGAAAGTGTGTTTGTTTGTCCTTTCACGTCGAAACTGAGTGACGGATTGGCGTGAATTTTTGTGTGGAGATATTCGGAGGGCTGGAGAGTGACATCGGCTACTTTTTACCGCGGGAGATAACCTAATTTCCACGAAAAAAAAACGTTATAATAACAACTTAAAAAAATATTTACGATCAGAATTACTTGAAACTTGGTATTAATGCTCTTCAATAAAATTAATTAAATACGTTTTAGCATTTTTCAAAATTCATCCTATAAGGGGTTTAAATAAGGGATGAAAGTTTGTATCAAAACCTACTTATTAGAACATTTTTTTGTAGTTTAAGCGCGAGCGAAGCCGCGGGTTCTGCTAGTATTATCATATATCGATGCATGGATCAAACTATAATATTACATTAGCTTCAGTGTTTTCAGACCCTTTCAATATTCTGGATCTAGATTCAGTTCTATATCCGCGACCGGGAGCTAACTATTTAGTACTATCAAGAACCGCGGCTTCGCTCGCGTTAAAGCTACAAAAAAGTCTAAAAACAAGGTTTCATACAAACTTTAATCCACTATTTTCCCACCTTATGGGATGAATTTTGAAAAATGCTAAAACACGTATTTATTTAATTATATTGAAGAACATTAATACCACGTTTCAAGTAATTCTGATCGTAAATATATTTTTGGGTCGTTATTATAACGGTTTTTTCCGTGACAATGAAATAATCCCCTGCGATAAAAAATTACGATAATCCGTCCCTTTGTTTTGACGTGAAAGTATGACAAACAAACACGCGTTCACGTTTATAATATTAGTATGGATTATAAATATAAAGCAACTGGAAATAATGTTATTAATATTAAAAAAAATGGTATTATCAACTGTTTCATAAAACTTATTACAAAAATAAGATAATTTTTGTATACGAATATGCTTGTAATTCGATCACATGAAATTGAAATTAAATGAAACGAGGACCTAAGGACCGAGAGAGAGAGAAGACCGAGGCTACAGATATATGTAGCTGAACGTGCGAGCCCGTAATAATATATTTTGTATAAGAGTAACAGTTTTTCTGCTTGTTTCTAACTTTTGTAATTAAAAAATAAACATAAAAAATTGACCATATAGCCAATAAAGTTAGTTAAAACCAAATAGTACATTATAGAAATGTATAACATTTTTATTTAGTTCATATATAATCTTTTAATATAGTTGATAACATCTAAACAAAACAAAACTAAACAAAAATGTAATTATCATGCGGAAAATTGATAATATGTAAACGCGATGCTATTGATTAGAATCCAGTGTGACGTGACAATACGTAGAAAAATAAACATTTGGTATTTTTGGTGTATTATGGACGATATATTTTATACGGTTTATTTTAGTAAAAATAAGTGATAATTACTTTAAACAATCGGTCAAGTGCGAGTCGGACTCGCACACGAAGGGTTAAGTACCATAATCTTTTTTTTTTAATTTGCATAGCAGCCCTTTTGAAATTCATCATTTTGATTTTTTATTATTTGTTGCTATAGCAGCAATAGAAATATACGCCCTGTGAAAATTTCAACAGGTAGAGACCTGTTACGGTTCATGAGATACATCCCTCTGACAGACAGACGTCCGTCTGGATGAAAGGACGGATAGCGGAGGCTCAGTAATAGGGATTCCTTGGCAATCTTGGGGTACGGAGCCCTAGAAATCATTTGATACGATAGATAGATATTTTGAGTCAAAACTGTTTAAAAAGTTATGCATTATGCCTATTGCTCTAAAGCTATTGCTATTTTAGTCAGACTTTTGAGGCTGGAGAAGAGCACTGATATTCTATAGTAGCTACTTAAAGTAGTTTCCGTGGACTATTATTTTACTGTATGATTACTAAAGAATTTGATATTAAAGGGAAAGTGGTGTTGGTAAAGAATTTTAATGTATAAGGGCTAAGTAGATATTCACCAAAAATATATCATAGACGAATTTTCTTCTGAACTATGAGCCAAATTACTTTAAGCTTAGTTAAGAGTAAAAGTAATACGAAATTAACTAACATATTTTCTTTGCAGGCCATGTTAAATATATTATATACTAGCAGAACCTGCGGTTTTGCTCGCGCAAAAACTTTTACTCTCGTATGGGATGAATTTCCAAAAATGCTAAAATACGTATTTATTTAATTTTATTGAAAAACTTTAATATCAAGTTTCAAGTAATTCTGATTGTAAATATATTTTGGGTTGTATTATAACGTGTTTTCCCGTGGGATTAGATAACCTCCCGCGGTAAAAAGTAGCCTATGTCACTCTCCAGCCCTCTGACTATATCCACACAAACATGAGTATCGCTTTGTTAAGTATTCTATTTCACTAAATCAAAAGTATTTAAATTGCAAAGGTCAAAATAATACAAAAATAGGAAAAAAAGGAGGAAAATAAATGGCATCTACAGAGCCTGAACAAAAATAAGATATCCTTATAATATTTGAGTGCGGTACTTGCACATGTATGATAGGTATATCGTTGTTCAAAAATAAATCTAATCTACATTAAGTGTAATATAGAAAAGAAACTAAATGATTTTGTTTACAAAACATGACCTATTTTCACAGTTCAAGTAAAATCGATAATAATTACGCTACACACCGAGGGAACTATAAATACCTTTCGAAATAGTTTTGATTAGCTTTTAATTTATGAGAAGAACAAAACCAAAGTAAGAATTATTGTACAAAATAATAGTAAGTATAGATTAAAGCACTTTAACCGAGTGATATAAATTTATAAATATTCAAATTCGTAATTTTTAATGATGATTTACATACAAGCTATAATGTTTAGCTTTTTGACACAGATTATAAATATGACTAAAACTTTCTAGCTATAAGTTTTCATTGCACTAAAATATTACGTGAAAAAATTACAATGATAGTCTATTCTTATTCATTATCTGTTTTAAATGTTAGTAATTTTGAAAATAGAACGTACCTGGTATATCGTCAGTCATGGTGGCTACTATAGTCCATGTCAACGGATCGACCGGCGGCCGCGGCGCGACTGACCACTGGCCACGTGCCGCCCACCACCATTAAGGATATAATAGTTACTGGAAAAGGCTTATAAGTCCTATAGCTATAGAAAAAAAAGTTATTTTGTACGTCAGACGAAGCTAGCACTTGGTAAAGATAACATATATATGAGCTTTTATGTAAAAGCTTATATGAATATACTAATTTGCAATTAGCATGAAATACTAGTAAAATATATTTTACACAAAGTAGAAATTTTTCGGACAAAGTTACAGGCAGTAAATAAGTTTTATTCTTTAATTCTGAATGACTGTTTATTTAAGTTTTTATTACTAAGTTATATTTTATTTTTAAAACTACATAAATAATTTTAGAAAATCTAAACTTACGCCACAGACGTAACCACAATACCGGTAGAGTATCGCTTATCTTATTGCGGTATTTAATGTTTTTGAGGTTTGGAGCTGTACCAAGTAAAAAGCTTGTGAAAATGTTGTAATTAGAAACTTTAGCGGCGGATAAAATAGTTGTTACCATTGTATCACTACAATGCAATCGCCATTATTTATTCGTTATATTTGTTCACTTTATTTACTTCATATTTCTATATATTAATTTATTTAATATTTATTTTATAGTTGATTGTAGCAAAAACTGAAGTATTAAAATAAACAAAATGTCTTACAATAAATTTTTAACGTTCAATAAAATGATATATGCCATAACATTTTTTTCTACATTTTCTTTACTAATTCAGTTTGTTTACAACGTAGCGTGCTCATAGAAATTGTATGTAAACTAGTCGTGTGCATTCGTCAGTAGTAAATAGCTGGAATTACCAGAGAGTACATTGCCTATGCTTTTTGATGACACATGATTATTTATATTGTTGATTAGGAATTAAAAAAAAAATATGTTATATTTCTCGTTTAATAACAATAATTTCTTCTCTTTTTGAAAAAAAAATGTGTTTAAAACTTCAAATTATGTTATGGCTGGACAGCGAAAATTAACCTAAACGTATAATAAAATAGTAACAAAGCGAAATCTGTACATGAAACAGTTTTTATAAACAATGATTTTTACGTGTTGTGTACAGAATATAGACCCAAGACAATAGTTGTTGAAATGTTTGTCTGTTTGTCTGTATCTGTGTGCATTTCACAAAAAATACTAAACGATTTTAAATAATTTAACTATGTGATGGCCTTGCGTTAGGAGATTCATCTACTGTTTAATATCAAACAGCAAACTATATCCCATATTATCGCTAAATATTTGACACAGTTATAATGTGTAGTTATGCAGATCCCTTCATACGAGTCAGACACTAACTTGTTCAATTTATATAATACTAGCAGTATCCTCAACTTCGCTCGCGCTAAAACTACAAAAAAACTCTAAAAAGGTAGGTTTCATTATAAACTTTCATCCCCTATTTTACACAAAAAATCACGCCAATCCGACACTCTGTTTCGACGTGAAAGAAGGACAAACAAATAAACAAACAAACATACTTTCACATTTATAATATTAGTATGGATTTATTTAAATGTAAGATTTTATTTTTCGTATAATATCACTCATTCATAACTCATAATCATTACGTTTTGGGCCTTGACCTACTAAATTGTAATCAGTGCTTGCCATCGCTTATAGGATGTTTCTACTTCCTAGTAAAATAGGATATCGAAATAATTGATACGAGGAAAAGCATGATTTATACACTTACTTTTTCAAAAATTTTCATGTATATTACATCCCAATGTTTAAAAAGTTAACCTACTTAGTACAGAAGGAATATATCCTACTAGCATTGCCCGCGGCTCCGCCCGCGTTCAGATGATCAAAAACCAAATTCTTAGGTTTTACATATTAGTATACTCTTACATTGCAGTTTTTGTATTTTTTCTCAGAAATGAGATATTTCCCCGCGGTAAAAAGTATCCTATATGTTGACCCGGATAACCAGCTATCATCATACCAAATTTCATCCAAATCCCTCCAGTGGTTTTTCCGTGATGCGGTAGCAGACAGACAGACAGACAAAAATTCTAAAAACTATAGATTCGGCCTCTGTATCGATAATAATGTCTATTTCAATAAGATTTTCCAAAAAATATTTAATGTACAGATTGGGCTTAGTTACAATTTTATTATATGTGTAATAACAACACGAGCATTGGCTATCGACTGACTTTATTTAAAAAAACTTATATTTACCCACCAAGAACAATATACAATATAAACCTATTATTTCATACTACCTTACATCTTTCCCCCTCTAATTACCTAGATTTTATAGAAAAACTAAAGATACTTATAGAAATCATAAATAACAATATAAACTAAAGATATTTGTAAAAATAAACACAATTTAAGCGTTGCTTTGCTGCTAATAATAACTACATTAAACTCCTTTATTAGTTTATTTAGGTTTTTTTGTCCTTCTGTATTATAGCTCTTTTATAAGCACGTATAGCTCTGGCAGAAGCGTCCGGTGGGGGTGGAGGCGTCGCGGGCTCGCCCGCCGGTCCTGGAAGACCCGGGGAGCGTAGTGCCCGCCCCGCGTTAGCACCCGTCTCGGGCGCTTCACTACATTGATCATCTGCATCGTCATCAACCCCAGGCGTCTGTTCCTCATTCGCGTCCGCACTAGCTGTCGCTGATGTTCGCGCCAATGAATATCGATTTTTTTCTTTTCTATTACCTAACTGTATCATTTGGTCTTGGTGACGTCTCCACTCTACTCCTCCCCCTACATCAACCTTGAATGACACGGGCCCGGTTTTCTTGGTGACCGTCCCCTCTGACCATTTTTCCCCTTTAGTGGTATAATCCCTAGTCAATACTGTATCACCGAGCTGCAGCTCGCGATTAGTACCTCCTGCCCTGTCGACCTGTTTGCTTTGTGCTTCCAGCACCACTGCCCCCACGTCTGGTCGTAACGCGTCGAGTCGACCCCGCAGCCGTCTCCCAAGTAACGCGACCGCTGGCGACACTGCCGTAGTAGTGTGTTCACAATTACGATATTGAAATAAAAACTTACTTAATGCTTGCGATATATTCTCCCCTAAATGTACCGCTCTTTTAATTACTTTTTTAATTGTTTTAACCGCGTTTTCAGCAGCGCCATTCGCCTGCGGTCTATACGGTGCAGATGTCGAATGCTTAATACCATTTTTATAACAATATTCTTTGAACATTTGGGATGAGAATGGAGGGCCATTATCGGTAACGAGCTGTGAAGGAAGTCCGAATCTGGCAAAAATCGATCTAAACGCCTCAATAGTGGAAACAGCGTCCGTATGATTCATTTGTATGACCTCAATCCACTTAGAATACGCGTCTATAATAATTAAAAATCGCTTGCCGTCACAATCTGCAAAGTCGGCATGTAACCGCGTCCACGGAGACGCCGGAAACTCCCAGGGGTGTAGCGGGGCGCGCGGAGGGGCGTCGCGAACAGAGTTGCATGCGTCACACGCGCGACTGACATCTTCAATGTCTTTATCTATACCCGGCCAATACACGTAACTGCGTGATAAGTTTTTCATTTTATTGCTACCTAGATGACCTACGTGTAACTCATCAAGTACTTGTTTACGTAAGACCGTGGGAATAATTATTCTATATTTATAAATTAAGCACCCTAACTCTAATATTATGTCCTGTCTACGGTTATAATACGGTTTTTCTTCATCACAGCTCGCTCTCGCTGGCCAACCAAACATTACATAACCACATATTTTGCTTAAAATGTTATCTTTTTTTGTTTTTTTACTAATGTCTTTAAAGTTAACCGGCGTACATTCCTCGAGCAGCTTAACATAACTCACTGGGTCACTTGGGTCACACTCGCGTAGCAGTGGTAAGCGAGACAGCGCGTCAGCTGGGCCGTTTTGACTAGATCGCACAAACTCCACGGAAAAATCGTACGCTGCGAGATGTGCCGCCCACCGCTGCAGGCGGCTTGCTGCTGTTTGTGGAATCCCCCCTTTAGCTCCAAAAATATGAGTTAATGGTTGGTGGTCTGTGCGCAGTACAAAACGCCTGCCAAATAAAAATTGATGGTGTTTCGTTATACCAAAATATATAGCCAAAGCTTCCTTATCTAGCTGACTATAATTTTTTTCAGCCACATTTAACGTCCGCGAGACACAGCTGACGGGCCGCTCGCTGCCGTCGTCGTACCGGTGCGCTAACACTGCGCCCAGACCGTACGCGCTGCTATCCACCGCTAACACGAGTTCGCGTCCTTCCTCGTAGTGCGCTAGTACTCGATCGCTTAACAATATGCGCTTCGCTTCACAAAAAGCCTCTTCGCACTCTTCCGTCCATAACCAAATGACCCCTTTTTTTAATAAATTGTGTAAAGAATGTAACACAATACTCAAATTTGGAATAAATTTTCCGTAATAATTAATTAACCCGAGAAAACTTTTTAATTGCGTTACATTATCTGGTCGTGGTGCATTTGTTATTGCTTGTAATTTTTTTTATCCGGATGTAAACCTAATTTATCAATAACAAACCCAAGATATTTAACATATTTTTGTAAGAATAAACATTTATCTAATTTAATTGTAAACCCCATGTCACGTAACCGTCCAAGTACAGCTCGTAAATTTTTTAAGTGGAGAGTCCTGGACCCTCCCGTGCAACATATGTCATCCAAATAGACCACGCACCCTGGAATGCCTCGCAATGTCTCTTCCATTAATTTTTGGAATTTTTCTGGGATACAAGACAGTCCAAAGGGCGTGCGACGGTATACAAAGGTCCCTACGTGTGTTGTAATTGCCGTATAGGGTTGGGACTCTTCACTTAAAATCACTTGTTGGTAAGCCTGCCTCAAGTCTATTTTTGAGTACTCCTCCCCCCCGCTCAGGACCGCGAACAACTCCTCAATACGAGGCAACGGGTAGTAATCACGTTTTAACTTAGGATTTATAGTTATTTTATAGTCCCCACAGAT